GATGCTGATGCTTCCGCTTCTCAGCCAGTATAGGAGAGCGTGAACCGTGTTCGTCCGTCGGTGGAGGTGGACAGAGATGAAATTGGTGAAACTCGCCAAAAGTAAGAAACGAGAGCTCGCACTATTTCTATTTCGGAGAAAACAAACAAGCAAAACAAGGCTACTCAGAGTGCTATTTATGAAGAGAGGCTCTATCCTTTGCTGTCCTAGATTTTCGTTCTCCTTGATCTCTCTTGTAGAAATCTTGGAGTTTATCTTCACACCCTAGGAAGTGTCTAGTATTTTTCAAATATAAGTGCGAAATTCCCCTCTGGTTTGTCACTGTTGGGGACGTTGTTCCCCTGTCATATCCTCGTTGATGTCTTGGCGCTCGCTTTCGCTGACGTGTCCTTTTAGATAAGATAAGGCCTGTAAAGTGGTTGCGGCCCCTTAGTTTAAATGAAGAAGTGAAAGAGGGTCAGAGACGTCTTAGAGGTGGCATGCGTGGCGCTGAAGAAGAAGCAAGGAGGCAAAGAGAATAAAACGAGGGACACTACGAGAAAAGAAAGGAAACAGAATGACAACAATATCTGCTCTTGGGATCTTGGTAGGTGTGCGAGGCGTCCTAGCCAGGCGGTGGAGGTGCTCGCGCGCTTCTTGTTGGCCACAAATTGTATGGGGCCGGGAGATGTTACTGCGGAGGGCGTTCGTGGTAGCATCCCTGGCTCTCTCTTCGTACCCAGAAAAGTAACTGTTGGCGCGGTCGCTATCGGTTATCACTTCTCCTATCTGACTACTTCTCCACCACGTTTCCCCACCTCTCGAGTCGCCTCTTGTCAAATGTTTCTGAGTTATAGTACTAGACCTAGGCCGCGCCCGGTAGCACCCATGTCACCCCGCTAGAATCCTCCACCCTCCAAGTCGCTAGGCACTTAGGTCGCTTCTTCAATTGGGAGCCAACCCCAGGCCAAGGAGCCGCCGACCCGCCCACAGTTTTGCGAAGACTTAAACTTTTGCGACTGCGTTCGCTTTTCCCTTCCTTATCGTTTGGGACTTCATTATAGGTATCTGATACCCGATGGGAGGTAACTGCTTGGAATAATATGGAAGATCGGCCCAAAGATGTTACTTTGATGATGTTGAAAAAGATGAAGGGTAGGAACGTCAGCTGTCGCAGGCCTGATAGAAAATGGAGGACGCCTCCTTTTGGCCTTTCCAAGGGGGTCAAAAATTCCCCGGCCCCTCTCGCTAGTGGTAAAGCTGCCTTTTGCTTCGGACGCGGGCGAGTTTTGCTTCTTGCCTTCTCGTTGCAGTGCGTTGTCATCGGAAGGCTTGGCGGAGGTGGAAAGGTTAAGAAAGTAGTGACTCTTGTCCAAGATACATAAAAGAAGCGCCATATGGCATGTCTTCAGAGTAATGGCTTCCAAGCTAGTCCAACAAGCACACGGGCAACAGACTCATATAGTTTCTCAGAAGTCTCAGACCTCGGTCTGGTCTCCGTCTACGATCTTGCCATCCTCGCCCCAAGAATAGGCATGCTCGTCAGTCAGTCAATTTCTAAAAGTAACAAGAAGCGATGCAAGAGAGGAGAAAGCTGCAACGAAGGTTCCAAAGACAGTGAGGACCTTGGATTTTTTGCGTCGCTTTCGAATATCTGGCCGTGGGGAGGAGGTGTCAAGTTCTATTTGATACTACTCATCCTCTAAGAACTTCTTCTACTACTACTTTTTTTCTGTCTCTCTCTCGACTAATGAGTTAGATCTTAGCTTCTACATCTACTACTATTTGAGCGTCCTCCTCTAGTGTCAACTTCTGAACTTCTGACCAGGTGCACAAGCCGGCCCTGAGGCGAGCGCGAGCTCCACCAACAAGGCGCTGGTGAACAATGGGACACACCCAATGAGTCCTGCGGTGGCAGAGCAGACGGAGAAGACAGCCATCCCACCGCCCAAGGCTCGATCGGAGAAGACTGCCGCGGATGACCCGACGAGTCGTGGTATTTATTTTCATTGGTGGTTCCTTATAGATATCTGAAACTGGTATTGGTAATACCTCTGAAGCAGGTGCTTGTTGTTGTGCACTCTCTCGGCTAATGGGCTAGGTGCTAACTTCTTCCCTTATATAATAATATGCTTCTCGCATCTCCATCTTCCTCTGGTGCCACCTTCTGTGCAGGTACCAGCGTCGGCCCTGAGGTGAGCGCGAGCTCCATCAACAAGGCGCCGGTAAACAATGGGACATTTCCAAAGGATTCGGCGGTGGCAGAGCAGGCGGAGAAGGCAGCCACCCCACCGCCCAAGGCTCGAACGGAGAAGACTGCCGCGGATGACACAGCCAGTCGCGGTATTCATTTTCATTGTTACTTAGGCACCTACCTCGAAAACTTATAATTATCTCTGAGGTAGATTCTTGCTGTTGTAATCCTCATTCCCTTCTTGAGAGAGCCTCCCCAAACTGAGAACTTTGCATCATCTGGCAACACCCAGACCCACACTGATTCACCTTGACTGTCCCCCCAAGTGTGGAGAAACTCTTCTCTTTCATTCTTGAAACCTATCTCCTACACCAGATACCGAGGGAAAGCCAGGGGTAGCGGCCTCGTTTTTATTCAAAGACGATGGGCAGATGATGCAGCTCTACGGAACTCCGTGTATTATTCTGGGTCTTTTCTTATCGCTCAACGCAGTTCATTTTCGTCAGCCGTTTTTCACCTGTTCCTTCTTAGGATTCTGAGGAAATGGCACCGCGAGGTGGACTGCTGTATGGGTTTCTACTCGTGTTTTCCTACCTTCTAGGTGCCACTGGTGTATTACCATGGGCAATTACATAGTCCTTAGATAGTGGATATTTTTTGTGAATAGTATTTATAGGTGTAGCTACTTTGACCTAGTGCTATCCTTATCTGCGTCACCTATAGGACCCCTTCATCTACCTCTTTTCCATCCTCATCCATGAGATAGGGAACAAGGCTACTCTGTAGCCTTGAAGAAAAAACACGAGACAAAACTACAGGCATTGGGTGCGAGATTGCGACTACCTCAGCGAACGAGAACGCGCAACGGATACGAGGCTCACAAGAGGCGCACACGCTGGCAGGTGTGTAAATTTATCCCTCAAAGAAGTGCTTGTAAGTTTCTTGCTCGTCTTATTTGTGCAACAGTATGGGGCTGACCTCAGTAAAATTCGAATTGAAGAAGAGACCGGCTGCGTTGCAGGTTCTTTTACCTCATGCAAAACGCATCTCACCAGGAAACGGCGCAGCCGCTTTGCAGAGGGCCGAGACAGCTGAAAAAGAGCTGGCCGCGAAAGAGGAGGACTTAGTGGCGAAGAGCAAGAAACTGCAACGCACGGAGGAGGAGCTTTCAGCTGAGAGAGCTGAGGCGGAAGAGCTGCGGCGGAGAAATTATGGACCGTTTTCAATAATTGATTGGACTTGGGTCAGCCTCAGCGACGGTCTTGGGCAAAATTAAAAGTAAACATTGGATGTCTCAACCTGGTATGTGCATCTCTAAAAAACCGAAGCACTACGAAGCAGCGAGGCCTCAGGACAGCGTGCCCCGGCAGAAGAGTCCGCAGCAGTGCATGAGAAGCATGGTGCACAAGTGGAGCAGCTGGAGGAGGTGGTGGCGGCCAAGGCGAAAGAACTCCAACGCGCGACAGACGAAGAGAACCGACTGAAACAAGAACTAGAAGGGAAGAGTTATGGCTTGTGATAGACATTGTTCACAGGTGTTGGCGGTGCAAGTGCAACGTATAGCCATTTAGGCAGAGTATTTCGTCGGCCCTTTTCTTCGCTAGGGTTGGCAGACGGTGACTATGTAGAGTCCCACTCCCTTTGGCCATGTCTAATGGAGTGAATCACCCGAAGCCAAACAGGCTGTGGCTGCCGAGTCGCTTTGCACGACGGAGAAGAGGCTCCTCGAAGAGTCTCGCGAGGAGGCGGCACACCTGCGCGCGGAGAATTATGGTTCGTCTTTGTACATTATATTATCGGCTTTGCTTTGGCCTTAGTGCAGGCAATTCGTGTGCCTGGCCACAGTGTGGCGGCCATTCATTTTCGCGGGAAATTGCGTCGGCGACGAATTGGCAGTAAATGGTAGATGTTTTAACTTGGTATGTGCATCTCTAAAAAACCGAAGCACTACGAAGCAGCGAGGCTGCAGGGCAGCGTGCTCTGGCAGAAGAGTCCGCAGCAGTGCATAAGAGGCATGTCGCACAAGTAGAGCAGCTGGAGCAGGTGGTGGCGGCCAAGGCGAAAGAACTCCAACCCTCGACAGAAGAGGCGAGTCGACTAAGACAAGAAGTAGAGGCGAAGAGCTATGGCTTGTGATAGACATTGTTCACAGGTGTTGGCGGTGCAGCGTCTAGCCATTTCGGCAGAGTATTAATTTCGTCGGCCCTTTTCTTCGCTAAGGTTGGCAGACGGTGACTATGTAGAGTAAATGGTGGATGTTTTAATTTCCTCTGTGCATCTCGAGCTCTAAAAAGCCGAAGCACTACGAAGCAGCGAGGCTGCAGGGCAGCATACTTGGGAAGAAGAGTCCGCAGCAGTGCGGAAGATGAAGGATGCACAAGGACAAGTGGCGACGCTGGAGCAGGAGGTGACGGCCAATGCGGAAGAACTCCAATCCGCGAAAAACGAGGCGAGCCTACTAAGACAAGAACTACACGAGCAAAGTTATGGCTCGTGATAGGCCTTGTTTTTCTGGACTGTGTTTCTTGCCTAATCTTCCAGCAGTCTTCGGTCTCTTTTCGCGAGGGTAGACCGAAGTAGCTGGGTATACTACCCATTCAGAGAGTTCCTCCTGTAATCTATCAGTAAAAAGTCCCTGGATGTACAACTACTCATGCGAGCAAGACACTGCCTCTTTTCGAAAAATGTAGTTTTGAAACATTGTGACTTAGATTATAAATATGTTCTCACCTCTAAAACAAAGAAGCGCATGAAGCCAAGTCAGTGCAACTCGAGGCTACAATCGCATCACAAGAGGCGCAGTTGCGCAATGAGCACGAAGACGAGGAGTGTACTATTGCAACTAACCGCAGCTAACTGTTCACGATTTTCTTCGTAGTTCTTTTCCATGGAAACAAGAGGGTGAGGACGACAAGAAGCTTCAGTTACTTGCTAGAGCTGAGTTAGAGCTAGAAGAACTGCAGACAAACGAGTGCTCAACTCTACAAGATCCGTTTTTGAGGATAGAGACACTGTTACTCGACAGTATAGACGTCGTGGCAAGATTCATTCACTCGCGTGACACTCTCACCAGGTACAAAACCGGGCAAGAAGGTAGTGAGAAATATAGGTGCAACGAACAAGGCTGGCGAGGGCGTATCAACATGCAATTTATTCCAGTCTACACAGTTCGTCTTTGACGGGGAACACGGGCCGACGTGGTTGCCAGATGGTACAGTTCCAAAGACTTTCAAGCTGTCCAGAGTCCTATTTTCTAATTTATTTCTTCTATACCTAAAGTGTCTGCCTTTTTCACCTGGGTCTTGCGTCTCCCTGTTTCTAATCATTCTGAAGTTCTCACTCGATTCTTTTCATTGGTTTGCGCGACGGACTAGCAGGCACTAAGGAGATAAATAGGGACAATCAAAGGAAATCGAAGTCAGTAACTTTGGCTTGAAGTTGAACGCTTTAGGGCTCTGATCAGTTTCTCATTGTCGTGGCTCATCAAAAATTAGGTATCCTAATCACGACTAACAAGGGAGCGCATATAGACGTAAAGAGTGCTATGAAGACGTACAGTCCATCTCTTGCGAAACAGACCGCCTTGTCGTCCTGGTCGCTGAGGGAGGTCAACCAGCTGGCGAGTGCAAGTAAATTTATGGGTCATAATATTTCTTTGTATTTCATGTGGAGCATCCCAACTGAGTACTCCTGCAATTTCAACAACCAAGCAACCCGCCTCCGATGGGAAAGTGGAACATTAATAACAGGCTCCGTTGACAAATAACAAGAGCCCCAGCACTTAGTCTTTTACTGAGGCCACTTCATCCATATCTAATGAAGGGAATCAAGATGCTTTTGCGGCCTGTGTGACGGACTTGCAGACGCTGTGGACCAATAGCATGAAGGAGGGCAGCAGCATGGAGGCGCCTGTGACCGCAAGTGTGAGCGACGAGTGTAGTAACGCTTTTATTTAAGGCTCAAAATATTGCTTCATTTCCAGCGGCTCTTTTCTCCTGCTCTATCCTTCTTGGGATTCCGAAGAAATGAGCTCAAGAAATGAAAGGCCTTGGGTTCTAAAATCATAATAATGACGGACAAGGAGACTCCGGCACGCGCTTCGAATTCAAATATTACGTCTTAAGGAGAAGGGTGGTATTCCATTATCATTATCTCGCTCTCGCGTGAGGAATGCTGAGTGGAAGAAAGGGCTTCTCCTGATTTCACAGAGCTTTAAGAGGGAAGACGGGAAAAATCCACTTGGGCATCATGGATAATGAAAAACTACCAATCTCTAAGTGTGACCACGATACTAGGTTCATCAGATGAAAAATCCCTCGCCTTCGCAGCACGCGAAAACGGCTGCGGCATCTCCGACGGACAACTGAGGAATGATTTCCCAGACTACAAAATTCACTTCTTTGGCGGCACCTTCGTTATGGCTTGCAGTACGTAGTCTCAAACTGGTTGACACTGAACCTTCGGAATTGACATTATTGTCCAACAGGTGGGACGGGACCAAGGATGTACTAGTTGTTCACCAGACATACAGAAATGCTCGCACGTCCGTCCCCCTTTCGTTTGGTATATAAATCATAGGCATTGTAGTTATCATCCCCATTATCACAAGATAAAGACCTTTGCATCATCTCCCTAGTTCTGTATGAAGAAAATACTTCTCAGGGATGTAGTTCCCGTTTTCGGAGATGTTTTAGATATCTCCACTAGTTTCGTCCTTTGTCATGTTCGATCTTTGCTACCCTCTAATGATAATCGTGATATGAGGCAGCACAGCAGGACGCCGAATTTGGACAATTGGACTATTGAACATAGAAAAGCGGTGGCGGTGCTACTCAAGGAGATCAAGGAAAGCAACAGTGGAGATGCCAAATTGGAGTTGGAGTTGCAGTGTATGTGGATTGGCTCCAGAAGAAAATCAAAATCCAGTTCCGGAGACGGAGTTGGCTATCACCATAATGATGAAGATGAGATAGATTTAGAGATGCTGATGCTAGTTGTAGTTGGCAAGGACAGCGAACCTGTTGTGCGAAGTTTGTACTCAGTATGCGACCCGAAGGTCCAAAATTGCATTAGAGATGAGTAATCTATCAAAATCTATCTAGAAGTACTTCTTTCAGCAATTTTGTAACCTAATATGTTTTCGACCAATTTTGAACCGTAGCTCTTCTTCTTTGACCAATTATCTGTACTCTCTTATCATCATGATCGTAACACTCCAAGCAACATGATCTCAAACAACGAACCGAGGACAGAGTTTTCGAATTTTTTTCTGCGAAGACAGACAGAATACTGACGCACTAAGCATGGCATTTCAGATTTGCATAGAGACGCGCGGCGTGGATTGTAGAGCAAGTTTTTAGGAAAGAGAGTGATGAAGAGCAAGATGATAATTAGGACATCATTTACAGAGGGTAGGACTAGGAGAAGTAGACATTGGAGGTCAATTTTTTTTTTGTACGTGTTAATAAACAAGTAAAGGACCACTGCTGACCACAGGTAGAAGACACAAAGGCAAAGAAAGACCCAAGGATTATGATGAGGGATCGACTCTACAAAAAAGAGTCACTGGTCGTTGTTGATGCGCCAGCTTTGTCAGATCCGATGAACAACTTCAGCGAAGACTTGATGCTTTCGGAGGACAAAGCCCGTGGGCAGGTGCAAAGGTGATTTTACTGCTGAATTGATGCGCTAGCCTTTCAGAAGTCGCTACTGGTGGGTCTTAGAAGTCACGACCGGTGGGTCTCAGAAGTTCTTGCGCTGGATCTTGAAGCTGTCCCACCAATCTACGGTATCTGAGGAGTTCTTTTGCTGGATCTTGATCCTGAAAGGCGCCGAATCTCAGAAGTTCTTTTACTGGGTCTCAGCAGTTTTTATTTTCCTGGATCTTAGTTAGAAGTTCTTTGACTGGATCGTAGAAGTTCTTCTAGAAGTGAATCTCCGAAGTTCTTCTACTGGATCTTCTTAGTCATGCTGGATCTTAGAAGCGCTGACGGTCTAGCAGTGGTGCAAGATGTTGCGGATCTTCCGCAAGATGTTGAGCAAGTAGTTTCTTGTTTATCTTGTTTTGGTAATTTTGATTGACTAGCATGAGTAGTCGTGCTGAGCACTTAATAAATTGTTTTGGAGTTGAATCGTGGATGAGTTGCTAAATCAATGAGTACAGAACTGAGTTCGTTGAGTCATAATTTTGATTCACGCCTGGTGCCGCAGTTTTGTGGTGACCACTGTAAACACCACGTGCTAGTTGAGGACTGCTCTCGAGGAAATATGAAGGAGTGGCTCTGAGCTGTGGCTGCTCAGAGGCAGGCTGTAGAGGAGTGACTCGTCTTGGCTAGTGGAGTGGTCCCCCTTCACAGCTTGAAATCAAAGCTTCGCAAGAATTGAAATAAAAATATATCGAAGTCATATAGAATAGTGCACAGGCTGAGCACTAAAAAGAACTACTACCACCTCTATTCTATTATGCCGTATAATCATCATCACCATCATCACGGAGGCTCCTTTCGAAGTTCTTTTGACAAAGTTAGATCTATGTCCTCCTCCTCCAGTACGCTTCCGCTTTGCCTAACACTATGAAGATTCTAGTGCCAAGATTGACAGTTTGAAAGGAAAGGACTAGTGAAGATTATCTACCAAGATTTTTGCGACAACTACTACTACTGAATGACAACTGATGGATCTTTGTTTTCTTTGTGTATTTTTAATTTTTACCATTACTAGATAGATTAAGTAGAAGATTTACCTCTTTGAGTGCAGTACAACCACCACAACTGGAATTATCATGATTTGTCTTCGTGTTGGATTTTTCGGTCTTTGCGCTTCTAATTCTAGTAACATCTGGACCATATTACTTGCCTCTTTTACAGAAACTAACTAGTGTCATTCAAGCAGACTAGTTATTTAGTTCTTTTCTTGGAAAAATCCACCCTTACTCCTACTCCTGTAATACATAGTACTACGCGGCCGTGAAGATTGTGATATATGAAACCAGAAAAAATCAAAATGATGGCTCCTAAATTATCAAGCAGTTCTCTTCAATCTCAACAACAAGGGAATGTTGGACATGACGAACAACAGAAGGCTCCATTCTCGGCCAGTCATGATGCTGCGCAACTTGTAGTCCAGAAAGAGCATAAAGATTGCGATCCAATTGCTCCCTGGTGTGGTATGGAAGAGGACGTGGGGTCGAATTCCTGCTTTGGCAGAATGCTTAGGTGGCCTTGGTTGACCCTAGTTTTCGCTTCCTCCGCTGCAGGTCTCTGCTTTCTCACGGCGATATTGATAGTCACAACATCTTCGGAACACATGGCTCAGAAGTTTAGGGTCTTTCATCACGCTACGATATCGCACTACCTCGATGATAAGCCAGAAATTGCTGTGCCGATGGGGAGTATTGTCGCTCTCCTGATCCTCGTCTCGCTGCTACTTAGGCATCCCTTATTCATGTTCGGAAAGTTCCAAATTGGGAATTGGATACTCCTGCTTCCGGGGCTAACTGCTTGTGTCGCACTGGTGGGATTGACGTTGTTCTCGAACGGGGAAGGAGACCCAAGAGTTGCCATGACTGTGCGAGGCATGGGCACGCATAAGCTTTTTGCGGACATATGTTGCCTTTGTTTTGCGATCTACGAGCTTGCGCACACGATTTGCCTCCTTAGCGACATTATTCGCGCCCCTCGTGGAATCCCGAAGGTGGACGACCTGGTCGTCGCCTCTGATCCAACGATGAGCTCGAAGATGGAGGTGCCTGTGATTTTACAGACCGAGGATCCCGATTGCGAGGAGGTGCTCGAGGCTTTACTAAAAATCGAACGACCTGTGAGGAAGACAACGAAAGGCGCGTTGGTGCTGCTTTGGTGCTCTTTCGGATTCTGTTTGGTATTGAATGTGTTGCTGTTGGTGTTATATTTTACGTGGAGAATCGCTGTGAATGCTTGCATCCCGGAGTACAACATTTTCGAATGGTTGGCTGTGGGCTGTGTTTGGGTATATTTCATCGCGATGGGAACGGTGCCTCTTGCGCAGCTCTTCAACGGGACGAAAGATGGCCAACATCTCCGTGATAGGCACGGCGATGATGTCGTGGTCTAAGAACGGATGAAGCGATCTCGTACTGTGAACCTCCGGTACGATGGAAACGACGTTTACAGAGATTTATTTATATTTATATTGCGCATGATTTCAAGATGAAAATTATGACTGCCTCTAGAGGATGACTTACAGATTTTGATTTATTTAGAGAAGAACCATGCTGATGAAGATATCCGGTAAAAATGGCGCGTAATTTATGTTCCGGAAGCGACAGAGATGGACTCACTGAAAGAACGACGAAACTATGAAAGACGTAGGTCGTCGCGTATTTCGAGAAGACTTGGTTGCACGACCTACAACTACTTACATTGATATTCATTCATCGGCGCAATGGCAATTCGCCTCAATTTCCAAATGAAAATCACCCAAGCTTGTTCTTCTTTAAGGCGGTTCTTTGACGTGCAAACTGTGACGAGAGAAGATGAAGAAGTCCTTTCGGAAAGAAAAAGTATCAAATGAATGACGAGAGAGGTCGAAGGCCATGAAACTACATATTTGCAAGACTACAAGTACAAGTGCTACCCTTGATACCTCTCATATGTAGTCCTCGCACTTCTACGTCCTCGCGATTCATTCCATTATAACATCAAAGCCACGCTCTCATACCCTTCAGTCTGGTCGGTATCGCTAAGTTACTTAACTAATCGTAATCTATCAACTCACTGAAGAAAAGATCAGCCAAAATGTTCACGCAACAGCCGAGTGCTCCTCGTATTGGTTGGGGCAACTGGACCATGCCCCCGAGCCTTTCTACGGTTGGTTTGAGGGTATTCAGAATATCTTTGAAGTTCTCTTCATCATAGATGCCCGCTTAAGTATCTCTATACTTATAAGTATACTCTCCGATAGTTGTAGGTTTTGGCCGTTGTGATACGGTCTTCTTGCTCCCCCGGTATGTAAGGTTTTAAATGGGGTTATTTAAGCATGTAGTCCTATGGAAAAAAATTTCACTATCACTTGTCTCAAGCAATTAATGAATGAATGAATCAATCAATCATGTAGTTCTTTCTGTCGTGGTGATAGTAAGTACGGCCTATCGTAGTACAGTTGTGACATGTAGCCTCTCATCATGGCGTTACACTAACTACTTCATCGTCCTCCATTTTTTTCGACCACAAATGACAGCCCGTACAGCAACCTCCGACTAGCGGACATCACGACAGCGCCGGAAGTGGTACAACGACAATCACTTTTCAACAGCATCAACCCCAACAGCACCAGCCTGTGGCAGTTGTGCAACATCAAAGAGCAATCAGCCGCACTCCGGGTAGCCAACATAAGCAAGGTGGGCGACCTTCTGTAGCCAACAAAAAGCCACGACCTTCGAACTTACCCCAACCTCGTGATTGGAGAGGCGGCGAGACGTCAGGGGAGGAGCCAAACAGTGCATCCAAAGAAGAGCAGGTCGAGAGGAGCGTCGAGACTCTGGAAAGGAGGAAAACCAATACGACTTCTGGCAGAGGACGACCAACTGCTCAGCATGCTTCTGGTACAACTACAACAAGGGTAGCCACTACAACCACGCCAGGAGCTTCTTCTATTAAGAGTAGGCTCAAGGTGCTTTTCTTACCGCTTTATTTTATGCCTCTCCTAAGGGAGAAAGGCATAAAAAGCGGGGTAAGCGAGCACCAAAAACCTACCTCTAATACAACCACGCCAGGAGCTTCTTCTAGTTCTCATACGCAACAAGGAGTATCGTCCGCTTCTGCTGCAGCAGGAGCAGGCGTCGGAACAACCAGTCATGCCAGAGTACAACTTCCATTTTCTGCGCGAGCTGGTGCTAGTTCAGCCCCTTTTGCACCACCAGAGCGTGCAGTATCTGCAGAGCAATATCCACCCCCAAATAGTGTGGTTGGTGTGCCAACAAACTTCTTGAACAGCACGAATGTTCTTACTCGTCGTGGTCTCCCAACAACAACTGCGCAACAACAGTATACTTCTGCGAGCCGTACGGCTAATATACCTGCTAGTACCCACCTATATCAACAAGGACATCAGCAGGGATATCTTCAACACAACACCATACAACATCCTAGTCAGCAGGTAAATATCCAACATCAACCGAATACAACTGCAGCTACCTCAACTTCTGCTTATAAAAATTTTCCAGGGGCTTCTTCTACAGCTTCTACTGGTGCCCCTGCTCCTCCTCGTCTCTTATCTGCGTCTTTCTCTGCTGTTCCTCCACCTTCGCCTGGAGGTTCTGGCGGACATAAAACTACTGCTGCGCCAGGACTTTGGCAACCATTTCAGATTGGGACGTCGAGTTCCCAATTCTTTGGAGGACTCCAACAGAATTTAGGTTTTGGTTTTACCCTATTATACCCTATTGCTTTTGGAAGCATCCTGATGAAGAGTCCCTTGGGTTAAGGGAACATCAAGTGCTGAAAGAACAGGATGCTTCTCGAGATAGATCATTTTTAGGGTAAAATCTATCTCTAAGAAATTCCTCCAGCAGCTCAACAGCGCGTGTCTACAATCCCTCTGTGACCGTAGTACAGCATCATCAAGTACATCCTGCTGCCACCAGCACTGTCGTATACCCCTCTTCAAGTCAACCTGTGCCTGGGACCACAAGCGCTGGCGGAGTAACAAGTCAGTGCGTAGGTAGAAGTATAGAAGAAAGTCTTCAGAGTACTAGTGCAGTTGTTCCCGGTGGATCTGGAGGTGGTACTACACCGAATGGAGTTCGACATACAGCCACCTCTGGTGCAACAGTAAATAGTGGAGCAGCCTCTGCTAGGCATGCTACCCAGCATTCTAGTTGTACGTGGCAAACGGGCTCTCCGCGGGCTGCTGCATCGAGTCGGCACACACTTGGAGGCGGTGGAGGTGCTAATAAACTACAATTAAGGCTTCTGTCAGAACTGATGTCATCATCTTGATAGCGGGGAAAGGGGCCCAAGCAACTTGGAACGGGGGGGTCGCTATCTTCGAGAAATCTATCTTCTTCAAGAAAACCCCTTCCCATGCTGACCCCACATCAGATGGGGTAAGCAGCTCTAAGCTGACATGGAGCACCATCATCGTCGAATGCTGCATCATCCCATCGGTTACCACCTAGACGTTCTGCACGACAGTCGAGTTCTAGACAGGAGGAAAGTTCCTTACCGCCAAGCAGCAAAATATTCACGATGGAAGGAGAAGTAGTCAGAGGCGACCCAGCGCCGCCAAGACGTAACACGTTACAGGGACGACCGAGAGGAGTGTCTTCGCAGGTATATTAAAGAGAAGTAAAACGAGCTAGTCGTGTTAGTCTGCATCATCTTGATCTAGATCTTCAGGTTCAGTCATCTTTTGCATCAATTCTAACAAATGTTGATATTCTGTTTTGTTCGTTTTTTATCTAGAGGTTTAGTTATTTTTTGAAACGTTTCTTGAAATCTAAAGCCTATGAGACAACCAAATAGTCACTCTTTTCAAGTTCTACCTTAATCTTGAGTAGCCATTCGCTGAATTTCATTAACGTGTGAAAGTTGCGTCCCGTTATACTGGAGTTTCAGTGAATTTTTTTCACTGTGAAACTTGACGCGTAATAAACTCGAGCTTCAAGCTTTGTCTTTGAAGGTTCTCGTAGGAACTGTACAAATTTAGAAAACTTGCGTTCGTAAGAGGCATTCCAATTAGTGGCCTGAAAAAGAACAACTCTCATAAGTCATTTAGTTGAAGGGATGCTTCTTCGTTGGGGTTTCTAACAAGAAGCTGAAGGAGCTTCTTAAATTTCTTATTTCTTATTCGTTTCCTACTTCGTTTAAGCTAGCTTCAACGTCAACGTGTCAAAAAATTGCGCGAAACAAAGAATACTGCTACTAAGTCAAGAAAGCTGGGAAGAGTTAACTTATCGCTCAACGACATATTATTAAAACACACCCTGCATCACCTCACACAAGGCACATTCACTTACTCACTCACTCATTGACTCACGCACTCGATTTACAGCGTGAAGGTGACCGTAGCGCAAACATCAGCTCACTACATACTAGCAGACATACTACACACTCATAATATATGCTTCTAGTATTCCTCCTTTTTTCAATTTCATCAGGCACCTCCACAAACTGCGCCACGACTAAAAGTAATGACAGGCATATTTACTAGGAAAGGGGAAGTGATAGTAGGGCGAAATCGGTTGGCGTCCTTTACAGCGCATTTATCGGCTCTCAAGCCAAACCACTAGGGGTGTTATAAATTGCAGACATGATAAATATTTGTAGTCCCTCTCTGCAGACATGATAATATTTGTAGTCCCTCTCTGCAGACAGACCACGTAAAACTGCGGACGGCGGACCCAGTCCTAATTCAATTTCATAATTTCATCAGGCACCTCCACAAACTGCGCCACGACGATCCGCACGACAAAGATCCGTGAGCGCTAGTCGCGACCGCAGTGCATCGTCTTCTAGGAGACACGACCAGTCAAGCTCGTTCATCGAAGATGGAGGACCCCCATCTGCTCGCAAAGGGTCATCGTCTGTTTATGGTTCTTTATTCAAGTGGGTTTTGTATAGCCAATATATTTCGCACACTATGATCGAGGAGGAGAAGATCGAGGAGATGAACGAGTACTTCTTCTAGAAGTTAGCAGTTGCGGAATCCGTGGCAACTCATACTACTAGACGAGAGTAGAAGTTGCTCGTGGTCAACCCCTGCTGACACATGCAGCAGCTTGAGCACACCTCATCCACTACAGTCTCGTCAATAGCAAACACATGATTCCTCCTTAAGCTGCTTCTAAAATGAAGAACATTCTAACTGCTAAAGTACTCGAAAACTGAAAATAAGCGAGTTGCTGACCGAAATAGAAGAGTCACTACTACATTCCTCTTCTCTCAGTCTCTCGATTAGTTCAAGTAGTTACTTAAGCATTCTAATGCCTCTCGTCCAACACCCGCTTGCAAAATCGTGAGCAAGATTTGGCTGATCAGCGCATAGCGACCCTAGAGGAGCTCTTGCAGAAACGAGACACGGACCTGAAACAGACTCTACAAGATTTGAGCTTGCAGCAGAAGAATCAAAGGCTAGCTGAACGCAAGGAATTGGAGGTGAAGAAGCACTTAACCGAAGTTATGGTAAGGCGTTCCTGGCGATCTCCATTGTATTTATAGATTTCATCTTAGTAAAAATCCAAATGATCTTCTTTATCATCTTGTTGTAGTTGCAACCTATGCCTTCATTTTTTCAGAAAATACAACAACAGTTAAGAGTAGAGCTAGAGTAGTACCCACCTCAAAATTTAGCTCTTTCACCGGGATGAACATGAAGATGACGAACTTCTTTGCTTATTCTTAAAAGCACTAAGACAAACATTTGCGTAAAATCAAATATATCAGCTATAATTTATCGTCGTGTAGCGATAGCCGATATAAAAACTAATATTTGGAACACCTCAGTCATGCTAGGCACATTCATTCAACATCATTCATCAGTCATCGACAATGATTCATACACATACACTTATTAAGGCTCAGCTTTCAATGGTCATTGGGGTTGGTCACTGGCGACCCCTTGAGAGAACAGGGGAAAACGAAGGGAAAGGGGAGAGCTTTGAAGGGGGTCCCTTCCGTTCAGAGTCAGTGACCATTGAAGGCTGAGCTTTAAACTTAAGATGTTGCAGCTAGGTGACTGAAGGAGATCCCACACTCTGACTCTAACATAGCCCGAAAAGAGATTGCACAGTGCAAAGTCACAGTGCATCAGCAGCAACAGGAAATTGATCGACTCCTCTTCGAATTGGAGAAATCCAAAGTGAAAGCCGAGCAAGCAGCTTTGCGCTATAAACAAGAACATACGGCGAAATTACACGCGGTGGCACAGGTATAATTTTTATTTTATTTTCTATTTGGTCTTTGACATTTTCTCTGACCTTTATATTCCTAACTAATAGTAATCCTCGTGTTCTATTTGGTCAAGTGATTCCCTTTCCATGATTAGTTGGGTTGCGCTTACGGGATTATGATGAAGCAGTACTAAGAGTATCGGTGATGTTGTTAAAATCTGTAGGTGTGGTGACTGAAATAAAAGTGGTTGCTAGAAGTTGGAATGCTACATAACTATAACTTATGCATCCGGTAAGATACAAGCGATCTTCTCATAGCTTCTGCACACATCGAATCTCCAGTTAAAAGACGCGCAACGGAAGCTGGCAGAGAGACCGTTGGAGAGACCCTTAGATTCCCAAGGCTCGTCAAAGACTACTGGTCTTGGCATGTCCAGTGTCGGGCCAATCGAATCGTCAGAAGAAGAGGTATGGCATAAAAAATCAGTATGTCGATTGAGCTTTCAACATGTTGACGACATGATCTGCTTACTACTAACTTGTTATAAGAAACTTAGTAAGCAGACTAATTTTCTCATGGCCCTGCTTTCTGAAGAAGTAAGGACGAGACTGATTTTTTCATGTAAGAAATTAGAGTTAATGCAAAAATAACGAAAACTTGTTCTGCTTCTCATTGTCCTGCTCTCGTTCTTGTCTTGATGTCTTCTAACATTCCCGCCAAGTGAGGAAGTCCCATATTACGAAGCGCCACAGGAGCAAAGTTTAATTAGACCTCCGACTACCATACGAGCGAGCACCATACCTATCCACGAAACGCCAAGACCTCCAGTATTTTTCCTTGTCTCTAACTAGCCTACTTAGACTTACGTTTGCTTACCCGCTCCCGCCATTGTTCTCTCATCCTGTGTCATTTCTGTTGCTGTGTAGTACTGACGTTTGCTTTTCCATTCCCTCATCCTTAGTTATTTGAGATGATATCAAGAAAGACGATATCAGAGACACATACATGATCATTTTTCCTATTCCCGCATCAACCATCTCATCTATCTCATCACATTCCCAGACACCTATGTCTCATCACTCAGTGCAATCCCATCTTTCTGAATTTCCATCCTCCCATTCTCAGAAGGCAAATTGAAATACCATTTTTCACCAGTCTCCTCGCCGCAGCACTGCTGCTTCGATCTGTACTAGTGCGGACCCGAAAAACGTGGTCTCGCTTCGCGATCTTTCGGAGCTCAAAGCGCTAAAGAAGCCTCCAGAAGCTTTGAGGACGCTGTTTTTAAGGGTTGAAACTAACATTTTATTTCTAGTTGTACATGCTATGCTTCCTTCTTGAATAAACATTTCACTTCTTGTATTTGTCTTCTTTCTTCCTTATAACGTTGCTAGCTAGAAAGGCTTTTTGTTTCTAGAAGTGAATAAGAAGCCAAGGAAGATGTTTTGAGAGATGTAGTTGGCTTACATCAATACATAGCGGAGGTATAGCTTCTAATATCTGAAGCGATCTGCCTCTACCTGCACATTGAACCCATAAAGAAGTTCGACAGTAAGAGCAACAAGAGCTATCTGGACTATTGGGAACCGAGCAGAAAAATGATCTTGTCGGATACGCATCTGATTTATGGCTAAAGACGATTCTTCCAGCATCTTTCAAACTGTTTGTTTCATTCTAAATTATTTTGTTGTTCTATAATTCTAACAACAAATACTGCTCTATAACCTTAAAAACACGCACGCTGTCGTCAGAATTACCAGTCGTAGCCTAGTAGTCGAAGAAAAAAGTCAAAGTGTTGTAGCAACCGCGCATCACTACAGCACTGCGGGTGCTTTTTACTTCTAGTAAGGTCCAGTGGTCTAAAATATTTTTAGTACAACATCTTCACTGCTCATCTCATGCCCTCGCCTTCCTCTGACGCTGACCTCTCTTCCTCGTCTAACCCTTGCAGCGACTTCGTAGTGCCAATCCCGGCCCAGGGACTCTCCAGGAAATCCGAACTTTGTTTCAGTTAAGGCCTAATGGTCTATCTTCAAAGAAGTCATCCCACTCGCTCCCAGGAGAGAGACTTTTCAAGGAAAAAAGAGACCTAATCGATCCTTCAGGAAGACAGTATTTTTTACCGAGGATGATTGAAGACAGTATTCTTACCCAGGAAGACATCTTAGAATTACCTAGGTATTCAACCATACCCCACGAATGAGTACACTACTGCTACTACTACTATTACTACTTCGTGATCCCCAATCTTCCATCTTCGGATCCATCTTCGGAAGCATTACTTTTCAAGGGAAAAAGACTCTAACTCTGCAACGTTCGGGGATTATATCTGAGGAGAAAATCGCCAATTGTAGTCGCTCCGCAAGACCATTGTTCGCTTTTCTAGTCAGCGTAGCAGAGGGTGGCAGCGCAGGAGGTGGATTTGGGGGAGGGGGTAAATATTATATCTTGCTTGTGATGTGAGTGCGTTTGTAGCTGTTCGTCGTGCTTGAAGTAGTTATTCATCAGGTAGGAGTACGTCATCGATTTTGGCTCCTGCTACTGTAGTTCATTTCGCAGTCACGACGGACTAGTAAAGCTGCATACTAGATCCCAAAAATTGGGAATACTAATACTTCTCTACTTCTTCACAACCAATTATCCAGGCGGCCCCGCTGTCGAGTTCGCACCATTGGCAGCATCGGCGCAAAAATTTCTCGATCATAGTGGAGGCCCTAGCATTGCTAGTTCACCTGATGCTCGGAGCTCACCAGAACCAAGAATCCTCTTTCAGTTAAGGCTTTCGGGAATCTCCCATTTTGAAAAGCATCTTGAGACAGCACCCCTCTAAGGGAAAAAAGAACGCAAGATGGGCTTCAAGATGGATTCCGGGAAGATCTAACTCAGCAGAGTGCGGAACTTCAAGCTACCTGAGTTCTTCATGATAACTACATCGAAGACGATTTCAAGGTTGATCATAAGGTTATACGATGAAGCGAAATGCACCATCTTGCACTAAATAAAAAGAATTCACTGCAAAATGCATCAAGTGGAAGCGACCCAACAAAGTCACAAGACAGGTGGCCGTTCGAGAAATACGCACCTTCATTTTCAAAAAGATTAAGCAGGAGCAGTCAGTTATGCTGATGAATGATAATTTGAATGATCATAATTTCAAGTCCTTACTCTTGCAGCTACAACTAAGCACCTGAAACAAGATTGTTGGATAGACCATAATATCTACCTTCCCTGCAAGATCATCTTCATCTTGCAACCTCCAGCAACAGGGCTGTTCATGCTGCTTTTGTTCGAGGATGCCTTGGTCGTGACCCGTGAATTAGAAATTTGAAGAAGAAAACAACGATGAATCTAAATAAGAACATTGTTGAGCAGCAGGAAGTAGAGGAAGAATATCAAGAGCAACATCAACTGATTTACCTTGATGAAAAATCGCCAGGAGGTCGTGGCTATGGATTGATGCTTGGAAGGATTTTTTCAATGCATAGTGCTGTTTACTTGATTGCGATTTATTCTGTAGTTCTTTTTCTCCTCGTCCTCAAACTCAAGTACAACTAATTCATCTTTTCTCAACCAATATAAGAATGTCGAACGGTAAGGAGGGTCGCAGCCTGGAGTTGCAGAGAGCTGCAGCTCAACCATCATCAAGCTCCAGCGCAGCTTCCGCGAGTGCAGCCGGTGCCAGTAGAAGCATGTTCTCCGGGTTTAGCTTCAAGAAAAAGGCGGATGATTCTACTGCTACTAATTCTGGACGAGCAGCAGGAGGACCTACTTCATCTGCGACACCTGGAATAGAACCATCACTAGCTGGAGGAAACGGCTCTTCGATTTTCCACGGAAACAACCAGAAGAAACAGGATGAAACTAGTTGTAGGGTAGAAGCGATCACAACCTTCGATGCTTCTTGTCTAGAAAGGCCTGTGAATCTTCCTGTGATAGACCTAGGTCTAGACCTGAAACGGTTAGCGGAAGAGGACAAGGTTTTAGTGGAGGAGAGGAAAAAGAGAAAAATACTTGCAGGAGACGTTGACCTAGTGACCAACGCGAAGAGCGGAGCCGCAGGAGCAAGTAAGGTAGAAGCAGGTGAGCAGGTCGCAATAGACGTTGTTGACGAGGAGCAAGGTGGTCTTCGTGGAATAGCTGCGTCCTCTTCTTCAACCGTAGCAACTACCACAGTTTCAACTACCACTGCTTCAACTTCTAGCACCTCAGCGAACCAAGCACAACAAGTCACCGAGGACGAGGCTGCAGCTGCGATCTTAGCCGAGCTACAAAATCCAGATACCAACGAGGCAGCAGTGGCAGCTGGAGGATCATCCTCGTCCTCTGCGGCTGGACCAGTGATTCATGGTCTTGTTGATCAGAGAGCAGTCGATACGGCGAGGACAACTCCTTCTAAAGACAAAACATCAACAACAAGTAGCTCAAGAAACTTTCCTACCAGTACCACTACAGCCTCTACTGGTACGTCAGCGTCATCATCTGGAATGAACCAAAAGAAGGCAGCACTTTTTGGCGGCGGAGCGAAGAAGCGGAAGGCAGATGGTGCGCGTCCTATTCTTAGTAAGCGCAGTGAAGGCGTTACTGCAACTGACGTAAAAGCAGACGAGCAGTTTGAAAACATGGACATAGCTGACTTCGGGTGGGCTTATCTACGTGGACTGGGGTATGACGAGTCTAAACACCGTGTGAACATGGTCAAACTAGAAGGGCAAACGAAAAATCTAGGTCTCGGAGCTACAAATGTGCTCTTGCCAACAGACCACCTGGTGGCTGCGGGGACGAAGGGGAAGGGGAAAGGTGGTGCTGGTGGGAAGAATCATAACACTAGCACTACTTCAAGTACAACTTCTATTGCCGCCGCGGGAGGAAATAATAGTGTTGCCGCGCCAGTAGAAAATGGAGCAGTTGCACCGCAATACAAAGCTTCTTCAACTTCAGCCACATCAAGTGCAGGTGCGTCTTCATTATCATCTTCAGCTTCGACTAAACTTCTAGCAGATTCCAAGAATACTCCGCTGAAAACCTGGCTTCGCAGAGGATTGATTGTGAAAATCTGTGACGAACGGTGCCCAGCTTACTGCAAAAAAGGTCCTATCGTAAAAGTAGAGATAACTTCCTCGACTTCCGCCTCAGCCATCGGCTCAGTAGTCGCCACAGTCCAAGCAAAGGTGAAAGAGGGGAAAGAGAAAGTTAACAAAACCTTTCGTGTCAAGGAAAAGCACCTGGAGCCAACGATTATCATACCAGAAAGCTCGTCTACAAATTCATCTAGTTCTAGTGTAGTCAAACGTATTCGCACTGGTTCTAGAAAGTCAGAGTGGACGTCTTTGCGAGTGTTGAAGGCGGATAAGGAGAACAATACAGCAACGTTGGTTGATCCAACAAATGGTGGGTTACTGAATCTCACGCTACGCGACGTGTGTGCCTTCGACGCCAATGAATGGGATGAGGAAGAAGTTGTTACATATCATGGTCTTGCTACATCATCAGAAAGCTCTGCTGGTGCAAAAAGATAGCACTTAACTTCCAGGCTATCTAAGTAGTTAGATTTAGAACAGAAGAAGTTGATGTCTTTTTATACACTACCTATATTGAACAACCCCAGACTCCTCTCAGTTTTATCATACTGTCTTCCCCACGACCTGGTTGCAAAAAGCGATAATCGAGTTGTAGCACTGCGCGTGCCTTCGTGACGCAGATGCGCCGTCATTCTCATTCGTTCGTGTTCACTGGTCGAAGCGGAGATCTTTGCTCTTGGCATTATATATCAAGCTCTGACTTCTGGTTCTGTGGTCATCATGTTGCGTGATGTGAAGCACGAGGCATAAGATTGATGACGAAACGCGGAAGAGTATTTTCGTGATCTCCAAGTCGGGGACATTCGCACTACCACACTACAAATCCTTGTACTTCAGGCGACTCTTGCTTCTAGCTTTTGCATTTTTGTTTTTAATAGTTAGAAGATTGTTATATCCACTATCGTCTAACAACGAACTCTATCATTACCACTACCACTTACGGTTTGTAGTCCCTTTCACTAGTAGCAGTACCCACGTGTCTAGTCCCAGCACCTACACGGACCACAAGGCATTCTTCCAGTGTAACTTAAATTTATGCTGTCTACTGCAACATCGACATCCAGGTCAACCTACTTACCACGGGGTGACTTTCTTGATACAACATCGACATCCAGATCAACCTCCTATGAATATCTATCTACGCACACGACTGATCTACTACACGACAAGGAACAAAGATGGAAGTCGTTGATTCTTGCGTTGGGATGGATGTGGATGGGTCTGGAAATCCTCCAACGTCCTCTGTCTTAGGCGACTTCAATGCCGCTGAGTTACAAACGCTAGAGCGTGGCAGACGGCTTCGAGCTGAGGGGAAGTGGAGTGAAGCTGCGCAGCTGATCAATGCAGATTTTTCGAAACAAACGAAAGATGTATATTAGAGTAGTCCGTTTTTCGAGTTACGGGTTGCTCGAGTTCTCTCGAGTTACCACGAGTTGCCGAAACTCACGCGCCCAGTCCGGAACGAGTTGCTAACGAGTTCCTCTCGGCAGCTTGCCACTTTGAAAGCGCAGCACCCCGCGGCGGTATGGCGGGCCAAGATGCCGCGGAGTTCAGGGGGAAGCTCGTGGCCAGTTGTTTCGTGGCAGATCTGCCGTCTGTATTAAAGAGACACGCCCCGGCCGAGCTCTTCGGGGCTTGGGCTTAGCGAAAGTATGAAGGCGAACCCGGGGCCTTTTTTGTTTGAGTGGCGCGCGCGCAAGCCTTGTGAAGTGCAGCGATTTCCTCGCGGTGTCGGTGTCTCTGCATGGTCGTGCGCTGATGTCGGTCGCGGTCTGGCTCTGTTTTTTTTTGCTGGTGAGTGGCCAGCTTGTTCGGCTTCTTGGGGCCCCTGTTTGCGCTGTAGTGGGCTTACTGAGTAGCGCGCCGCCTAGTGGGTAGCGGTAGCATCACAAGCAGGGCCCCCCTGAGTAGTGTAGACGCATCGGGATCGGAATGGAGTAGATTCATTTGTGTGCTTGTTTTATAGGACAGCAGCTATACATTACCAGGCAGGCGCGCTATCTTAGTAACACAAAACTACGAGGGCAGGGCCCTGGGTGGCGTTGCTCTTGTCTGCCCCGCGCATGCAGCGCCTCGCAGAGAAGAGAGGGCGCTACTGGAGGCGTTCGCTTGTGAGGGTGGTTTGCGCCCCTGGGCAACGTATTTGACGCTTCGAAGATAGTGCGCCCGAAGGGCGCAGCGAAAATCTTTTTGGTATGGAACTCGTTCAACTCGAGCAACTCGAGCAACTCGACCCGATATCGGGCGCAAAAAGTCTAATTCTAGTATATGTGATTTTGTTTATGTTTTGTAAGTCACAAGCACAAGCGCAACAGGAACTACACGAACAGCTATCGCTCTTCTAAACCTATCCCAAAAATCCATGGTTCAATTTCAAAAATCCATGTCCTTGTTCCATCTCTATTTCATCCTAAAAAGGTCCGCATAGCTGTCGAGGCTGCAGAGTTCACGCTTTCCTTGTGCTCTTCAGCAAGCCCGCAGACGGTGGAGGCACATTCCGCCAGAGCTCTGGATCTAGTTCAATACTATAGCAGTACAACTACAGCTCAACAGCAACAGCAAGGCTTTACGGATGAGCTCCAACTTCTAGAAACGAGGACAAGAGTCTGTGATTGTCGGAGTCTTTTTGCGAAGGCGAAATACATAGAAGCCTGTTCCAAATGGATAGAGCTCTGCGGATCGTCGAGTAGTCGTGTCTTGGGAGCAACGAGAGACGCCTTGCACCACGCCATAGCGTGCGCAGTGTGTGCTGCGAGAGGGCCAGGGAGGACACGGTTGCTGAGCGTAATAGGAGGTTTCTTAGGTGGTCGTGCCGCTGCTGCTAGCAGCGGAGGTTACACGACCGACTCTCCCTTCTCCAACGAGCGTCTTCAAAAATTAGCGAGACTCGTTTCCCGTTTACACGCAGAGCGCTTTCTAGACATGGCTACCTCAGACGAGAAGATCCGCCCACTGCAATCACTTGCTCTCCTCGCTTCATCACTAGTCTCCTTGTCCGACCCCACAACCATGTCGCAGCCCCCCACAGACATCTTCACCGAAGAATACAGGAAAGCAGAACAACTCCTGTTGTCAAAGGTTCAGGATTATGGCAATCATCTTACTTTCATGGCAATCTTATCTTCAATCTTATCTTCAGACAAGTACAGACTTCCAGTTTTTTCATGATGTTCCCAGGCACCAGCACCGCGGACTACCTCAAATAACTCAGAGGAATTTGGTTGAGTAGTCCTGTTTTTATCCTCTCCAACCTGTTTTTTTTTCGACGTATCTGCTCCTAGTACGGCGTCACTCAGTCGTTGCTGGCTCGCCTTTGTCTCGTTTCCTGCTTTTGCTCTGTCTCTCAGGTGCTTGAGACGTGGATGGCATCGTCATCCTCGTCGCCGTCCTGGGGATTCTTTTTCTGATCCAGCAAAGCATCAGAGTTGTTGTTCTCGTCACATGCCCACAGACTTTGCGCATTGTACTTGGCAAAGATCTCGAAGTCCTGGAGATCCTCTGTGTGCTCATGCGGGTCTTCCTGCATGCGCAAGAGCACGTGGGGCAGCGTCTTCTTCACAGAAATTGGACAATGATAATCCAAAAATTTTTATCCAAGGTATCTCCTCCTACTCAAATTCATTCAGCATGATCTTCTCAACTCCAATATTTATATAATATGTAACAGACTCTACTGCGCCCACTCTAATGCCCGCACAATCTCCTCTGTGCGTGTCGACTCTATTCCTCGGTTCGGCTCAGGGATTTGGCCATCCTAAATCTTGGTTCGGTTGAGAAGCTGGCAGTGAAGCTTATTAACGATGGAAGGATAAATGGCAGTATCGATCAGGAATCAGACCTGATTTATTTTCATGTTATGGCCACGACTACTTAATGGAGGTATTCGGAATACCTTGAAGGTACTAGTAGTTTAATTATAAGGCTCAGCTTTCAATGGTCATAGGGGTTGGTCACGGAGATCGAAGAAGCGACCCCTTTAGAGAGCAGGGGAAAAGGAAGGGAAAGGGGAGAGCTTTGAAGGGGGTCGCTTCAGTTCAGCATCAGTGACCATTGAATGCCGCGCTTTAATTTAAGTTTTACTTGCTTGTTATGTAGTGTATGTCGACCGTCGATAAGGCGACGGTGGACGTGCACTACATAACAAGCAAGTAAAGGTAATTTTATAGTGTATGTCGCCAAAGATAATTCTTAGAAGGTCTTTGGTTTTAGTGTACGTCGACCGGCGCCTTTCATCATTCTATAATACCAAAAATAATTCTAAAAAGTGCTTTCCTCGTTAGTAGAGATCGAGACTGCACTGATCATCGTTACCTATGAACTGATCGAAACTGCACTGAGGCTGATCATCATTAGAGATCGAGGCTGCACTGAACTGATCGAGCCTACAAAGTTCTTTCGTTCGAGCATCGCCATGATCCTCTACTCAGCGGATCATACAACGCATCAACATTTCTAACTCGAAGAGCCAAAGCGAGGGCGATGCAACAGCTGCCAGTCTGCTTTCGACCATTGATGACTGCGCACAAAGAATTAAAGCATTGAGACTAAACGCCGCGTCTACAACTTGCTGACGATTTTCAACATCGGAGAAATTTACATTGAGATTGACCTACAATCGCATGCTCATGATAACATAGTACTTATCCCCATTTTCAAAGATGAGCATTTTCAAAGAACATCTACTTGCTGCTATCTTCAAGAACATTTATGAAGCCGTGAACACGGAAATTGCCTCTCTTCGTGCGTACCATGTTGATCTTGGCTGTTCTCAGGCTACTGTCGCACCAGGAGAGCACCTTCTCTAGTAGAAGCACCAGGAGAGCCTGAAGATCAATGAATCAAATTTAAACTCTCTTCTCTAGTAGCACCGGGAGAGCCTGAAGATCGATTCCAAGCTTGCGATCATGAAAACAAACAAAAAAGGAATTTTCCTCGGAAGATCGTCTGTAGTTTATATTTGAGCATCTGCACCAGTTGTATTGGGAAGACCACGACGTCAAAGAAATGTTCTAGTACCACTTATTTTTCAGTGAAAATACTTGTGACAGGGCGACTTTGGCTAGGCGATACTTGATTTGTTCTTTATTAGCGACAACGACACCGGTTTTATTAGCGACACCGGCATCCTGATGAAACTGTAAGTTGATCTACTTCCCCTTTTTTCACCAAGATTACATTTCGTAAGAAAACGAAAACAACACCATGTCTACTATTACGATAAGTTCTACAGCTGCTACGACGTTATCGTCCAAAGCGACGAATCCATGGCCATTGACCCTTAGTGGTCCTTCATGGGAGGACGTTGTGAGCTGTCTTGAACAAGAGGATGAGGCGCCCGCTGAAGTCCTCTACCGTATGATCTTCGCGGCACGTAGCAAAGCACCTTCGAAAGGAGAAGCTATCAGAGTCCTTTATGCGGGATTAGCGAAGCAGGATGCACATGCCGAACGAGAAAGAAAAGAAGGTCTATATCATAGTGGAACTACAGCATCACTTCATCTGCTAACTACACCAAGCTCGTCAAGCTCAAGTTCATGTGGAGGTGCTAAGAATAGTTCTGTACTCTTTCGACATGAGTGCTGTTATTTGATGGGGCAGGTTGGGGCGGACACTGCAGACTGGACCGAGAAACGAATGGCTTTCGAGTTTCTCCTTCGGGTTCTAGTTATGGACGCGGAATATACTAATACTTGCCTAGACGTCGACTTGTAGTTGATGTTGTACGCTGTTAATGTTCCTCTAGTACTAGTGGATAATTCGTGTGAAAATATCCAAATTTTTGTTTGCTCTAATTTCCAAGACGAAACCGAGCACGAAGTGACTAGACACGAAGCAGCAGAAGGCATTGCTGCAGTTTTCAGCAACAATCTGAGAGAAGAGGATGAGTTGAGGGTACTCGAGTTCTTTGAAGAAAACTTCGCGCGAAAGATACAGGAATCCGAAGACGATGAAGAAATAGCCTCAACAACAACGGGTGGTTCTGCGACACCACCGTCCTCTGCTGAGGAACGAGAAGAACCAGAAGGAGTTGGTCAAGGTGTTGCTACTTTGGAAAATTCTTCTACGACGAGGACGCTAATGGAGGTTCAAAACGATAGTCCGAGTACAAGAACTAGGAGAGACCGGATCAATGCAGCTTTGATTCAATTGCTTTCCAGGTACTTCGAAGGACCAGATGGAACAAGAACTTCTTCAACAAAGGAAGTAGGACGTTGCTCTTCCTGGTCTCCTTTAGCGCAAACCTGTTTCTTAGCTGTAGAGGGCTTGAAGAGGAACACGTCACGCATGTGCGCTTGCCAGTATTCGTCGTATGATCCTGCGTTGGGTGAACTAGGCGCAACAGAAGCAGACATCCCAAGACTAGGAGCACAACTGATGAACGAAGATCATAGGATAGAAGACGAGGAAGCATGCGAATTGGTTGGTGGTTCAGAAGTAGAGACCGCTCTGGTTGCTTGCAAAAGGATCGAGAACATCAAGGCATTGATGTACAAGAGATATGTTGCGATGTTTACACTGCGGAATTTACAGGCAGTCGCACCACTGGCAGAAGCACTGCAACGTGATGAGTCCAGTCCAGTCCTGCGACATGAAATCGCGTTTATTTTAGGACAGATGGAACATGATCACGATGATTCTAATCAGAGTCAGACTCTACCTCCAGGCATCGCAGCCCTCCTAGAGAATTTGGCGAAAGAAGATGAGCATTCTATGGTTCGACACGAAAGTGCGATTGCTTTAGGGACTGCCTGTGGTGAGGATTATGGCAGGATGTCTGCTAAGGAAGTATATCTACATGCGCCTGTACTAGTTGAAGATGTTGTACACGGAGGACAATCACAAGGACAGCACGAACACCTATCGTCCACTTCGATAGCTGACGTGATTGTCCAAGCACTAGAGGTGTACGCCCTCGACCCGGAACCCATAGTGGCTGAAAGTTGCCTAGTTGCGCTGGACACAATCAGATACTGGAGGATGTGGGATGAAGAAGAAAAAAGAATTCTTGGGGACTCATGATGAAGATGTTCTGCTTCACCCAAGGAAGTACGAAAGCATGACCAGCACTATGATTATGACAAGTCTCAGCATCTTTGTTTTTCACCATAGTGAAGAAGAAGATGACCCTTTCTTAATGCCCTCTGTCTCGCTATTGGAACCCGAACCCAATTGAATTTGGAAAACTGAGTTGATCCGGTGAAGATTGAACGTGATCACGACTCGTGGTCCGAACGTTTAATACAACGATCTTGCCATACAGAACTACGTGATCTGTTTGACTTTTCCGAATGGACCTTCCGCTACTCGGATTGAGACTTGCGCCAGCGAATCTGGCCGCCCGCCCAGCCTGCTTGCCAACTTCTGTAGATAGATGCTAGTCGCTGATCTTCGACATTCTTATCCATCATGATGAGCTACCGTCTTCTAGTCCCTTCGTGGTCAACCTGTTCTTGTTCTTGGATCCGGTGAAGATTTGTGGTCAACCTGTTCTTGTTCTTGGATCACTCTGTTTTCGCGACCACTTTCTTGTTGGGGTACACGTCGTCGAAGCCATATTTATAGAAATATGTTGGCGTGATCCCTTGTCAGCCTCAGGGGTCTCGTACGGGAAGACACTCGAAGAGACTCCTCTAGTGGTTGTGCGAAGTGTGGTTAGAAGCTACAAGAAAGTGGACATGACCTAGGAACTAGCGCAACCAACGTGGATGTCTCATCTGCGTCCTCGTTTGCAATTGAGTCAATTAAGTAACAAGAGCGAAACAAAAATCGCCGGTGTGCGTTTAAATCACCACGTGTGTAGAGATCAGGTGTATAGAGTGCAAACCGCTTTGATGGGAAATTGTCTGGCGTCGCATTCTCATCGAAATTGAAATCTTGACTTTTTCTCCAAAAAATATGATAGAAATGAAAAAGGCACGTTGTGATGTAGTGTTTTTCACGAGCAAGCACAGTTGCTGAAGTGGCTTTTTACACCCTTTGCTAGCTTGTACATCATCTTGCTAGAGCCATTGTGAAGATTCGACAATACTAGGAGTAGAAGGTAGAGCTACTCCTGTTTCCTGTGCTGGGTTGCTTATCCTGGATCAGGGAGCGCTGTGGCTGTGGGTAGGTTCGTATCACCATATCACCTAACGAAAGTGCCTACTTCTCATGTATGTTGTGGGAACAAATGCAACGAGCGAGAGGGCCATTGTTTTATCTCGCAACAAGAATGGATACAACTCTTCTTGCAATAGAGTTGCTCATGATGCTCATCGACATCTATAATTGATCATCTTGCTGGCACGTACTCAAAACGTTTGCGTAACAAAAAAACTGGCCACAAAACCAGCGTTTGCGTAGTACTGGTTGCGTAACCTTGCTTTTTTTGGTACTTACGTGCTCACGTAATTGATCATCTTGCTGGTTTTGTATGTCCTTTTTTCATTACTCCTATTTTTGAAAACAGGCTGCCATCAATTAAAGATTTTGTTTCGAGATTCGGTTGTGTGGACCTGGTGTTGAGTCATCCCTACAAGGATCTTCAGCAAAGAAATCTGGAAACAAAAGGACAATAAGAATCTCATTGATCACCATCCAAGTTTAAACTTTCATCAGCACAATCAACAACTCGGTAGAGGAGAGGAGTGAAAAAAATCAACAAGGTCAATTCTCAACTTTAAGGTGCATATGCATAGCATTCCGTGTTCCTCCTTACCCCAAAATGTCATTCCCCCTTTTGAATACAGGAGAAAAGGAGCTTCATTTTACTTATCGAAAGTTAATCTTTATCAAACACGAGAATTACTTATCATCATCATCATCATCTTATTTTTTACACCAAACTCGCCCATTTCATCATATTGTATGATCTGTATCTGTTCATCCTCTACTAGGGTCATAGATTTTTGGTTCTTCATATCGGTTTCACTCCACGCACTATAATAAGCGTAAAAACGACCCGAATAAATGTTGTTTTCCAAGATGAACATACCCACCTGGACCTGCTCGTCGGGTAACAACAAGATCAACATGTTGAACGTGTTGTCGAAGATGAAGAACATGATGTCTCCGCAGACCCGCAAACACAGCACCTCCGCCCCAGCCAAGGACAAGATGCACCGCAACAAGATGCTCGTTGTTCGTGCAGGAGGAGGACTATATTATTCGAGCAACATCTTCTCCATCTCTACCATGATCTTCACCATGTTGTGGATCTACTTCTGGTTCTGGACCACGATGATGTTAAGGGTAGGTTAACGGTGTAGTTCTTGTTACTGTTCGTTTTGCCTTCCTGAACGGGGAACAAAGGCATGACGAACGGGGTACTTATACGAACACCAAAAACCTACCTCTAATGATGCTCCAGCCAGCGTTCGGCGTTGTGATAGGAGCTACGGAGGAAAGCATCACCTCGGGCCTACCGCAGGATAAAAATGGAAAATATCTTTAAGTTGTCTAGTCAGTTCTCACTCAGGAGCAGTTACTTTCTAATTATAGATGTCGTGTGTGAGAACAACTGTGTGAGGCACTTGTTCTAGGGACTGTGCAGCTGTCAGGGATACAAACAGACAGTGAGCTACCGTCCGTATCCTGAGTGAAGTCGTTTTTCCTCTTGCTAGATTTCTTCCAAGGGGACTTCATCAAGAGGAAATACTTCATCAAGAGGACCAAGAAGGGAAGCAACTCACTCACTCACTGACTCACTCACCTATTTAGAAACCACAGATAGTGACTGGCTAGTGCTGCTAATGTACGTACGATTTCAATACAATAACCCCGGAGCAATGGCTAACTGGGTGGAAGGAGTACATCAAGAAGTATCACGATTGCTTCGGGTCGACTTCAGGCTTACTGGCCAAGACTTCACTTTCGAATCTTGTCGAAGTTGCTCAGGAAGCCCAACAACAACCTGCATCACCTTCATCTTCTTCCAGTTCACCATCTACTACTTGGACAACGACGAGGACAAAGAAGACGTCAGCTGCACGCGAAGGAGAACAGCTACCAGCACCTAAAGACAATGAGACGCCGACACAAAGAAAAATACTACCAGGTAGTACTACAAACAAGAACTTGTTCAAGAAGATCACATCAAAAATCACCCCCGCTCCCGAAGTATATCGATTAGACGAAGCAGACTCGACGTCAGACGATGAGTCGTCGGAAGTGGATCCAGACACATTTGATTCCTGCTGTGAAACTAAGGGACAATGGCACAAGCTTTTTCTTCGAAGTTTTCTACGTCGCGACGAGAAACGTCGCGCGAAAGAAGAACGAAAGAGAGAGCGAAGAGCCCTAGTGTTTTCGGACGCGATGCGCGCCGTAAGGCAGCATGACCTGGGATCTCGAAGAAGTGGTGCTGAACCTGGAGGTGCTTCGTCGAGCTGCTCTTTCAATAGTGCGGGTCCGTTTGGCAAGAACTGTGTCCTGGCACTTCAAGAAAAGTTCCGAGTATGGGAGAAGCAGGAGCAGGAGAAGAGCATGGTTGTTGTTTTCGATTTCCTATTATTAAGGGTTTCCGAATTGCATTCCTCACCACCATCCCTGACCCTTTTCCTAGTAGAAAAGAGGCCAGGGAAGATGTTGTGAAGAATATAATTCCGTAACCTCTAATATCACTCGTAATGAAACTAGCGCAACTGAAGTACGAGAGGTTCGCCGAGGCGTTCTTTAGGACAGAGGCAGGGCTTGTCTGTCCCCAGGAAGAGAGAATTGCGAACCTAGTCCAGGAATTTCACGAAAAAGAAGTCATGCGCCTTCGGGTCGGAATCTTTCCTCTTAAGGCCCCTCTGATTTTTACCGTAGTTACAACGAACTTGCATCAACTACGGGATAATATTAATTCAACCATTTTTATACAACAGTATTTCGTCTAATCTTACGGACGGAAAGTCGGCGGGAGAAGTGTCGAGTTTTAAGAATGTAGTTTTATCCATCTTCTAGAGTAGTTGTTGTTACATCCATCGGATGCTTTATAATTCATCCGCAATTTTTTTCTTAGCATTTTTTGTAATTGTATGTAATCATGATGGAGAAAACTACTTACCTCCATGCGTTTGACAAAGACACGATGACACGATGGACAGGCGCCAATCTTGTGGAGCGACCACCCTACTGTAGCACCCAGCACGGCGTAACTTTTGTTAAGACTCACAATGATTCATCTCCAACTCGTCCAACTCCACAATGTGCTAGTAGCTTTGATTGCTTACGGGAATATGCAGTATGACTATTGGTGATGACGTGAAGAATCTGAAGTTGTGGCCTATTGGGTTCTCAAAAGAACGGATGAAAGTTGGACGACGACGATGAAATATGATCTCTAATTTTGAGAAAATCCATGGGGATGCGGTCCTCAACGGACGTGCCGATCTGCAACTTCCACGACGCAGAAAAGGTCAAAGAGCGATTTCTGGCTGAGCTCGGTAGAAGTCGGGTAACCAAATTCGTTGTCAAATTACGGCTTCTTTTCTTCCCCAGATTCTTGATTGGGTTTCACCTTTTAGGTGAAGGTTTAGGTCCTGCGACGCTCAACGCACTAAGTAAAACAACCGGTTAGTTTTCACCTCGACACTCTTAGGCTTATCCCATGCAACAATAAGAAGCATCTTCGAAGGTCCTGGATCATCTGAAAATATAGACTATTTGTTTTCAAAAAGTTCAGTTCCAGTTGTGGAGCAAGAGACCTTCAATCACGAACAAGAAGATGCTGCTGCTACAGAAAGACTTTGTTGGTTATCATGGTAAAAAACTTCACTAAGAAAAAACGAAGAGGCTCCCCAAAACGGGACTGTATCAGTTTGGCAACCTCCTCGGGTCAGCCACGGTAGATTTCCCAGAATGCGTAACTTTGTGAAAGGACTAAGGTTGATCTTTACGCATGAAGGCTTCCACTTCAGCGGAAACTTGGTGAAAGACTCCCAGACTGCCGGTCTCCTTTTCGAAATTGACTCGAATCCGAATGCTCCAGAAGAGCCCTTTTTTCGCACGTTGTAGATGGTAGTTGGGAGAGGATTTCCCTCAGACGTCGACCGCTACCGAGGAAATGGAAGAGGATTATATATGCCTCATCTGTCGATCCGCTGAGCAGGGGCGGAGGCTTCCAAGTACTTGGAAGATCAAGAACATGATTATCGTCATCCGTCGACCTAGTACAACAAGAAGATCAACATCCCGGTTAGTACGACTAGACCTCAAATTAGTACTATGGTAATGCGTGGAAAATCAAAATACTTCTCGGTAGACAAATGTGCAAAATTTTTTTTCATCTGCCTAGCAGAGCTAGAAGATAATTATATAAGAGAAGAGTTGCATCTACTTCTGTGATGAAGTAGAAAGTAATATGGACGAAGCCAGATTCATGGAGCTGATATATATCCAAATCAATAACTACACGACCCACCAAACCAACGTCCAGAATCGCGGGTGCATGTTTGCAATTATTCTCTTCAGCTTCATGCGGAGTTTTCTGCAGGTTTGGTAAGTTGTATCAACTAGACGAAGGTGATACTTCTAACGTAGTACAAGAGTGGCACCTTCGTCTAGTTGATACAGTCTGCTTTCGACCATTGATGACTGCGCACAAAGAATTCAAGCATTGAGACTAAACGCCGCGTCTACTTGCTGACGATTTTCAACATCGGAGAAATTTACATTGAGATTGACCTACAATCGCATGCTCATGATAACATAGTACTTATCCCCATTTTCAAAGATGAGCATTTTCAAAAAACATCTACTTGCTGCTATCTTCAAGAACACCAGGTTTGGTAAGTTGTATCAACTAGACGAAGGGGCCACAGTGGCATCTTTCAGGACTTTCTTTATGTAACAAGTAGTAGTAGGCTATTATTTTCAAAGTAGACCACATGCACCACGTTCTTCACAATTCTATCTTCGAAGGACCACAAGGTCTTCATCTACGTGGTCCTTCTAGATTGTAGGACAGGATGATGTTGTATCTTGTTATATCCAGCTTGCAGAAGCTTAGAAGGAGCATGGGTGTCTTCAAATGCGAAGTACATGCAATTGTACGATCTCAAGCACATGTGCTTCGTGGACCACCATTGTTTGCGTTGAAATACTCGACATGCGCCTCAAGAGGACGGAGATTGCTCATCTAAAACAAGGGCTGCAATCTCCGTTCTCTTGGGCCACAATCGTGTTGACATCTTCAGGAGGTACTACGAGAGCTACAAGGTGTCACTATGCCGCATTCTGTGACACGTTGGAAAATCGTTTCGTTAACGTTAAATCTCTTTGGTCCAGCTGGATTCGCACGCTGTCAAAACACAACAGACTTTGACAGACATTTCGTTCTTCGAGAATGTATGACCATGAAGATGAAGAGTTCCCATGCGATCTGTGTTAACGTCTTCTTAGAGTTCGACAGAGAGACAGTGACAGCAGCTCGGTAACAAACATGGCAACTATTGGTTAACATCGGTGACATTCCTATTCGGTCGACAAAATCGTGATCCGTCATCTTCGCAGCCCATCGCTGTCGAAAGTGCAATTTCAATCTCAGTGAGTCTGAGACTCTATCCGAAAAAGGTTCTCCGGTTCATTCCCCTACCGCATCAAACGCCAGTACCTCTTGTGCACTTGTTCAACAGCACTTAATATAGTCTAGTAAAAGATTGAACACTCATTCAGAAGTTAGTTCAGAAATCATTATGTATCATCGCTCACAATCATTATATCGCTCATAATAACCCTAAACCCTAAACCCAAACGCTACGACAAACAAATAATCTTCAAGTTATAGGACATGACGAAGTCGCATCCTGTAAATAAGTCATGCTACACTTGGTCGAGTAACTGTCGTGCTAGAGAACGTAAACGCATGTACTTATGCTACTTTTACTAGAGTTGAATCAGTAGTACATGCTAGTGCATCTTCCTCTCCTTCATGTAGATTGTCAATCATTTATTCAGCAGTCACAGTGATACTAGTTATTCTTCAATCTTCCGAAATAGTTAGTCAGTTGTTAGTAGAACAAGAATAAGATCAAGATGTCCCCCCGTCAAGGCTTCGGTGCTTATTTCGGAGGAGGAAGTGCAAAAGTGGGGCCTCTGGAAGATGACCCTCTGGGCAACACTACAACAGAGGGGGGCAGTGCGTCATCCTCAAACATTAAGGATAATTGTACTGAAACTCAACTAAGTTGAATTTGTGATGAGAAGTGTTGTATCATACATTTTTACGCGGATCAATGGTTATGGTGTGCACGTGGAATACGATCATGAGTGCAAGATGCAACTTGAACAATATCTATAATATGAGCGAAACTTTTGTGAAGTAGAGCACTACACTCACAGGGATCACATACATGTACCCCTCAGTGCCACATCTAATCCTAGTTCGAACGCAGGTGACGACCACTCACATGACCTGTTGGGTGTCACAACTACTGGCGACCACTCACATGACAACGCCTACCAAAATCAACAACATGAAACAATAAGACGAGATAAAAAACTACGACGAGCTGAACCAGAAGGAGCTTCTTCACGACAGTCGTCAAAGGAGCAAGACGTACCGGGCTACACAGACAGTGGTTTATCACTTCGACAGTTGCTAAGAGACGGTGCCGTAGACGGCGAACGCCTACATTCCAAATTCAGTAGTGCCCTCTCCAACCGGCATCCAGGGCACACTTCAATCTTCGAAGAAAAAGGATCACCGCAGGGTCCTGTTAAGGCTTTTTTAACTTGAGTCACATGCTAGACACAAAGTGTGTGAGATAGATTTACTGATAGAGAAACCCAAAGACATTGTAACTCACTACAACACGACGAGGCACGACATTGGCTAGTTTTCACTATATATAAGAACTTTTTTCCACAAATGACAAAATATAGAGTTTTCCTGGTAAGTACGCGATCTTCTCGACCAAACATGAACTACAAGTTCATCTTCTAATCTGCGCAAGAGAAGCTGGCTCTTTTCGTTGATTTTCCGCAAGAACTGCTTCCTTTTCCTCGGAGGCGGACGCTGGTCACAATTCCTGGTTACAGCGTTGCTGATTACCGTTTTCGGCTGCTTTGGCCGATTCGGAGTCGTCCTGGAAGAACAATGGGTCGGCGCTTACTCCAGAAAATACGAGAAATGGGCAAATATGCCCATGGCGACTCATCGTTATGAGATAGAGAATCGGGCTTATTTGATGAAAGAACTCTCTAGTTGTTCTCAATCAATCTGGAGGTAATTAGATCTGGTTCACCAAATACAGGTTCTCTACTTAGCTTTCATTGTTGTACTTTTTTGTTAGTTCTTTATACGATAATTCCACCAACCTCCGCTTTTGTTTCCTCATGATCGGCAATCAGTATAGAAAATAAATGCCTTTCGTGCTCTTTGTCCTGTCTCTCTCTCGTCTTCTAACGTTTGGTCCGATTGGAGCCTTTTCTGATGTACATTCGATTTCTCCTGGTCGTCGGACTTTTTGGGATTATCCAGCCTTTATCTGCAATTGTCAAAATTTTCGCTACCAGCGTGTTTGCCGAAAAAGAAGCCAAGATGATGGAGATTCAATTCGTATACGGATTGCCAAAATTCACCTATTGGTCAGCCAACATGATATTCTTCATGCTTCTGGCAGGCACGGCGTTGTTTGTTTCGCATCTCTGCGGTCTCATGTTTTTGACGTGGGCCAACGTGGAATTCACTCTGATGGCAACACTATTTAAGGCCTCACGTAATTCATCTTTGAGTTCATCTGCGGGCTGTTTTCAAGTAGAAAAGCGGGCACAGATGAGGTGGAAAATGCTGGATTATAGTGCGGTCTTCTAAACTATGGGAATGGCGAATCCTATACGCAGCACCCATATTCGCGATTTTGGGAGCCTTCTTCGCTGCTGCGACTCTAGCCGTCTTTTGCGATAAAAGAGAAACTTTTGAAAGTACTATTTTATTTGCTCATCTAGCTGTCTTTTGCGATAAAAGAGAAACTTTCGAAAGTACTATTTTATCTGCTCATCTAGCTGTCTTTTCCGATAAAAGGGAAACTTTTGAGAGTACTTTTCTATCTTCTGTCTAAGGTCGGTCTTTCCAAGAAGAATAGGACACTTTTATGAGCTAGAGGCAGTTCACACGTCATTATAAAAAAGACTAACACGAAGGCAATACCTATGTAAAGAAACTACTCACATTTTTTTCCCATTTTTGACGCCCTCCAAACAAACAAACTATTCTCGCAAAATTTAATACATCAGGTTGGGTAGCTCTGTCGACCACACTTGGTGGTGTGATCATTGTTGCTGCTATTTTCTTGCTGGATCTTGTGATTCCAACGCGCGTGAACATGACCGCTCTATCAGCGAAAATGATGTGGGGAAGCTCCGACTTCATCGACGCTGGACGTATTCCGACGTTGGAAGGAAGCAAGGTTAAGACTGGAGAAGTTGTACAAGAATTATATTATTTTTACACTACATGAATTGAAGACGCATTTCATTTGCTCTTACTCTTGTTCTTCTCGTCCTCGTTGAAATTCACTGCGCCTGATGCCTATCCTGTAATAGCTTGTTACTACTTACGACTACTCGTCTTGAAAAATATACGGATCCTAATATAAACGTGGCCACTATAGTTCTTTTTTAAATAATTGGACTACTTGATTCTTTTGTTTTTTGTTTCCTAGTTAGGTATGCTCCACCAGCAATAATTGTGCCCCATTTTTACACTACAAGTCCAGAGGAACGAGAAGGCGGGCTCGGGTGTATAGATTTTTTTTTTCGTTAGACATGTTGATCTACTAGTACATTTCTCTAATCCCCGCTACCTCGCCGACTATGGGCACACTGCGAAACGGCTTTTCGAGGAGGTAATCGAGAAAGCGACCAAGGCCTTCAATGCAGCCCGATTAGCAGATCCACAGTCTGTTGTGGGCAAAAAGATAGTAAATTTCGTCCCCAACCCTTGCCCCAACTACGAAATGTCCATGCTCCATGTGGGTCTCACTTTTGGTCTTGGCGTCATTCTTCTTATGGCTCGTATTAGTAAGTAAATATCCTCGTACGTAAGTATCTTCAACACAGTCACAGCCACAGCAATCACAGATCATTTCACTGTAGGAGGTACATGCTCATGTTGCACCTTTAAGAAGAAGACCGTCATTATTCCTCCTCGCCATTTTTTCCTATGATTTTGAGTAACAAAAACAAGTCCGAGTATGCAAAAACAGTAATATAATGTTTTATGAAACAGTAATAATGTACAAATATCATGTAAAAACAGTAATAATGTCACGACATTAGGATCAGGCCGAGGCGGAACTGGAAGAGATCGTCATGGTCCTCCCCTCGTCAGAAAACAAGATGCACATGAAACGATCAGAGTAGTACTAAGTGCGTTCTTTTGCGCTGTTTTCTCTGCTTCAAAGCTCATTTATTATCTAAATAGTTGTTCCTGCAAGAACGTCGAAGTAGACGAAGTGTAGTAGATCGTCAACTAAATAATAATTTATGATTGCAGCATATTATAGCGCTAATCTACCGGGTTTCTCGTATGTGAAGATGTTGCAGAGAAGCATGATGTTCCTGGAGATGGCGAAGAAGGTGAAGGAATATGTTCCTGCTCTACCAGCACCCATGACCGCGATGGACCGAGACACGTCAAAATTAGTTCGGACTGGAAGTGTGGTCACTGGTACTTCACTGTGGAGCTGTGCTGCTTATGGGAACAACTTGGGCGCTTCTGTGGCGGACACGGTGGTTACCATTAAGCGAACCGGAGAAATGATCGAAGCGAAACGGAAGGATTGGGGTGCGACGAAATTGGAGACCATGATAGGCAACGAATACTGGTACCCAGTCGGTGCCGAAGTGCTAGGCTTGCTGTTGAACCCTTTATTCTGGCTCATCCTTTTGTATTGGGCAGAGAAGCGAAGACACAGAGCAGAGTTGGGGGACTTAGAGCAAAGTTGGAACTTCTCCGGTCGATGGCTCTCGTGGGGTGGGAATGGTAGTAGCAGTTGGGAAAATTGGTCAGGATCCGTCGGCCTGTTCGGTACTGGGTGGGAGATAAACGTTATGTTGGCATCAACTATTGAAGGCTTTCGCTTTGCTTACTTTTTTTTCATAATAGACATTCTTTCAACTCACTCAGGGGACGAGGTTACATCTTTATTGAAGATGTTAGACATTCGTCTAGTCCACCATCCTAGTAGTCGTACGTATCGATGTCAATAAATCTCTACCTAAGCAACATATTATAAAGATGATCTAGTTACAAATCTTCACCGAGCATATCTAGCATCCTGAGTAGAAGGAACAATCAATGGAACAAAGAAGTTGGTACTAGTCCTAGTAGAAGAGGAAATAGTCTTCAAAATATACATTATTTTCATTACTCTTTCTCTTACGTCAAGTTCCTCTAATCGAAGACTCTTCGGTGGAAGCGGTGTTGTTACCATTACTCGCTGTAATTCTAGCCCACAGCTGCGATCGCCGCACGATCGGGGAGAGCATTAAGGCTTAGTTGTACCGCAATTCATCCTAAGAAGCATCTTCTTTGACCCCTGCGTCCTTTACAAAGGAAGAAATGCGAGAAAGATGCTTTTCAAGATGAATTTGGCTAAGGTCTAAGAACAGAGCATGAGCACAGTAGTCCATAATACCGCGTCGCCAAGTAATACGGATGATGATCTCTCAGTTATTAAGGCTTCTTTGTTTAAGGGAAAACCAGACGGGCACCGTACGCGCTAAGGGTGGGAAAACCCCTTTGTTTAAGGGAAAATCTAAGGGAGTCGGTCCCAAGATGACTTTCAAGACAGATCATTGTAGATCTAACTCAGAAAGAGCCTCGTCAGTCAGCACCAGAAGAGGCGCTAGAGCGGCAAGTCGAGGAGCAGCTCCTCGTCGAGGATCAGGGAGCTCTACTAACGTTACGACCTTCTGCATGGTGGATAGTCGTAGTCTAGTTGTAAGTCGTTGATGCATAGTCGTAGTCTAGTTGTAGTTCTTCAATGTCTTCAGGATAGAAACGGCTTCTCCGATAGGTGTAGATTTGTGGCCGATTGTACGGCCTTATGCGCCCCCAGTATGTAACTTGGATGATCTTATATAGGTTAATTAATTGTTTGCAAGGGCGGTGCTGGCATATAGTCCTAACGCAAAAAAAAAAAAACTTGTCTCTACTAGGACTCCCTATCAGGGATACCCACATGACACTGTGGCTCTCCTTAGGCTTCACCTCCTTCTCGTCTTCGCCTGGTGCTCTTTGATCATGGTGTGATAGGAGACTGCTCAAGTCAACATGAGTTACCTTCTTACGTTTTTTACCACCCTAGCACTCTGTCTAGTACTTCTTGTTGTTCTATGGTGAAGATCTTTCTCTCTTCACGTTGTCGACCTCATCGGATCTTCCTTTCTTTACCCTGTCTAGGCCGTGTTGTTCTATGATCTTCCTTTACCTTGTCGACCTCATGATCTATCCACAAAGATCTCTTCTTATTCCATCCCTTCTTGTTCTATCCACAAAGTCAACACTCTAAGACCTGCAGCCCTGGGATGTCAGCTGCAATGAGGACGAAGGTGAAGCAAGGATGCGTGACTTCGGACGGTACCTCGGACTTGGATGCCGGTAGTCGGAACTATCTAAAAGCGGCTGTCTCGAACGAGAAAGTCCTACAATTGCGTGGCCTGACCAAAAGCTTCAACACGAAGAAAGTTATGATGTAGTGAAGATGTTGACGTAGGTGGAAGATTTTTACACGACCGCCTGGCCTCAGGAACATGGTAAGAAAATGTGATGCGGGCATACAACTTTGATACTTTTATTGTGAACAGAAACCAAGGAAACGTATACCTACGCCTAGGAAGTCGACTTCTATTGAACTCTATTTTAACGTTCCAGAAGCAGCCTAGTTGAAGTAGCTCCACTCAACGAATAGCAGCACGTCGTCGAATATTTGACCAGCACTAGAGAAGAAATGATATCTTCTAATCCTCGGATTTGAGGACTACCTAGAGAAAGTTTCGCTAATATCTTTCTTCTAATGATCCCAACAGCGATTTGACTTTCGATGTGCATCGTGGGGAAATTTTCGGTTTGCTCGGACATAATGGTGCCGGAAAAACAACGCTGATTTCTCAAATCACCGGGATGATTCCCTGTACAAGTGGGGACGCACTTGTGGGCGGATATTCGATCCGCACACAAGTTTCGGACGTCCGACGACGAGTCAGTTTGTGTCCGCAGTATAATCCTATGTGGGACATCTACACTCTAGAAGAACACGTTGCCTTTTTCGCACGACTGCGGGGCGTGCCAGAAGCGAACATCGAGACTCTGACGAAAGAGTATGCGCGCTTACTCGGGATCGAAGAGAAATTGCATACATTGTGCCAAGAATTGTCTGGCGGTCAGAAGAGACGCTTGTGGGTGCTCTGTGCTTTGTTAGGGGATAGTCCGTTGATCATTCTGGACGAGCCTACAAGCGGGATGGATCCACAGGCACGACGCGATTTCTGGGTGCTGCTAAAACGCATCGTGCGCGAACAGAAACGCAGTGTCCTATTCTCAACCCACTACTTGGAGGAGGCAGACCTCTTGGCGGAAAGAAAAGTCATCTTGGCTAATTATGGCTTCTTTTCACGAAGTCACGAAGTGTCGAAGACTACGTAGCGAACACTACTTAGTATCGAATTCGAAGACTACGTAACGAACACTAAGTAACGAAGACGGCATTACAGTTTCTCACGAAGATTACAGTATAATTTGACACAATGTGTTGAATGTTGGGGGAGGTTCGTCAACTTGTTGCAGGTTACTTGTTGCAGTTTTTAGAGCTTATTGTTGACATTGATAGTTCGTTGTTGTTCTTCTATCCGTTCTAGATACTTAAGATCATACTTCTAGATGATCTACTGCAACAACTACAACTACTAACACTAATTCCTCGAAGAAATAGTCTGACTTTTTGGCTTGTAACTGTAAGAAAGAAATTAAACTAAGTTCTTCTTCGCCCTTCTAGTTCTCGCTTTTCTAACCCTTCGGCCGGCTGATGGCGATTGGAACGAGCAGCGAGATGAAGCGCGCTTGGGGAGCTGGATTTTGGGTCCACGCCATGATCGATAAAGCCAAATTAGCTGCTAGATTGCTAAATTATGCTTAGAAGTTCGATTGATGATCATTGCTGTCCACTGGTGCAAGAAGTACTACAAACTAAATACTTCCAGTACAAGAAGATATTATTGTACTTTTTAGACTTGTAGAAGTACAAGATATGTTATCATAATGAACATAATTTTCTACTTTGAACAAGGTTCAACATGACGATGTTGGCATAGACCGCTTCCAACAATGAGTAATTACCAGTATGGATGCATAAAGTACTAGACATAAAAAAAAACCCAATAAAGTTCTAATCACGAGTCAACATCACGACAAGCACAAGCAGTCCCGGTCCTGTGAACAAATATGTGAGTCGTGTTGGTCGAGACGACGAGGCATATCGTTACCAAAGGAGCGAGACCACAGGTGTCATTGCGAAGGACATCTTGAAGCGTCTTGGAGCTCACGTTGTTGGGCCAATTTTAGCAGCTGCTGCAGATGTTGGCTCTTCTCATTCTCAACTAGTACGGTCTTCCTCTACTTTTAAGGCTAGGCGGGTCGTTTAGGTGTTCCACCTGTAGTTACCGTTCGTTTTGCCTTTGTTCTTAATGGGAAAACTCATAAAAACGAACGGCGTAAGCAGCTAACACCAAAACCCTACCTCTAATGCTACTTCTTCTTCCCAGTTCAATGTAGAGACCAAGAATCCCCGAGTGAGTGACTTCTTTTTAGCTTATTCGATTCCGTGGCACCACGTGGGCAAGATGGCGAGAGTCTTGGATGCGTTGGCCGCGGCCTCGCAACTGGAGGCCTATGGAGCGGACAAAGAGGGGGATCCAGTTCTGGACTTCACCGTAGAACAGACGACGATGGAAGAGGTCTTTTCTTTAGCAGGCGAAGCAGCGGAGAAACAGGATTTGAGTCATTAAGAATGAAGGTTCATTCAACTTGATTTTTTGATAAGATCACAGTTAGAAGATCTTGAAATCTTCCAGCACTGTTCTCTTTGCTTCAAGGCTTATTTTGATAAGATTACTAAATTGATCACAAGCAGCACAACGAGGATGGCGGTTGTAAGATCAAGGTCGTTTTACTGTTTCTCCTCTTGCAAAGAAAGTCGCTTTATGTTCTAACCAGTAGCGGAAATGGACATCATGACGCAATCCAAGAAACGAGACCAAAGGTTGAGCCGTGCACCGCTCAGGAAACGCAGTCTCAACTGGTTCACTCAGTTTTGCGCGATTTGGCGGTTTCGTTTCGTAGAGTCTATACAGAATTGGGTACAACTCCTATGGTTGGTCACTTTCATCGGCACAGTTTTGACCTTGGGGAAGCTGATGGGGAAGAAATTGCAAGACGTAGACTCTTTGAGGTTCAAGAACTACCAGCAAGTGCGGGCACCGGAAGAAGGGAGGATCGGGCTTTTCTCGGACATCTTTCACTCGCTCGTCACAGCTTTGGTCTTCCCATTAATGTTCTCGTGCTTCGGAATGAACGCGATATGGAGTGCGTACTATACGGAGACGACACAAGGTACTAAGATGATCGTTTTCGCTAACAGTAGAACGATTTTTAAGTAGATATAGATCTAGTTCTGGTTCTAGATTTGCATTCGTCCAGCAACTACAGCTCGAAGATGAAGACAACCTCTTTTTGTAGACAGGTCAAGGTCATCTCGTACCACCAACATCACCAACTCATAGGTCTTCTCCGTCATATGACGCTTCATGGTACGAGCAGAGGGGCCTTTCATTTGGCGAGTTTCTTCAACTGGATTGTCGTTCCAACTGGGTTAGGTTGGGCGGCGTTGGGGATTGGATTTCCGACACTGTTGACCGATAGCTATGGTACAACTTGAACTTTACATCACCTCATCAGTGTACTCTGTGATACTTACGTTACATCACATCATCAGAAGTGTACTCTGTGGTACCTACTTTGCATCACATCATCTGTGTACAACTAACTTCGAGGACTTTCCTTTGAGCGACAGTGTACTTAATAGAAGACTCTTCTTTGTTGACCGATGGTAGCTGTGGTTGACGTACTCCTTCATTGCTGTTGTAGTTGATGAATTTAGATGTTGTAGTTGCAAGTAGTACTACTTCGATACAAGAACAACATGGGCTTTTCTACAGCGGTCAAAATTACAGCTTTGATGTCTACGTATCACTAACTCTTATAGGTTCCTCCGAAGGCCCTATGCAAGCCTTTTTATTGTGGATTATAGCTTGTGGTTGCATTTTGAACATTCTGACTCCAATGCTCTTCGGTCTAACGGGCAACGGCACCCTGTGGACTATTTTCGTGGTCGGAACCTACGTGACGGCGCTGTTTCCCTTCATCTGTGGCCTAATCATTGATTTGGTGGTAAACTTGCAGATGTTGGGCGAAATGCAGGAAGTTCTACACGGTACTCAGAAAGTCTCACCAGAGCTAAACGACTGGTATTCGTGTCAATTCGTCGCTCAGTTTATGACCATGGCCACGGGAGCCACGTATCCAGTTACCTTCATTTAAGGCTCAGCTCTCATTGGTCATACTCTCATGACATTAGTCATAAAAATTCAGCTTGGTCACTGAGATCGAAGAGGAGACCCCTTGCGAGAACAGGGGACGAAAACGAAGGGAAAACAACAAGGGGAGAGGCGTGTATGGGGTCTTGATGTTCCTTCAGAAGAATGATCTTCAGTGTCCAATGAGTGTGGTCGACCTTTAATTTATGGGCTTGGGGCGTGCGGAGTGGGTGTCCACGGTGAGCGTCGTTTTTTCCGTGTTTGTGCCACAGACAGCAATAGTCCAAGGAACAATGGGCCTCTTCAAGTTGATCCTCGTGGATCGCATGCGTCAGGTGATGGCAGGTGAGAAAGATCCTAAGAACAGTTTTCAGATATTGAACATGGCCAAGGCTCAGAACCCGAACTTCTTCATGTACGGACAGGTTGAGCCAGACCAGGTAAAGTATTTCGTCAAGTCAGACGATCTGCTTCGGGCACTGAACAGCGCGTATCAGATGGAGGGCAAGTACCATGATAAGGTCTTGGAGGCTGTCGTGTTTCGAATGCGAGACTCGAATTAAGGCTCAATATGGATAATTGTAATTTTTTTGTTTCATCTAGTGAGTCTAGAAAGAGGTCCTCGACTTTTCCTGATCCCGTAAGCTTCGCTCTTGAAATCCCGGAGAAGTGAATTGATGTTTTCAGGTCTAATGAAGGGGTACATTGCCTCCAGGATGTGCCGACATGGGTTGGGTGACACGAACTGCTTGGTTCGAAGTACTTGCGCCGGTGTACTGCTTGCTGTTCTACTTTATGATTGGTGGAAGCAAGTCCAAGTACTCGAATTTCGCATTCGCCCGATGAATGTACTTGACTACCTGGTAAAGAGGATGGTCGAATTCTTGGTAATATTAAGTGGCAGCTGTTCGAATTCTTGGTAATATTAAGGCTCGCACTTCTAATCTAGTAGTCATTTTCGTTTTATCCGAGACGTGGTTTTTGCGATCACGTATTCAGAGCGGAGCGGTTCCACCGGAAGGGTTACCGCCTAGTGACGTGAGGGATGAACTCCGAGACCCCAACGTCCTTGCAGAAGAACGCCGCAGAGACAGAGAACAAGACGTAGTCGACGTCCGTGGTGCATATAAGCACTTTCGCGACGAATATTATGGCTTCCCTTTTAAATTCATCTTGGCCTTCTTAGGGATAGGGCTGTCCCGTGGGCTAAGAACAGCTACAAGGGGTACCCCATCAAGATGGAGTTGATGGGCTAGCGTTTAGCGTGAGCTCTAAGAATACGCAAATAGAGACCACATAGTTCGCCGTCGAAGGGTCGGCGGCGGCAGGGACAACACAGAACTGGTGCAAAGAAGAGGAGAAGCGGGTTTGTTGAGCACGCAGCCAACTGGGTGGGCAGCTTCTGTCACACGGTTTTGGAGCAGCAATTGCCGTTGTTGTCGGCAGAGGAAAGCTGCCTATGAAGAAGCGTCTGAGGTGGGCGGCCTAGCTACATCCGAAGAAAGGGAAAGCATGCTAGAAGGAAGTGGAGTTGACGATAGGGGACGAGGTCGCGGTGCTTCCACATCCTGTTGTGGTTGTTTGTCACGTGGAGGCTCGAGTAGTGCAGCTGCAGAACCTAATTGGGCAACTCGTGGCGTGACCTTAGGAATCCCACGCGGCGAGTGTTTCGGGTTACTCGGCCCGAACGGTGCCGGCAAAACGACGTTGTTCAATCTGATGACAGGCGATGACAACATAGGTGGCGTAGATGCAGGCTCGATCTGGATACACAACACCAACACGCGGCGCGATGCCTTCAAATCTGCGCGTTTGAGAATGGGGTTAGCTCCTCAGTTCGACCGTTTGTGGTCGTGGCAGACGGGTCGACGACATCTACGGCTGTACGCCAAGTGCAGTGGCACCTACTACAAACCGTGGCCGAAGACGCCGACCTGGGACCCCTTTGTAAGGGAGGTGTCCGAGATCGAAAGAGAAAAAGGACTGTCGGCGACAAGCAGAACGAATAGTCCTAGGGATGACGACGATGACATAGGACCCCTGGCTACCACGACAACTCATTATACCACTTCTTCCTCAATTACTAAAGGTGGATCCTCATCTTCACGATCGCCTTCAAATGTAGCAGGAGGAGTAGCAGGAGACCATAGTGCCACGAAGCCGCAGATGAGTCAGAGTCTTCTTCACATCAACAACAGTAACATCAGAGGTAGAAATTATACTGGTGCAGGTCTTGATTTCGAAGATTTTGAAGTCGATGACGAACCTGAAATTCAAGAGTTGCTTAGAAATAGCCAAAAGATCCAAATGAACTACCCATCAGGAGCCTCGCAAGCAACAGTCTTAGGAAAGTCGGCTGCTCTCGTAGATGACCCCCTTGGGTCATCAAGATCATCTTCAACGTCATCCTCCAGTCGAACTACTACAGGTTCAGAGGTGGATGTCTGTGACTGGGGTGAAGAGCGTATCTCTCGTTTCCTACGGGAAGTCTCCCTGTCCGAGGAGGATGCCGATCGATACGTGGATGAATATAGTGGCGGCATGCGACGCAAGTTGTCACTAGCCCTGACCTTGATCACGGATCCGGAACTGGTCTTCTTAGATGAGGTCTCTGCGGGAGTCGATATTGTGGCACAGAGATCCTTGTGGAACAAGATGATCCACAGGCCAGCGGGCCAGACGATTGTGGCAACTACCCACTCCATGATGGAAGCTGACGCGACGAGTGACCGAATAGGCATTCTGGTATCGGGAAGGCTCAAATTTAAGTCAGAGATGAGGGAAGTAGATAACTGTTAGTCTGTAAGTAACTGGTGGTGGTGTCGGGAGGGAGTTCTTGTTTGATTGCATTTTCTAGAAGTTTCAATTTTTTATTATTTTGCACATCAGACTGTAGTTCAGCGAAAAGTCTTCTACTTGCTGAGAAATTCTGCTTGTCTGAAACTCTTCCTAGTCCTCGATCCTAGTTCGTTGCTTCTTGGTTGATTCATTCGAAACATCATCAAGTGAGAGCACATGATATGTAGCACAAGGTCTAAGAATTGCTTAGGCGAAACTGCGAGAATAAAAGCAGCCTACGGCAACGGCTATCATCTGGAGCTCACCTTGAATTTGACAAAGGAACGTAGGCCGATTCCGCTCAATGTTAAAAATGCTGTAAATGGTGGCAGCGGCAATCATCATCATCATCATCATCATCAAGAGGATGGAGCAAGAAAAGCAGGTCTAACAGATACTCCAACATCTACTGTCAGTGCTGATTCATTCATCGGAAATAGCGCAAGAGGTGCTCGGCTTCGTCGTGGTAGAGGAGGCGATGAGTATGGAGTAGACCTCCAGGAGAACGATACGATCATGATGATGGGGCCATCCAGTACACCAAGGAGAGCAGGTGCTGGAGGTGAAGTTAAGGCCGCTGCCGCTGAAGCATCCTCCGCGCCACGATCCTTGGCTACTTCTTTTTCAAGGGGAAAAAGGAGCGTCCAAGGATATCTTCATGACTCTCAGGTCAGAAGTAGATGCGAACGCGGTAGCTCTAATGATGGAGCTGGTCGTGACTCGAGTTCTACAGCATCAGGCTTGTCTTTAGCAACAGTGGACGAGGCAGTGATCACCTCATTGTTGCAGAGAGATGTCGGGATCGCACCAAAAGACGTCCACGTCCTCGAAAAAGTGTCTTTCGGTGGTTCACGAGTACGATTGGTACTTGGTTTGGGGGCAAAAGGGGTGGTCAGTGCAGAAGACGAAATAGAACAGAATGCAAGAAGAAGCCTGATAAAGGCCAAAGATTAAGGCTACAAGAAATCCATCCCCACGGGCATCTTAGTCGTATAGTGGATGCTACAACTCATTGAGAACGAAGATACGGGAATGTCGTTCCTAAGTAAGAAGGCAAAGGGAGAGCGACATTCTCAATGAGTGAAAGCATTCTTTCATTGGTCCCCTTTTTAAAAGGAAAAAGGGCACGAAGATGCTGCTGAAGATGGATTTATGGTACCTCTAAAAAGAACAACAAAAGTTGTTCGCTTCTACTTCCGGGCCCTTGTCGCCAATAGATCAGGACAAATTCAAGTTAAGAAGAAGACTTTTTTGCTAATTCTAATTGATAGTAACTAAAACTATTAAGAAGTGCACCGTCATCTACATCTTCAAGATTGATATCATGCTGCTCATGCTGCTCTTGCTTTTCCTCATAAAACATGCTATCAATTGTAGGGGCTCAGAAAATTCTTCTTTACATCCACTTCCTTACCACAGCTTGCACGAGATGAATAAATCTTCGCTTCCACTTCGTGACAAGGACAACGTCTCTCACTCTCTCTGTTGTATCTCCAGGTCTTCTTGAGTTGGCTCCTCTATTAACTGGTAGTTTTCCGGTTCTGCCTCTACATCTCCCGTTCTAACACCCGCAGCGGCCACATCATCCGCGACAATTCCATCTGGATTCGTGGATTTAGACCGTCACTACTTGGAACAAGAGAAGCAGATGCGAGTCCGGCAACACGACCTGGAGCGCAAAGAACAATATGGCTGATATACTTATATCGTTTTTTCGCCTGGAACAAGATCTATAGTTTTTAACTATACCAGGCACGACAATGAACAAATCATATATGAATGCTCCACAAGATGAAGAATGAGAATCCATGGTGCACCACAATGTTTGTTGCTAGCATGTTCCCAGAACCACAATGGTTGATGTTGTGACCAGAGGACATGCTGTAGTGCATGTTCTACTGAACTTCTATTGTTCCTAACTATTGTCAACATCTTCAAGAAGAGACTTCTATTGTTCCTAACTTCTATTGTCAACTCTATAACTAAGAGTCCTCTTCTAAGAAGGATTAGTACGCAAGAAGATCAAGCTTAGTGCTGTCTTTGCATGGTGCTCAGAAGACCCTCTGCACATACTAGAGGACTACGGTTTGGGCGAACCGACTTTGGAACAGGTGTTCCTGAAGTTTGCACGCGAACAAGAGGTATTGGACGCCAGACGGGAAGAGGTCCGTTCGGAAAAACTCGCTTTAAATAGGAGAGACTTTAGATGATAGAAGGTATACATAGGGTTTAATAGTAAATAAATAAGAATATGTGGTTCATCTTATTCTTAAATTTACATTTTTGCGATTGAGACGTAAGACTGAAAAATTTACATTTGGTATAGTAGGATTAAGACGTAGGATTATTAACTGGTAATCCATTTGATTATTCCTCTCAAAAACGAGGACTGAGAAATTAAGATTTAAATTCTTCAATCAGCCTCTATGCCCAGTAGCAGAGAAGTTGGATACTAATAGGAGGGTTTTGGATTCAGTGTTTATCAATCTACTATCTTAGTAAGTTGTAAGTAGTTTTGCAACTGTGTCTGGTTGATCTAAAAGTAGCTAGGTACTACTAGATTAGGCACCAGCATAAGTATATTGTTTCCCGCAGAAGTAAATGTGCATATTTCTTGTTTCGCTTCCATTTGAACTAAGTATTCATTGTTAAGATGTTGACCACACTATCTCGGATTTATAGCAACCTGAAAGAATTCCATGACAGTCTACCACACGTTGTCTAGCAATATAGAAGTTATCAAAATGATTATTCGTCTTATGTCAGTATCAACAAAAAATTACAAAGTCTCCTAAATTTGCATCTCTCGCGTTAATCGTGAAGATCGTATTGTTAAAGAAGTTAATTCATGTCTACTTCGTCTTATACTTACAGTTCCTGAGCTATTATTTTGCGGTTATAATGATACTACTAGATGCACCTGCAACATGAGGTTATTTATTGCGCATGAGTTACGGTGTTCCGGGAATTATCATGATATTATTATTATGATACTAGATAGAAGATACACGCAGTGGTCCGTTGTGCATACAAAAATGAACAGCAAGAATTTCAATTTCCTCCAAGAATTAGATGAACGAACGAATCGATGTCATTTCAATGCCACGCGAAGGCAAACGCGAACCTAGAATGTCATATGAATATGATTACAACAGAGCGCTATTCGAAATATTTACAACCATGATACCGTTGTCGTTGTCCCCGATATTCATCTTGATGAAATACATCATGTACAACTACTATGAATGCTCCATCTCAAATTGTAACAGATTTTCAACTTCATGCAAGCAAGAAGGCAACTAAAAACCAAAAATTCAATCTGACAATAATTATGTAAGTATGTATGATGCCAAATTTCAACTCTGTAGATATAATTATGCTGATTTAGTGCTCGGATACTTCCGCCGTGTAATAATTATTACTCGGCGGCATAGTTGGACTTTGGTGCATGGAGAGACTGCCGCAAGGTGATAATTTTGACACGGCGGAATGCTATTCGGGCTGCGGTCGGCATAGTTATTCAAAGCTTCAGCAGTTTTGTCCTCGCTTTTTAGAGCTTGGGTCCCCGGTATTCAAGCGCTCTACTTTATAACTATGTCGATTTGTCCGAAACCAGGAACCTAGTAGAAAGAAGATGTGCGCGGTCCTTCGGAGACGGTGATCGGCCTAGTGTAGCTTGGGACTTAGCGTAGCGCTACCAGCTCCAAGGCGTAGTTTTGTTTTTGGCTCTTCAGCAGCCATTCTTTCATGTCTGCCAGTTTTCCTGGTAGGTCCACACCTAACCTAACCTGTCCGAAATCGGGCAAATCGGCATAATTATGAAAAGCTTCCGCAGTCGCGGCGCCCGTTTTTAGCGCTTAGGCCCCCGGTGGTCAAAAGTTTTACTTTATTTAATTATGTCGAATTTCTCGCATTTTCTTAATTTTCGGCCAAATCGACATAATTGAAGCGACATAGTTGAAATTTGGCTCCATTTATAACCTCCTCCCATAACAGGACCTTGCTACGAATTTCCCTCCTTTGTCTCAGAGGTGTGCTGCAAGTCTAGGGCGTGCTGCATCAGAGGTATGCTGCTTGGTTTGGCTTCTTCCTTTTTTGTCAGGATGGTGCTTAGGTCGAGGTCCAGCGTCGCCCAAAGCACAAAAGTAAAACAGCCGGCTAGTTTTCCCTCTACCCTTGTACTTACCCCTTCAAGCAAAAAACTTCATGCAAGAAGGCCTTTGCGAGTCTAACTACATCGTAGTACGCATATTCTTCGTCCATAGTAGTTTTTGAATACATATGAATTCAACATTCTTCATTCATTCGAATTCTCTTCATTGCTGTTGTACACATCTGAACTGGCAACCCGTTGCGTGATTTGCAAGAACCTGTGTTATCATGATCGTCAGCTGATAGCTGCGACCCGATGGATCAACATGCCGCGACCTTCTAATAGCAGCGACCCGATGTTCATGCAGTTAGTCACGCCTTCATCTAGTGTTCAGTTCTGCGGCGGACTAGGACCGGGCTCGCGCTACAAAAAGAAAAGAGAACTTGGGAGGCCCATATTGAATTGAATTTTTACTTGTCAGGGGTGTTGGTGTCCTCCTTTTGAGTATGTGACCATGCCTTTTAGTAGTGAAGAACCACTGAAGTGTTAAGGGTTGAAACATTTCATATTTGTACGCTGTATTTGACACCCGTCAAGACGAAATATGTCAAATATGTAAGACAAATATGAATTGTTTCAACCTTTAAAAGTGATCTTGAAAATCATCCCAGATGATCATCAAAAATGCAACTAGGACGACTACGAAGATCACCATCAAGATCAACATAATCATGATCTTGATCTATGGAACACCATGAAGATGAAGATCTAAGAGATCCTAGGCATAGAGATGCTTAGACATATTTATTTCGAAAACTCAAAATAACCGAGTTACTGACTGAAATAAGGGAGGTAGCTTAACGTCAAGGCTACTCTTCCTTCTCGTCAGTATCTCGGTTATTCTGATCAGCTACTTGCTTATTTCAGTTTTTCGAATAGAAGATCTCAGGACGAATATTACCTTATCAGGATCAAGAAGAACGAAAAATAACATCAACAATACTAGCAACATCGCCTGCACCCTTATCTGCGCAAATCAACAGTCCTAAAGCTAATGATCTTAATATTCGAGACTTTTTTTGGCACTACTTCTTTTTACTAGACTTCTTCGACTTCGTTCTTGAAGAGACTGCTATTAATTTTATTAACTGAACACTTCGGTCTATCTTAACATCTTTCGGCACTCTAAACTATCTTCTGATACTCCTCCTTATCTTGGCCTTATCGTTTGACACTCCTCCTTGACTGATCATCTTAGTCTTATCGTTTGACATTCCTCCTCCAAGTATTCATATCTTTGATATTTTCCATTCACCTGGTGCCCTTATCGTCCGAGCTGTTGACACTCCTTTGGATTCGTTTGACAATTTCTGGCAAATTAATCCTTAGAACCTCCTCGTTATTCTGCTTCTCGATCTCAGCACTTTGTTTTGACACGACTTGAAGCTGTTCTACTATTGTTCATCCCGCCTTCCTCTGACTTCGTGGCAGTCTTTCTGTTTTGGCGGAACGAGTTGTCCTCGCAAGAAAATTGTCGTAATTATACGTAAGTACCTAAATAAGAACCGTATCGAGCAGTTATTGGTATTGCTACAAGACCCAAAGAACAAGAATAGGTAAATTCATCATTCTTGGTCCGCTACTACTCCTATCCTATCCTATCCTATCCTATCCTATCCTATCCTAAAGGCCAGACTTCTTTCCACCAACATGATGCGGCAATTCTCTCGTCTGATGTGCAGCTCCTGCGCGGTGGTGCTCCTTCACCTTCCGGTAAGTTGTATTGCCGTCGGCATGCTGTCTCCTCGTCAAACTTCTGCTGCCGTTGGCTCCACGAACAAAGATGCGGTCGCGCTTGCCATTCTTGAACATGCTTCTGGTGAAGTTGAACAAGCAGAAAATGTTGGAAGTTTCCTGGAATGTTACCTAGAGGTCGAAAAAGCAAAGAAGGAAGCAGAAAAAAATCTAACTGATGTGAACGCGGGGAAAATGTTCGCAGATGCGGTTAAAAAATTTGAAAAGGAGGTCGAGAAACTCGAGCGCCTTGCCAAGCTTGCCAAGCTTGATTCTATGCTCAAAGACACGGAAGCCAAACTAGATCATGCGAAGCGCGTTGTGGAGAAGCGCAAGGGTGACGCTCCGGCTGTAGAAGAAGAGAAAGAATCTCTGCTTCTGCGAGGCCAAGAACGACAAGGAGCAGCAGCACATGAAAAACCGAAGAAGAGCTGCAGCAACACAAATCATTTGCTCTTTTGTTCGAGCAACCAGTACACTAACGGTAAGCAGGGCCCCCTCCACGAGGAGCCAAAGGCGGCGAAGGAAAATCTCGAAAACGGAAGCAAAGTGCTCGCAGCAGTAAAGCAAGATGAGGTAGATGAGGCAAAAAAATATTATTTGCTATTGACGAAAGTGTGGGAAGAAAAGGTTGAAAAATTTCAAAAGGAGCGCGAGGAGCTGAAAGAGCAAATTACAATTCTCCAGTCGTGAAAATAGCAGCGCGATGGATAATCACAAGGAAAAGAATAATCCCACGCAGAAATCCGCTCTTGAACGTGAGAAGCTTGTGAGGACATGTCTTCGCTCATCGGGTTTTCAGTAAACGTAACAGGAGATTAATATTTACAGTAACCGCTGCGAAGAACTAGTTAAGATGCACTGACGAAGACGATGATGGAGTGGAGAGAAGACCTTTCCCACTGCAGCTGCCAAGCGCAAATAGATTTTTTTACATATTATCTATATCTTCATAAGTATTCTAGTAAGGACGAGTGGCTTTAGTACCTTGTACGCGTAAAAAAATTCGTGCTCAGTACTAACAGTACTAGCAAGAAGAAATGTAGTGAAGATAATTGTTTTGGCGTTTTGACAATGTGCTGGAGTTGTTTTGGCGTTTTGAGCATGAGGAAGTAGCATAAGAAAGCATGAAAATGAATGGAGATTTGGACTTTAATAACACTAGTTTGTTTTTCGAGTAACCAAGACGTAACAACACCCCCAGACTTCACGCTACTACTTTTTTGTCCCAAGTGGACCAAGAACCTGCATGCGCATGATCAAAACTAGTGGGAATATTATCGTCCTTACACTTGCATACCTTGGCGAAGTAGTGGAGCAGCGAGTTTAGCAGTATAAGGGTGTTGATGATCTCGCACTTCGGAAGCAGGGCGCATGTCTTTTCTTACAAGTAGAACGCTCTTGGTCTTCTGTGTGGTCTTATCGGTTTTGTTTTTGAAAGATGATGATGGTTGAAAGAGGTGGTGCTGACTGAAGAAGACGCTGAAGAAAAGGATGAGAGGAGAAAGAAGAACGTAACACAAGTCTCGACGAAATGTACATTTACTGTTGTAGTTTCAAATCGGTCTTCCTGAATTGGCTGAACATCAAGTCTCTTGTCAGATGAAGCAAGAGAGTTTCAAGGGTTCTTGTCAGATCTTCACGAAGCAAAAGATAAAGGCCGCTCGTGAGGTAGAACGAGGTCTCTTCAGGTGAGATAAAAAAGGTCCTTCTCATGGTGTACATTATTAATTTGGCGGATTCTGCAGTGTGAAGGAGTGAGCAGAGATCTACACAAAATAAATGTCGTCTTCTGCTTTCTCCCACGTCCCTTGTGTACGAAGGCTGACCACTACAGCAAAAAGGCTGCTCTTGGTGCTGCCTCTCGTTACCTCCGTTTTAGGAGAGGACATCAACCTTGCCACTTCTACTACTACTACTACAGCCAGCACGAATACTAGGGAGAATATTAAGATTCAGAAAGCCAAGAACCACATCGGCACGACTACTTTTTCTAGGGAACAGAATGTTGAGATTGATACCAACACCAAATCCCAAATAGATGTAACCCACAAGCAGCAGGACAAGGGCCGTGCGATTTCGATCGCGTATCATGACTGTAGCAGCGGAGGCGATGCAGCGAAGATTAACAGAGTGAAGGTTTCTCCAGCAAAGCCACTCACTGGTCAGGAAATTACACTCGACATTGAAGGAACGTTCAATGGCGTTGATGTGGCGAAAGGTATAATTAACGATCTTCTTTTCAATTTTCACGATATAATTTTAGATGTTTTCCTGCTGGCGCTGGCGGCTGGTCGCGCTAGTATAAAAATAGCACTGCTGTTCAACTTCAACTGCAAGGTCCCTAGAAGTAGCACTATTTCCATTACAACCATCACCCCATCACCACCAGAACCACGGTCCCTCAGGTAGCACCCTCGAAGTGAAAGGAAAGGAGGGATGGTTCGTCCATTTTGACCATGTGTTCGATTTCTGTTCTCCAACAGACTACGATTTACCAATGGGTATGGGAGATTTTCATCTTGCGCCAGTACACTGCTCATCATCTTCGTCGGTTAGTAGAAACTCCACGTCTACAACTAGTACAGGTACTAGTACATCAAGTACTGCACCATTTTCATCTACTACTGCTGGTCAGCAACATGAACGACGATCGTCATTGCCTGCAATGTTTTCGTCGACTGTAAACCTTTTAGAGGACAGCAAGAAGGGCACAACTACCTCCAACTCGGACGAGCAAAAAAAAGATGAAAGGCAGTACAAATTTTCAATGCGTGGGACGGTGTCAGATGCTATTGGGACCATCGCTTCGAGTCTCACGGTGTGGGTTTACCCGAGACAAGTTAAGCCTCCATCAAGTATGTCTATTTCAACTTTTTTTAGGTACTTTCATTCTTAGGTCTAATAAAACCGGCTGTAATTATGCTGAATTATATTAGACGACCATGATCCACAGCGCGTGATGTCGATGAGTTCTTGGGCAAGTAGTCTTCCAATGTCGTGAATCTTCGTTCATCGTAAGTTACGGAGCAGCTTATAAGTGGTTATTGTCATGCACCCCTAAGTTACGCCAAAACCTAGGTCCTGCTTCTAAGAATCCGACAGGGGAAGAGATCAATTGTCTGCAATTCGATTTGCAGCTGCATGACGAGAAAGAAACGCCAGCTCCGAACGATACAAGTGCAACTCAGAGCGATACAAGTGCAAGAACTCAGAACGATACAAATGCAACTCAGAACAAAGAAGTCCAGCTGTTTCCAATCTTGTGGATATGAAGGTCGTTCTGGAAGCACCAAAGGAGGAGCTACTCCTAGAGAGTCAGCGTTGTGCTTTTAAGGTGTTATAAATGATGTGTAATATATTTCCATAAGGTTAAGGAAATCCATAAGGTTAAGGAAATCCATAAGGTTAAGGAAATCCATAAGGCTAAGGAACGCAAGAAGCGTTCCCTTTAGCTCCATGCGATCCATGCACTCTATGCCATGCGAACTGGAAAGCCTTAGAAGTTGCTCGGTGATTTAAGTAGTTTGGCGATTCTTGTGACATAAGCTAAATCTGTGTAATCGTCTGCTAAAAATTCGGATCAGTAGGAAAAAGAATCACAAGAATAGCGAGAAGTAGAACTTTGGAAAATAAGACAATAATTTTTTATCGTCTTAAATTTTGTGTAAGTACATAACTCTTCTCATATGTTGACCCTCAGATGTAAAGCAGCCGGTTAGTTTCCCTCTATCCTTAACCTTATCCCTTCACGCAGTTATATGTTGACCCTCAGATGTCCAAATATTTTTACAGCAATCAAAATAAAACACTACGTAACTGTAACACTCATGACAGAATTAAAATCCTGTTGACGGTAGGTATAAAATCTGAGAAAAAAGCTGCTCTCCATCTGAGCTCCTCTGATCTTTGGCTCTCCTGCTTTCATGCTGTATTTTTCCACATGTGCTGCCATGAGTGACAAGAAGAAATCTTTCTGATGAACCGAGCGAGGACTCAACGGGGAGATACTCCACTTTTTTTTTGCAGCGATGGTAGTAGTTTGTCCCCCCCAGCAAGAATTAGAATCTTCTTACCTTACTACAACAATCGTGCTGCAGTGTGTATTTTTACTTCTGCCTACCTCTCCTCCGGAATTACAATTTGGGGAGTTCATTCTCATCCGTTTGGCCCACTTGTTCGGTCCTCGAAATAAGGAAAATACAAGAATCTACTGCACATCAGTGCCCATGAGAGAGAAAGAATCACACCACTACTTCAAGCACATCAACTTCAACAAATGGAAGTGTATTAAGGGCAAGTCGGAGACGTAGATAAATTTCTATTCACAGCGTCAAAAAATTCATCATTGTTCTCTCTTCTATGGGTCAGCGTCAGTCTTCACTGAAAACGCAGTGGGGGTTGTGCTGCATGACATTACTCAGGAGTAACTTCCAAATCCAATCTAATAAAACGAAGAAAAGCAGACTAATAATTAAGGAACTCCGTACAACCGAACAAACAACAACAGGGAAGTTGTAAAGCGATGAGGAAGGCGTTTAGTTAAACTCTCATCAACAGAATTGGTGTCTATTTTCACCCTAGAAGCGACATCTTTTGATGTTTTGTAACAAGAAAGTGGTGACGTCGTGGTTCTGGTTGTATACAACGAGGTTTTGCTTTAGGTTTTGAAGGGTTTTGGACGCTGTTTGAGGATTCTAGGAGGTGAACTTTTGATTTTGTTGGAATTGTTGCTTCCAGGAGGTGAACTTTAAGGTTCAGAGCTTTAAGATTCAGGGAAGTCGTAGCAGGTCCAATCCGAGCCGACTAACATCATCAAGATGGAGCCTCACGCAAGTAGAGAAATCTCCTAGACAAGGCCTTTCATGAAAGGCACACTCATTCACTCACTCACTCACTTTCCTAGCATGTTCTTGACGTCGCTGTCGCTGTGATATGTTCTCGCTTTGAACTTCAAGCAGAGAAGAAGACGCCTTTTCTTCGAAGAGCATACGCAAGAACATCTTCATTGAGCAACGTGTGGCACGGCAGGCAAAGAAGTAGAAGAACGCGACCAGAAGAGAAATTGAAATTCACAAGTCCTTCAAATCTACGAGGATTTTTACGAAAAGACAACGACACGACGAACACGACTTGTTTTGGTTCCACAAGACAGAGGAAGGCTGTGGCTAGTTAGAGTTAGAGTTTCCTAGTCTGGAGCAGTGCAGGCACACGACGATAGCAGCATCAACACGGCTTATCAACAGCACGCGACAGAATAGTGTTATCACAGAAGATAATCCGTTTTGAACCACAAGAGGACGATAAAAAGCGGCCAGCACAGCGACAACTACTAGTGCCACAACAAGGAACGGGCCAAGAACGGGAAGAACTAGGCTGTACTCCATCCACTACAAGAACAAGTTCAGGAGCTTCTGCGCTTGTCGTAGTTGCTGTTGATCCTGGTCAAAGTAGTGATTGTTCACTACAGCAGGAGACTTCTAGGAAAACGACAAGAACAGCCCTTCCGCTTCTTACTAACGAGAAGTAATAAGGAGAATCCTCTTCTTCTTCGTAGCAAGAACATAGCAAAGTTCTATAGGAGCTCTCCGCTACAACATCTGAAGGAGCAGTACATCTAGATCTACTCCTACAGCCAAGCAGCCACAGCATCTTCTTGTTCAGAACATCTTCAGAACACCAAAAAAACAAGATGTCAGGCGAAGGAGGTGAGAAATCGCAGCCAGCCAAGGCTAGCTTCACCTACAATGCGGAGAGGGTTTTGGGCTCAGGAAGTTTCGGTATCGTATACCAAGCGCAAGTAGTCGAAACAAACGAAACAGTAGCGATCAAAAAAGTGTTTCAGGACAAAAGGTACTTACTGCTCTTGGTTTCAACAGGTTAAGAGGTACTTACTGATTCTAGTAAGGTCAGCTCCAAGATATTACAAGATTACACCTGTTCGTAGTTGTACTAATTGCATTCATCTGTTACAACGACGGGGCAGATAGCTGCATGTGCTGTAGAGACTTCTCATATTAATCAGGTACAAAAACCGAGAGCTGCAAATAATGAAGGAGCTGAAGCACCCGAATATAGTGGAGCTGAAGCATGCCTTTTATACATCCGGTACTTTTCCGAGCTTTGCTCCTGGCTTGTAATGCTGCATCAACAGGACGACCACGATGTCTCCATCGCCCGACAAATTGGCAACTTCACAACCTTGTCAATTATACCTCTTTACAAAATTATGACAAATGAAATAATATTGAAGCTATCAGTCAACCTAAGTACTTAACAAAAAAAACAATCTTGTTGAACACCACGAAAAACACCTACACCATATCAACCAAAAAATAGGTGACAAGCCAGGAGAGACCTACCTAAACGTCGTCATGGAATATTGCAGCGACACGGTGTATCGAGTCATGAAACACTACAACAAGATGAAACAGCCTATGCCAATCATCTTCGTGAAATTGTATTTTTTTTATCTTGTTATTTTATGGTTGTATGGGAGTTTGTGAGGAGCAGGAGCAGTTGTGGAAACATCATGAATCATTGTCTTTATCATCGCTACAACATTCACATTCTACATCATCAACTACAAGCTCCTAATCCTATGGTATAATGAGGATTCAACCATCTACATCTTCCCTTTACTCAATTAGATCTTACCTCCTGCTTTTGTCAGGCACATCAATCAAAAATCAAAAAGACAATCAATCAATCAATCAATCAATCAATCAATCAATCAATCAATCCCCTCACAACACGAAATAGGTACACATACCAAATGTGTCGATCGTGTGCCTATATTCATGCAGTGGGCATATGCCACAGAGACATAAAGCCGCAAAATCTTCTGGTAGACGGCAGGACACACTGTCTGAAGCTTTGTGACTTCGGATCCGCTAAGAGACTCGTAAAGGGAGAGCCGAATGTGGCGTATTTTTTTTTCTAATTTTATATGAGATAACCTAACCTAACCTATCAACACATCGTAGCACTTGCTGTTGACGTAGACGTAGTAGATGAATAATATAATCCCGATCCCCATCAACATCAATAACATCGACATGATCTTCAACGTGCTGTGATGAATATGGAAAGTAGATGAGCACCTGCAAACTCAAACTCCTTAGGTGGTTGTACACCTGACTTCCCTCCCCAATCATCAAGCTCCCCTCCACACTCATCTCAGGTACATTTGCTCTCGCTATTATCGAGCTCCAGAATTGATTTTTGGCGCGACGGACTACACAACCGCAATAGATATTTGGAGCGCCGCTTGCGTGACGGCAGAAATGATCCTCGGACAGCCCCTCTTCCCAGGCGAGTCCGGTGTAGACCAATTAGTGGAGATTATCAAGGTACAACTACTAGTGCGTGGTCCTCTGAGTATGGACCTTGTACAAGTAGATACAACTAGTACGGATTATAGGTACTTGTAGTTGTACACCAGTGTTTGCTTCTTGTATGTTGAACCTTGAACGACCTTAAATTAATATGTTACTAGTCGACTAGAACAAGTAGTCAGAAGTAGCACTTGTAGCAGCCACCCTCCTCCAGAAGATCTATTATGAACATGTTCTTCAGAATCACCAAGGGTCGCATCTTCAACACCATTTTTCCAATGTAAGTTAAAGTTTACTAGTATCTTACCTCAAGTAGTACATACTGCTATAATTGGAATTCTGTGAAAGAAAATTCACCCAAGAACTTGCTGACCACGTGAAAATCACAGGTTCTCGGAACCCCAACTAGAGAGCAATTGATGGCGATGAATCCGAACTATACCGAATTCAAGTTCCCCAGCATAAAGCCACATCCATGGTCGAAGGTATACTACTAGACTTAAGCGCCCGGTAGCACTCACCCCACTAGAGTCCTCCACTGACTCTCTGCACGCACTTCCCCCGCCATTGCGAGAGAATAAGCAAGAGGATGAGATAGAAGAACGATCATGAGGATCGGTGGGCTGTGCGTTCTTGAGTCTAAGACTGTCCCCAAAAAATTGTTCGAACAACAGTCCGCTCAGAGGCAAATTATCCATGCTATGCACAGCTGCAGCAACTCGAATTTTCGAAAATTTTCCATTCGAATGACAGGTCTTTAGACAGCGCACTAGCCCAGACGCTATCGACTTTGTGTCGAAGTTGCTCCAGTACGACCCTAAGGTGCGACCACATGGCCTGGAAGCCATCCTTCACGAATTTTTTGACGAGTTGCGAGACCAAAACACGAAGCTCAGTAGCAGCAAACCGGTACTCTTTTCTTACAAGTAAGTAGCATAAGTCCTAACTAAACGACCTGGTGCAACTTCTCTGCGGATGACAAAACAATTTCAATTTCTACAATACAATTTATCCCAACCACCAGATGCCGGAATTGTTCGATTTTAGCAAGGAGGAGTTGACGATCATGCAGGACCTTCCGGCAGAGGCAACTGCCAAGCTGCTTCCACAGTGGGCGAGAGACCGCAAAAAGTAGGAGCAGGGCAAGTACTTATACATAGAAGAAGAAGTATTCTAGAAGGAGCGCTGCTGTTTCTATAGCGGAGGTTCGATGAGGAAGGTTCTCCTTCATCTTGACATTCTGCTGGTGCTGGACGCCTAATATCTGGACAGTACTTGGAAGATCTCTTCTCTGAGTCATCTGGGCGCCATCTTCAGCTTGAAGATGTTCTAAAAAAAAACTGAAACAAAAATTCTTCTACTTCTGACCCAAAGAAAGGCAGTTCTGTTCAATCTATCTTTGTTTCGCAAATTCGTACTACGATAGAAGTCCTATTACATTTCATCGACGTTTTCACAACTAGAAGTAGTGATTTCAATTTCATAGTTAGATGCTGGAGGCGTGGAGGACGTTCCACGACTTCTTCTCCTGTTCATCGTACCAACATCATCGCTTCAGTTATTTAAAAAGGTTATTTGCTGGGTAGATCCTAGAAAGAACGCGTATTGATCTTTTGCCCCTCAGTAATATTTTTATTTACACAACAAGATGTCTAATATTTACAAGAATTACAACAAGATCCTTATCAATCCACCCACCCAAAAATTGTGATGTTTTTACTACTCGCAGCACTCATCTCTCGCTCTCCAGAACGAAGAACATTTTTTATGTCATAATTCTTCACCAGCACTTGTTAAATGAATAAGATAATTGTTGAATCTTCATCAGAATGTTGATGTCCAGCATTAATTAGGAAATTTTTAGAAAATAAAAAATGTAAGTATGATCTATAATTTGAATCTCATGTTCAGATTGAAACTACTCCACAATTTATTGATAGAAAAAGAAAAAGTACAAGAAGAACTAGAGTAAGAGAACAAAGATGAACAACATTTTGGAATTATTCTTCGACACAGAGCATCAAGCATCAACTACACCTCCACGCATGTAGTTGAAATCTACAACGTCTATCACTTTTTAAGCACGACTCTTCATCTTGAAAACTAAAAGTTGTTGTAGTTGTTGTTGTTGTAGAAAAAAATGTCCTCTCCACCAACTTCTTACATGATTTCCTGAAGGAGCTTCTGCTCTTAAACCAAGCCAGCAGGAGCGGTGATCTTGAGGCACCAGTCGACTGTTGGTAGCCAAGAAAGAACTTCTCATCTAGCACCTTGATCTTCAATATGAAAGTAGTAGATCATGAAGTCGTAGGGATGAATGAAAAGAAAGATGAACTTGAATGAAAAGAAAGATCGTCCTTGCTCTCCTCGTGTTAATCATGATCTTGATGAAGTTGTCTCTCCTCTATTTTTGATTATAATGTAGTTTTGACGTGGTTCGATCACGACGTGCTTGGAGTAGATCATCAGTCGAAAACTTTAGAATAGATCCATGAAGACAGAAGATCTTCAAGATCTAATTCTAAAATCAACAAGAAGTTGTAGTTGACGATAGTTACTGCTTATTAGTCACTCTAGTGGTCAAACAACTACATCATCCAGCTGCATGGTGTCTACTTCTACTTGATAGCTGCAGGACTTGTTGTGGCCGATGCAAAAAGAACTAGCCAGTAGTAGTGTCTTCTAAACCCCTGGAGTGGGTACATTCATTCATTCATTCATTCATTCATTCATACAGAATAAGCCCCTTTATGCAACATTCGAATAGGAATACTTTTCTAAATCATAATAGGAATTTCATCTACAACCAACATTTGTTTCTGCTTGATTTGTTAAGATTGATTTTTTCTCTTGTGAAAAAGTCCTCTTCTATCGTCCTCCACGACCTATAAACGACTAAAACTGTCAGAAGAACAGAAAAAACAAGATGAAAATGGCAGAAGTCTCGCGCAACAACATGTTCTTGCGCACAAGAGTAGGACCTCGTTCTGTGGTCTTACCCTTTTTAGTGGCTGCTCAGCAATTTGCTGTTGTAACTGCCCTTCGGACGCGAAGAAAAACCAAGACGGTTCTAGTTGAAGGAGGAGCGCAGCCTGCTGAATTGGGAGGGAATTCTGAAGCGACGCCACCGGCGTTCGGAGAGAATTCTGGAGTAGACCCAGAAGAAGAACGAAAAACTACACCGGTGTTTGCGGCTTTTACGCCAGAAGAATTTCGCCGCTCTGAAGCTCAATCGCCTGCTCCGATCATGTTTACGGCTTTTACGCCAGAAGAATTTCGCCGCTCTGAAGCTCAATCGCCTGCTCCGATCATGTTTACGGCTTTTACGCCAGGAGAATTTCGCCGCTCTGATGTCATCTCATCGCAGGACGACGGAGTAGAGAGCTCGTCTCTTCATCCTGGTGGTCAAGCCGATCACTTCCTAAGGATGCCACGTCCAGAACGAGTGTCGTCAGGTCCAGCTGCTTCAAGTTCTCTTCGGCAGACTTATCTCCCAAGCGGCACATGGTGGACCAGCACGACGCCTACGTGGTCTCCTATGCCTAATGGTAATTATATGGCTGTACCTGAACCTGAAGCTGTACTAGGACCTGCTCATGTAGCTGCAAGAACATCGCCATCATCTTCATCATGGATGATGCAACCGGAAACCTCCATGCATCAGTCAGGTGTCGCACAAGCACCTCTACAACAACCGCCGTCTCCTTCGCAGCACTCGTCTTCATCGCAATCTTTTCCCATTCCGCAGTCCAGTAGTCGAGGGCACCTAATTACGCAACATGGTGGAGGCGCTTACAACCTTCTGTCTCAAGGTCAAGCATCTCAGGGAGGACCATCTTCTAGTATGGGAACAGCAAGATCTTCCCAAGGAATGCCACCTCCTAAGGTGGATCCTGCTTCGGGTTCTATGGGAGCAAGATCTTCTCAACAACATCAAGAGCAACCACCTCGCGATCATAAGCCCCAACATTGGAAGGATGCTCCTGAGCCAAATAAGGCGTCTGGGTCCTCTGGAAAATCCGACGTTCCTCCATCAGGTGGACAAGACTACGCCAGCAGCTTGATGTCTTCGCAGATGACGTTAGCAAGGGAGTTGGCTATTCTGCAGAAGGATCCTTTTTTTCAGTCTATGCATGAGGCGAAGGAGAGGCAATTTCCGAACTATCTTGAAGCGGTCACGAGGGGACTTATACGCGTTGCGTTGGAGCCTCTGCGACCGAACAAGATTCGACAGATACCGCTCCCGAAGACAGAATGGAGTGAACTCACTCGTAACGAAAGGCTGAAAGTGAGGGAATTTTTCCAGAGCAATGCTGGAGTTGACGACGATGCTGCCATAAATTATAGAATTCGTGATTTGAAGGACAAACTTCAGGCCCTCCTCGAGTCGGCGGTTCCTCTGCATCGAGTCCGAGGGAAGAAATTCCCAAAAAACTGGACAGAAGAAGAGAAAAAAGTATTAGAGCCTCTCTACCAAAAGTGGGATGCTGAGCTTGGTGAAAAAAGAGAAAAGCTCGAAAAATTTTCGAGAGATCGTGCATACAGGGATTGCGTGATCTATATGCAACAGTATTTGGAGCGACGCAAAACATGGGTGGAAACATATCAAGGCGATGCCGGTTCAATGGCTTTGATCACGGAAGTGAATTCTGGTCGAACGAGGCTTGGCGAAGCAATACAGTTGCTGGCTACGATGATGGATCTCTGAGCTGCTCCACATGCAGACTCTGGGACCACTCATGTTGTTGTTAACGAGCAGCCAGCTGTTAGAGGAGAAGTCTTTGCTCGGCAGCAACAGGGTTCAAGACGGTTCTCGCATTTATCGAACACAGCTGCGGTAGAGAAGTGGCTGACCCTCAAATGTGATGCTCTCGTCCATTTCGGGCGAAATTGAATTTGAAGACGCGGCTCATTTCGTATCTGTAATGTTAAGACTTACCTCCATGGTGAAGATCATTAGATTTATTATAATGAATGAAGAGGAATTCTTGAAATTATTTCTTCTCTAAGCTCAAGCTACCTGCTTATAATGAAATGAAGTGAAGACGTGAAACGAATATCTTGACCTATCAGTGACTATGTTCAATTGTATCGTGAACACTTAAGTGGTTGAAGAAGCGTGCGTAGATGTTATTTTTAGTGGAGTATCTGAATGTTTAGACATCAGATCAGTGGTCAGAGTCACTGTACTATGATTGTCGGGCGGCATGATCCCTATTAATATCTATCAAACAACAACAAGATACCCCTGTGACATCTTTATAAAGCCTTGACTTTTACCATACTTATACTCATTCAGGAAGATGAAAGATGAATTCGTTTGAAGTTATGGAAGGGCGCGAACGTTACAAACCTCACGTCTTTTACACGGTATTTGCATTAACATGATATACCATAACAATTACAAGTGGCCACTTGTGAAGGTTGTTTTCATTGAAAAAGGCAACTAGGAGAACATGAAGATGAAACACAAAATGCGGCGACGGAGATGATTGGCTTCGGCCATGTTCACTACCAGAACTTGTCTCTACGAAAGGGCGGTGGCATATAGTCCTAACGCAAAAAAAAAAAATCTACGGGTGCTATGAACAGCATCGTCAGGGACACACACATGACAGAATGATCAGGGTAAGGTGTTCTATTTGCCCCGCCGTTGGCAAAGTCTGCAAAACCAGTAGGAGCTCCTGCCCAAGGCGTAACGTGCTGAAGGTAAACGCTGCCACAGCCAAAGCCGGAGAAAGACAGGCAAGGACAAGCAAACCACTGCTAAGAGGAAGAAGGCAGGAAGGTAGGGCGCCACTAGGATCCAGCTCAATCGAGCACAGTCGCGCTGATTATCTCCCACGGACTGCACTCACGTCACTAGTCAGATCTAAGGGATCCAGGACCATCAAGATGCTAAGCCATGCTGATGGGCTTTCGAGCTCTTTGGCTCGTTCAATCGATCAAGTGCGCCGATTGCTTCACATCTATCAAGCTGCCAAGTCGGGAAGGAGTGGAGCGCCAAGACCTTCAAGCTTGGCCTAGTAGGTCTCTTTTCTCCGACAAATTATACTACTACGAATTGTACTGGTGCTGCTACAAAATGCCACCTAGTAGCGGAATGAGGAAAACTAAGAAGAAGAAGTGCAACGAATTTAATCAATTATACCCCGCGATTGGGTACACCTACCCTACTACTTCTACTACTCCATTACTGATACAAGCGCATCCATTACTGATAACAGCCAAGACAGTGACTGTGACCCTACCACATTGATACTTATTTCATTTGAAAACGATATCGTGAGGCTCAGAAGCTTTCAACATCCAATTTATTTCGTTCCGCCCCCTCGTGAATATTTTTCGTCATATTAATTTATAACACCTCCTGAAATTTTTTTCAGTATCTAGTCTAAGTCTATATCAATTATACCTGTACAACTTGTTAGTTCTTAATCCATGATTGAAAAATTTTTGAGTCCAAAACTACCTCCTCGCTCAGCGTTACATCAAAGCTTAACTTTACCATTGTTACCAACATCAAGTGGTGGCTGAGAACGAAATGCGTCATCTTTTAGAAAAGGACCTACAAATCGATATCGTCCACGTCCAAGAACACTCAATTTATTTATTAAAAAGGTAGACTGTACAACAATGTCAATGATATTATCATCGCCTCAACAAATCAAAAAGATGAAGGTGCTTGTAGTTGTGGCAATGATCCACCTCGCGAGCCTGCAGTTCGTGGCTGCTGTGGTTGGACCTTGTCATGCAGGAGCCTCCAGCACAGGTGGTGGACTAGGACTGCAAGAGGAAGAACCTTCTGGTCCTCCGACGACTACAGCAGTAGAAGTGCTTCAAGGACGTGCAGCTGTAGCAGATGATCTCCCAGCACGACCTCAAGTAGATCAGCCGGACCAGGAACAATTCTCACGTTATCAACAGGAGCCCGCGGAGCCGTCATTTCCACCATACGGTCAACACGTCCTCGCGGAACTGCAAGCAGGTTCTTGTAGGGAAGACAGGAACTGGCTTGAGCGTTTATTTGTAGAGTCGCCTGCTCGTCTTTTGCGATCAGCTATTTCTTCCATCTCTACTGAAGCCCGCCGTCTACAGGACGGACGAGGAGGAGATGTTCTCATGTCAATTGAAGATACTAGAAGTACTAGTTGCTCGAGTGGCAGTTCCAGTGGAGGCAGGCTCCTTCGCCTTCCTCCTGTACGAAAAAATGGTCCTCTCCTTCAAATCGAGGACACGACTTCAGCTCCAGCTAAAATCGAGGCTTTTGCCACTCTCGCAAGCACAGCGCCAGCTTTTATTGCCAGTATATTTTCTTCAAATACTAGGTGCGAAGGTCACAGTCGTCGTGTATGTCGTGACCCGCGGCCTAGAGTCTATTCGAAGAAGAACAGCAATGACAAAATCAAGACGTCGCTCCTTCTCCAAAGCTGGACTATCGAAGCCGAGCTAACTAAGGCGATTGCAAGCATGTTAGAGACTGGCGCGCTTCCGGTTGGAACTGGAAGGAACCTGAGTCAAAGTCTCTCATCATTAGACAAATATTTTCCTACCTCTGCTCCTGAAGATCTGGTCGGTGAATCTGTCTTATCGAATTTGATGACGATCTTTCGCAAAATCGAGGCAGCTCTCCTTACTCATGATCATAGTGCGGCAGGAGTTCGTTGTAGTTCTACTAGTTCTGCTGATATATTACTGAAAGGTCGAATCCGAAGTACATCACGAGGTCGTAATCAAGACGGGAGAAAAGACGGAGGACTTGAACGAGGAAATCTTCTTTTTGTCTGGCCGATTGATGCTCAAGACGCAAATTACGATACTGTGGTGGAACAAATCCTACTAGGACAAGAAGAAGTAGGACAAAAGCTACAAGAAACACCTGCTGACCCTGGTGAGCTTTACGAAAATGCAGCTTATGAATATACAGCTCCAAGGAACTTCCTAGGGTCTCGGCTCCGCATCTTCTTAGTTAGCGAGAAAGTGAAAGAAGAAGCAGCTCTGGATGAAGTTGTAGAAGGTGCTCTTGAACAAGAAGCAGAAGGTCGTCAAGATGATTCAGAACGGCGGGCTGTTGAAAGAGAAGAGGGAAATAATGGAGAACTTGGTGATGTTGAAGTTCCACTAGTTCTCCCTGAAGAAGAAGAACCAGCAGAAGCTGGTGGGATTTTCTCCTGGCTGTTTGGTGCTTCAACTTTCTCAAGTAGAGCTACTTCTAGTTTCAACGACGTGGTCAGCGGAACTCCAAATACTACTACAACTAATCCTAGCAGTGGTCTCAATGTCGGCATGGATTTTTTCGATCATGCGCCGATTGGCCCTCCCGACGTCTGTCGTGGTGTTGCAACAGACGGGCAAATCCACGTTCCAATGGGGTTAGAGCTTGTCCCCTGGACCGGCGCAAATGATATGGCAGATCTCGAAAGCATCCCCGATCCAAAAGAAAGGGCTCGTATTCTAAAGGAAGAATTGACGAAGAAGGAACAAGCCAGATTCCAACAATTGGGAGTACTACGTGCGAGCAGTAAAAGTCTAGCTGAGGGATTCGCCTCGATCCAGGAGATGAGGACGAGAGAGAGACAAAGAGAACATTTACAACGCTTAGAAGATGACATGATCCGTGCTAGGCAACAAGACGTTGGACGAGTGCAGCTTTATCGTCCAGAACAGTTGTTGGCTTTGGAGGATAGAAGGAATGATGGTAGCAATACTTCTACAGCTAGACTCCGGAGTGTAGTAGATGCGTCATCATCAAATTCTCCGTACGTGCCACAACAAGAACTTTCCTATTCTGGACTAGTGCCAGTCGTACCTCAATCGTCCGCTGCGCCTGCTGTGACATCACTAACGCTGCGAAGACAGCGGGAGCAGGAGGAGCTAGAGCGTCAGAGAGCAGACCAACATCGCTTTTCGTCTTTACAGAGAACAGCTGATGTCGCTATTCTTGTTGAATCTTTGCTCATCCCTGAAGATTTGCAGTACCCGAATATGTTGCAGCCTCGTCTCGGACATTCGCGTTCCGGATCATCACTCGCACAAAGCAATGATGCTCTCGACCACGACCTAGAACGTGGCGAAGAAGTTGTAGTGGGTCAACAACTACGTCATAATACAGAAGATGCTGTTATGACCAAACGGACACGCTTGTGGATGAGGTCAAAACTTAGGGAAAATTTTTAGGGCCTATTATTATTGTTCCCTAATTTTCCCTAATTTTCCCTATCATGTGGGTTTAACTTTAAGCGTGTCCGTTTGTTTCTAATGCTGATGCGGCAGCTGGTCCTGGTGCAACTACTGAGATTGTTCCCTATACTGGAACTGGAAGTAGGACCGATGGCGCGGTCCATGTTGGTGCTGCTCACACAAGGATGCTTCCGTCCTATACATTCCCTTCTTCGTTAATAGCTATAGCAGGTAGCGACGAATTGGACCAGCTCGAGGCCCGCGTGTTGGCGATCCGCGAGGAGACAGAGGCTCACATTCAAGAACTGGAAAGACTAGCAAAAGCCCGTTGGTGGGCAAGCGCTATGGAGTGCGGTTTGATTATAGCTGGTTCTCTCGCGGCTGTGGGAGCGTTCTCGATCGCTGGAAACGTGATTCCCGTTCTTTTTACGGCGGAAAAAATGTCGTTAGGAACACTAGCTTTCTTAGGGGCTAAGGCGAAACTGCTGGCTTCGATGCTGTTGGGCGCAGAGACAACGCATGGAGGACTGGGGAGTTCGGCATCTTTACAAAACATGTGGCATCAGCCAGGAGGCCAGGAAGCAACGAAAAGCCTTAAGGAGCTGTTGGAAATGTTGCACGATCAATTGGCCCACGTACTTTTTTACTTTTCCAGTAGTTTGAGTTTTGTACCGGGAAGTAGATGTTCATCAATGTACTACTATGATGTAATTCATCTATCTTCAAAAATTAGTATGGGAATTATTATTCTTGAATGTAGAAGTAACTCGTAGTTTCCTTCAGATGATACCGATTACTAATCGCATGTATCCTATGTAGAAGTACTGAAATAACCGAGTTACTGACTGAAATAAGGGAGGTTGTAGCTTTGACGGGGCTACTCTTCCTTGTTCAGTCTCTCGCTTATTTTCAGTAGTTACAACTCGCTTGTTTCAGTTTTTCGAATAGAATTCTCTACTTCTACATTGAAGCCTTTTTTTCAAAAACAGGTTCCTCCAACGGAAAGCAGCAGTCCTGTCATGGTAATGAGTGGTGTAAGCAGCCTGGTACCTCCACCACCTTGTGCTCCTCTCCTCGCCTTAGAGGATATCAAAAGGGAATGGGAAGATGAAAACAATAAGGAAGGACAGGACAGCTCATCTCGTCTTGTCTTCGAGGACGCAAACAACACCCCAGTAGACGAAAAGGATCTCCAGTTTATCGTAGCCACAAATAGGGAGGAAGTGACGCGGCTTAACAATATGCTCCTGATGAATAATGGGCATGCTAAGGAGTCAACTTCATCTTCAAGTGCAGCAACGTCGCAGGAGATTCAAAAGTTCCGGCGAAGGGTGACAGTGAAGCTCCAGAAGGGAAACAAACCAGCACCTATTCAAAAATCTTCGCTGCTTCAGCGAGGACAGCGAGCATTTTCGCTGGAGAATGGGATGAACAAAGAAGTAAAGAAAAAAATCTTGAAGCAGGACAAGTAAACCGGCTAGAGCCAGCAGTGCCAGGTGTACGTTTGGTACTTCCACTAGTGACAGTTTTACCGGATGATAAAACAAGGTGCAGAATCTTTATGATATGCGCTCTTTTTTAGAGCGTCTCAGTCTATGATGTTGTCTATGATCTACTTCTACTTGAAGCATTTGGTGGCAAAGTCCACTTCTTGATGCGTAATTATATGGTCATCTATCCAAGCTGCAGGAGAGAGGACTGTTTCCGTCTTCTACGCAAAGTTCAACGTGTTGTATCTATTTTGGTGTACTACAACAAGAAATAGAAGTACAAAAATGGAGATGGACTGAACGTTAGAAGAACTACGAACGGGCATTGGACTAATAGAACTAGATGACAATAGCGAGAAAACTAGACAAGAGCGAGAATGACGGTCTTTGTAAAATACAACTTCAGTACTTGAATCTTCGAGAAATCAGGTTCTTGTCGTAAAATACTACGGTAGTTCTTGTGTGCCGTCCTGCCTCTATGGTGATCACGAACGATCCTATCAGAGGCACATAGATAGCTAGCACTTGTTGAATCTTCACGTAATTCTAATCGCTCCTCTTTTTAACTACTAAACTTCAACGCTCGAGCACGACCCGAAGGAGGGACCCTGTGAACGATTTTCTAAACCTCACGTACTATCCTTCAGAGTCATCGCCGAGTTGTTGTAATCGTGATTTTCATGGGTCGTTTTCAAGGCTGTCATCGTGATCTTCAGCGCATCGATTAGCGGTATGTAGTACGTAGGAAAATTCGAAGAAAAATGAATGATTCGGCACCAACTTCCTGCGCACAAGAACAGGCTCGTTGCTTGTTCGTTCTTATATCGACGAGGTTGTTCCTGTTGTTTGTTCAACTTCAAACTTCTAGTCTGTCGTAGTTGATGTTGCGTACTCCGACGTGGACGAGGACCAAAAGTCATCGAGGACAAGAGACTAAGAAAATCGAGGAGTGATGGAGTGGGAAAGCTTTCGTTGACCTTAGGAAATCGAGGTTTCGATGTTTGAAAAAATTGATCGTTTCTTACGAATAGGAGGCCTGTATAGAAGAAGCCGGGGCTGAGATCATGCGGTCTCATGAGGGACGCTGTAGACGGAGGTAGTGCGTTATGGTCTTTTTTACCCCTGGAGTTGGTACATTCATTCATTCGCGCATGCTTCAAAAAAAGGACTGAAGACTGGGGCGAAGAGCCTTGTTTTAAATCCTACATATAGTTGTAATTGTATGCACTTGTTCTATGGAATATTTCTGTCGGATGACGCACGCGTGGACTTAAATAAGAGCAGCAACGCAGTAGGGAGGTAATCATAAGCATAACTTGCAACGACATGGAACTAGGAACAGGACTACAGCTCCTTTTCAGCACAAGAAGATGAGGAAGTCGCAAAACCAGACACGAAGCCCTCCTGGGAAGGAGTGGCTAAAAAACGTCGATACCTCTCCGTTGCCAAAGATTCCGCATAGAGAAGTGCGAGGATCCAGTGGAGGTACTACTTTCTTCTGTCGAATAAAGTTGTTGACCAAGTAGAAGATCTAGATGATGTAGGCTGTTCCTGTACTCACAACATTTTGTTGAAAATTAGGAATTCTAGAACACCATGTCGCAAGGTTTCAACTTTCCAAAAATTAAGCAAATTGCCAATTTTCCAGAAAATCTCTCCACTTCAGTTCTTGACACAGCTTTCGTGCGTTGTACAACGGTATTACAATTGAATTCTACTTAGGCACGGACATCACTTTCGGTCGATCACGTGGGCTCGGAGGATCCGACAGTAGCACCTCGGATAGTACTAGGGACCAAATGAATCCTATTCGAGCTTCTGTGAACGGCAAAAACAACAAGCAGTTTCGATCCGCCAATATCGCCCTCTACGAAGGCGGCGGCCATTATGCGGCGCCACCAGTAAAAGATGTTGCGCCACCGAAGAATGGGAGTGTTACGGCTTCCCCTATAATAGTCTCCCATTTTGAGAGAAGGCATCCTGGAACAAGAGACGTTTTCAAGGGGAAAACGGTAAGGAGGATGGACTTCAAGATGGACGATTTCGGTGAGCTCTAAGAATGGCAACGGCAGTAATGGGAATGGTAGCAACGGGGGGCCAAATGGAAGCAAGAACAAGGATCCACCTGGCGCATCTCCGGTTTCCACTGTTAAGGCTTACCCTAATGCATCTCCGGAAGCATCCCCAAGAGGCTTCTCAAGGGGAAAAGATAAAGGCACCTAGGACGCATTTCGGGATGGATTATGGTGAGCTCTAACCCTGCCTCTCATGCCAGTGCAAGACTAGGAATAGCAAACCCTTTGGGTGGCATGTTCCGCAACAAAGAAGCAGAACCTGTGCAGCCGGCATTTAGTGATTAAGGCTAGTAGTACGAGAATAAATTATCCATCTTTCCCGACGAACATTCATCGTGCTTAGTCATAGATAGAATTAGAATAAATCCATCTTCCCCAACATCTTGCTCAGTCATAGAATTAGAAAAAATCCGTCTTCTCCAGGAGCATCTTACTTGCGTGGCCCTCCCGATTTCTCATCGAGGTTCACAATTTGGGGAATATACAGGGACCCAGTGATGAATCCTAAGATTTCATGGATTTTCTTTAAAAATAGGTCTACGTCTAATGTCAGGATGAGAGCGACTCTGAGACCGGGAGTCCAGCTGGGTCGCCAAATGATGAAGACGAAGAAGACGCAGAGACTAAACGCAGAGCCAAGCACTCAACGGAAGTCGATCCAGGTGCTGCACCAGTGGTTCCGCAGTATCCGTTGAAGTTATGTCTCCTGGGATGAAATGGAACAGTAAGTAAGAAAATCATAACGCTTCTGCTATAATGCTTCTGCTATGATGCTTCTGCTATGATGCTTCTGCTATGATGCTTCTGCTATAAATGCTTCTGCTATAATGCTTCTGCTATAATGCTTCTGCTATAAATGCTTTTGCTATATTAATGCTTCTGCTATGATGCTTCTGCTATGATGCTTCTGCTATAAATGCTTTTGCTATATTAATGCTTCTGCTATGATGCTTCTGCTATGATGCTTCTGCTTAAAGATGCAAGATTGAAGATTCAATCTACCTAACCTTTTCTAATTCCTGTCGAACCCGGAATGAATATGCATGTTTTAGCGCTTGATCCGGTCCCATATCGACTGAGATGCATGGCGGACTTGGGCAGGTACTTTAGAATCTACCTTTCAACACTTTCAATTGCAGGGTGTCTTCTGTTACTACAAGCTTAGTTCTGAGCTATTGTTAACAAAGTTACAACCTCCAATAGAGCAAACTGCTATTCAAGCCTCATACCGTTTCCTGTTGTCGTTGTCTCTACTAGATTTGCGGATTTAAGGATGAAGATTACTCTCTTCATCAGCTGCTACTCGCTTGTTTCTAAGCAGAACCCATTCTACGCACAGTGTCGATTCGCCTTCCCCGAGACAAAAATATTAACACCACAACTTTAATATATCTCCATCTCATTTTTTGAGTTTCAAACACTCTCTTCATAGTCGTGCACTAAATGGTTCAAAAATAGCACACTACTTGATCTGGTATTGTTTGTCACTGTGTTCTTTGCTTTGCGTTGCAGTTTTCAACATTACCTCAAGTAGTGCCTACTGTGATTATATACTTATATCTCCTCATAATCATCTTCATCCCCCACTGCTCCTGCAGAACCCACCGCATCCGCACAACAACGTTCCTTGGTCGCAGTCGTAAGCAATTACGACCTGAAGATTTAGCCTTGGATGCACAGGACGTTTCTAAGATCCACTGTTCTATTACCGCTATTGGTAACGCAATCGCTGGCTACAAGCTCTCTGTGGTAGTGGCGGAAGATGCGAAAGCACCTGTGAGCATCAACGGAGCAAAATTGAAACAGAAAGGAAGACCTTATCCGTTGAAGGTAAGTAGTTCTTTTCGTTTTCTCATCTCTTCTACTTATACAGGCTGGTGACATCGCTATTAACACGACGTGACGTAGTTTTTGTTTTTGGTAACAAATTGAGTTCTTCGTCCACGCGAAAAGCTTAAGGGATGGCAGTGAGAATCTAGAAGTAGTACAAGAACTAGTGAGTTCTATGAAAATAAGTAATTTGCTAGAAACATTTCCTCCATGTACTCCTTTCTCCGACTCCGTTCCCTCTCGTCCCCTCTCAGGTCGGCGATGTGCTCTTAGTCGGTTTAAGGGAAATGTGGAAGTTAGAGAGAAGTACAATTGAAGAAATGCCTCCGAAACATATCACGGATGAACTAGAACTCTACGAAGCCCACGACGAGTTTTTGCAGTTGGCAATAGCCGATGTGGAGACATATAAGAACGTACTGTCTTCTCCTTCATTTTCTCCTTCATCTACATATTTATAAGAACGTACTGCTTTTCCACGCCAGATTGTTTGTAGATATAGAGTAGTTTCATCCTTGTCACTAATTCTAACTAAGTAAGTTGTAACTACTCACTTGCTCCTTCTTCACAATTTTTATGATACTTTTTAATTTATTAAAAAATAACCTACTCAGCTCGCTCGGTGCGAGAAATGGATGGATTTTGTGGCTATAGCAGTCGAATTAAGCGAAAAGGACCAGGCAGTTCAGCAGACGAGGCGTAGGTTCGTTGCTGCGCGTAGAAGTGCTTTCCCGTCAAATTAAGTCTCGATACAGCAATCCATTGCAGCTAGTTGTTGTGCAAGGCTTTTTTTACTTTTTTCCCTATTTATTTTTCCTTCTTTGGACGATTGGGAGAAATGCAAGCAAGAAATGAAATGCTTCTTTGAGCTCTAATCAAAGTCGTCTGCTGGTCCAGGAAGGAACGGCGGCGCAGGCGGAGCTAGTGGCAACAATAAGGGAGGTCCAGGTGGAATGGCCATGTTGGGCAGTGGTGGAGGTGGAAACCATGCGAATAACATGCGCCAAGGTGGCAACATGAACAACGCGCATACGACGACTCACACTACTACTAAGGCTTCCTTCCCCATGTAATTCATCTTGAGTAGAAGCATCTTCTTTGTCCCCCTTTTCTTTGAAGAATAGAAAACGGGTCGAACAAGAAGAGTTTCCGTTTCAAGATGAATTACAATTAAGTATAATATCGGTAAGGTCTAATACTAGTAGTTTCACGACAGGCGAAGACAACGCTAGTCTGTTTAGACGAACCGACGCGACGATGGTGACGCTGGAAACTGATCCAGGTGCGAGTGGAGCAGATTTCAGGATGCGGAACACGGAAACCAGTAGCTGGAACGCTGGACCGCACCAAGGCATGATATTAAAGCTTCCTTTTATTCATCTTGTTCTAAGTGCTACTTGTTGAGGAGCTGGATGATCTTACTTAGATGACATCTTGTCAAGACTTGTTGAGAAGAATCACGGATGAAGGCGAAGGGTAGGCAGCAACATAAGGGGGAAAAATCAAGAATCTCTACCAAGTAAACGCTGGCGAAGATGAACTTGAACTTATACGTAGAAGGTATGTTATAGGCTCTAATGAGACCGGAGAACGAGCAGCTGAAAACGATGTCTACTTTCGGTGGTGGTTCTTCGATTGCCAACACAGACACGAATTTCAACCAGGGTGGTCACCAAAGCGGTGGAAACATGATGTCAACAACGATGTCGTCTACAGGTGTCATCGGAGGAGGCGGTCCAGGATCATCCTCCCATCAGGGTGGAAATAATACCAGAGAATCAGCTATGAAAGAAAATAAAGGTGCACATCACACAGGCAAAAAAGTAGGACTAGGAGTAGCCATTTTCGTCCTAATCCACCTACTTACTCAATAAATCCTATTCATCCTAGCCAATTTCTTCAGTGTGACTGTGAGTGGTGCACTTTTTCCTTTCAGATCCCGGTTTCGATCAGGCAATAGCTTCCTACGGGAAACTACTCACACACAAAGCACAGGCGGAGAATATACAGACGAGCTTCCGGAGGACAGCATGGATGCTGCTTTGGCACAAGAGTATCCTAGGTGTGCGGACCTGATCGAAGTCCTGGACGAGGTATATTTATAAGTACCTCCTACGGTATGTTGAGAATTCTGTTTCTGAAGATATATGATTGGTTACGGGATTAGGCAAGTCGCTGATGTTAGTGTGAAGATGTGGCTGGATTTTCTACAGAAAGTGATGTAGATTGCAGAAGTGCTGGAAGATGTTGAGCAACATGAAGAAATCAACTACGAATCATCTTCATCATTTTTTCCTCTCCTCAGTCAGTACCATCCTCTCTATCTATCAAGGAAAGTGTCCTCAAAATACAGCTTGGCCACGTTCTGTTCACCTTTGGACCAGTCTCCAGTTTTGACGAGATGGACGAATATGACTTGTCTGAAATAGTAGAATTAAGGCTAGTTTTTCACTATGTATCCCGTGTGGAGTATGATCCCGTGCGCACTACTTCTCCCGCTGGATTTAAGGGTGAAACCAAGGGGAGAAAGAGGACCTACTCACCCTACGACCAGGGATTGTGAAAAACTAGTGCTAATAGAGGTTTTGGCGCCAGGTCTCTTCGTTCGCGTACACTTATGCTTCTTTCCGCCTCTAGTGCAATCCTGCGCAGACTGGCTAGATCGAGGAACCGGAGCAGCGCTGCAGCAGGTCATTGGAGGAGGAGATCCGAATAGTCTGGATAGGAAAGCGCTTATGTGAGACGAAAGAGCAAAAGGAAAAACACAGAACATGATATAGCTGCTGTTGACACCAAAGTAGACATTTGATATACAGATTCCATAGATATTATAGCTGTTGACACCAAAGTAGACATAGATACAACTCCCTTACAACGCAGGGGCCAGCCACAGATGATCATGTGTAAGTGTATCTTCCTAGCAGTACAACTTGTAGCATAATAATGAATCAGTATCGGGCCGCGTAGTTGTGCTGTTTATTGCGTCGGTCAGCACAGAAGTCGCATGAATTCATCAAAAAATACGAATACGTCATAGAACAATCTTTTACAGAAATTTACAATTACAGTAGACACTGACAGCACGTGAATGTTGCAACAAGTAGATATCATTGACATCCATGTAGCAGTGGTTCCGATTGAAAAATCATTACGTGAACATAAGACTCACCGTGATATTAAGATTCAGAAAATTGTCCTATAGGTTTTAGAATATGGTAGCTCCTTCTATCCCTGTGCATAAAAAGAAGACGAGAAGATGCTAGAGCTGTGGTGCATAGATGATTTCCCACATTCTAAGTAGATGATCGATTCCTAGTATTCCACCTTCCCCATTCGTCCAACACATCAGGATCTTCACTAGAAGAAGGTTGCTTCTTGTTGTTGCCCTATGTATTGTATTTCCCACCCTTGTTATCGTTTCGACTCGTCCTCGCTGAGACGTAATAGATAAGCATAATCGAAGAGAAAATGCGTCCTCCCGAGCCTGAGAATGAGGTAAGCGGAGCAAATATACAGAAGAACAAGAGTCGTGAGAGGCTTTCGCAAAAAAATATAATCATCTTGGGGACTTGAGATTGAGAGATTTGGTTCCTGCATGAGCTGAGTCGAGTCGTGAATATCGAAACGAGAAACTGTATCTATCGTAAGAACATTATTCTCCAAATTGACGATAATGACAACTCCTGATGTATCATGGGACTGTACTCCTTGCCCTTCTCCTGTTACAACAACAACAATTACAAACTGATGTCAGGCTATGGGGCGTGGATACATGGCTCTACCTAGGATGCTGATGATTTAATTAAGTAGTGAGCCAGGAGTACCCGACCAGCAGGTTATATCTTCACCTTAACTAGGCTTGGGCCTAGTAGAATTTTGATTTTTGACTGATTAGAGCAGCATAGAAAATCTTCTACAGAAAAGATGTCGCGGCGACCCGTGGAGACAGGCGGAAGCCTGGTTTTCCAGGAGGGAAAGAAAATCGAGGGAGAGTACTACATCATCGCCGTCTACGATGACCCCGAAAGGAATACGGTACTTAATATGTTGACTTTCACCAGCTGCGATGATGAATTTTACTTTGCTCTCTCTCTTATATTTTTCTGTTTCACGTCCGTGGTCGTCATCTTCCACACCTAATAAAAAGCAAGCAACAATAAAATATAATCTTTCATCATCCCACGACCTACCTTGTTCACCAGGTTTCCTTCTGCGCCTATGAGCTGGAGACCAACCAGACGTACACCCTGCCCTACACGTATACGGAACTGGATGAGTTGTTCCGGTATAATAGTGAGTTGATGAATCCAACGAATCGAGATGCGAGATATCACTGGATCATCGAAAGGCTCGACTTCGTGGTGGCTCTGGACAGTACCACGAGTGGGAGGAAACTATGTCTCGCGCCAGAACCAACACCAGAAGAAGAACCACAAGACAAAAAGAAAAAGAAAAAAGATCAGGAGTACAACTAGCAACTTCTACTGACTGCTTCATTTGTTCACTTTAAAAGTATTACTGCAGCTACTGAGTTTGATCCTGACATGTGCGAACATGATTTCTTTTTTTCAATAATGAACAAACTAGATTAAATAATGCTACTGAGTTTGATCCTGACATGTGCGAACATGATTTCTTATTTTCAATAATGAACAAACTAGATTAAATAATGCTACTGAGTTTGATTCTGACATGTGCGAACATGATTTCATTTTTTCAATAATGCACGAGATTACTGCTGCACGGCCTACTTGTTCTATACATCTTCCACTGCCCAACTACCTACGACCCTACAACAGAATCGGCGGTGGCGGTGGGGGCAAATTAGATGCTGCTACTCGTGCGAAATTGATAGCGGAACTGGATACGATGGACGACCATGCGCTTTACATCTCCCTCGTCAAATCTGAGGAAGCACGAAAGCAGTTTCTCACTGCCTTGCATGCCAAGCGACGCCTAGTTAAGGTTAGTTTTTCACTATCCTGTGTGGAGTATACAACTGTGTGAGCTGCCCGCCCACCTAAGTTCTACTTTAAAGGGTACAACTATAGGGGAAGTCAAGGGGTCTTCAACATCTCAACACTCAAGAACATCTCAGTCAAGGTGAAAAACTAGCGCTAACCTATAGCAGATTAAGGCTGGACAGCGGTCTCACAAGCTGGATGAGGATCAGGAGTTGCGCATGAAGAAACTGCAACAGCAGAGAGACTTCATCAAGTCCAAAGCTGTGCAGTATCAAGAAGATCAAGCGGATAAGAAAATGAGCATGGCAAAGATGGCTGAGCTGATGAATCAAGCCGAAAATGAAGCCGTCAAGAAGTACTTCGATGATGATTTCGATTTTGATTTGTCTTTACCATGATCTTCTTCCTGTTACGATCTTCCATTTCCTAGTAAGATGATCAGCGAACAAAAGAAGTTCAAAAACTATCACCTAGCTAAAACATCGATCTTCCTCACCCAACTGCTCACCACCATCTTCAGAGCCCTGAAGAAGAAAGCCGAAAAGAAGCAGGAGAGGGCGGATTGGCGCGCAGCCAAGCAGAAAGAGCGAGAGCGTGAAGCTGCTCGAGCTCGAAAAGCGAAGGAGCTGCAAGAAGAACAGTTCCGCATGTTAGCCAAGCGACGTGCAATCGTACAGGAGGAGCGAGACATAGTGATGAAACAGCGCCAAGACGAAATCCTAAAGAAGCGGCAAGTCGCTTTAGTTACGGCTTCGTAATCCAATCAAGAAATCGCTTTAGTTAGCGCCAAGTCGCTTTAGTTTGTAATCGTCCAATCTGAAACTGAATCTTGTGAACTACAAGTAGAAGAAGTATCAATCAATACAATGAACGAGTAGTACAACCAGCTCTAATCTAGACGCCCGTCTGCGGTTGCGACAGGCTAAGAAAGCGGACGCTTTAGCAGCAGCTGAGACGCTAGAGGCAGAGAGGCAAAAGCTAAGAGATGACGCGGATAAAAAGAAAGAGCATTTCAAAGCTCTGGAGGAGAAGCGAATTCATGCTGAATTGATGAGGGAAAAGAAGAGGAATGATGAGGTAGTTGATTGTCCTGCGGTCTTATTTACCGGAGTCCTAGTCGTGTTACTTAGTCTTTTTTACAACGAAAAGGACAACTACACTTACTCCGTCCTTAACTTAATATAACTCAATAACTTTAAAAAAAAGCAAGAAACTGACTGATGAACACATCACGTGATCATGAATTTGACAGATCCGCGACGTGGTCCTTTCTATCCAAGCGGACTACCGGGAACAGCAGATGGAACTTGCCGAAGAGAAAAAGCGCCTGATCGAAGAGAAGGCAGTGAAAGCGGCTTTGGATGCGAGAAAACGCGCTATGTTACGAGCTCAGGCAGAGGAGCACCAACAGTGGAGGAAGCAGAGGGCATTGCAGATGGCAGAAGAGGAAATGAAGAACGTGATTATGGACAACTTCTTGTGTCTTTTACTTTTTTTTCGGTTTATCTTTTTTTCATCTACCTTCTCCTGCTGCGTCTGTAGTTGGTCGTGACAAATTAATAGCGAGCTGAAAAAGACGAGCTGAAAAAGATTCAGATTGCTTGTCCTCCTTCTCGTGATTGATAGAAAAAGTCATAACGAGAAGTAGGATGCCAACATTCGTCTTAGGATACAACCAACATTGTAAGTTCCTCCAATCCTCAAGAGCAAGAGTGGCTCCGAAGGCACGATGCAGACGCTGAGAAAGACGTCTTGGACAAGAACAAGGAACCTGAGGAAAACGAAGGAATCCCAATAGAAGACGAGGAAATTTTGAGGCTAAAACTAGAACAACGAGCTCGCGAGAAACGAAAGGAGGCTAGGGATACTGTCAAGGTACTATTATCATGTCCTCGAATAGGGATACTGTCAAGGAAGTACTATTTTTATCATGTCCTCTAATAGGGATACTGTCAAGGAGGTACTATTATCATGTCCTCTAATAGGGATACTGTCAAGGTACTTTTATCATGTCCTCTAATAGGGATACTGTCAAGGAGGTACTATTATCATGTCCTCTAATAGGGATACTGTCAAGGTACTATTATCATGTCCTCTTCTAAGTTGTTATCCTTAGGAGGATACTTGATGATTACCCTTTTCTCTTTTCTATCTTCCTCCGGTCTTTCTTTTTTCTAGTTAGGTCGGCTCCACCACAATTATGAGGGGATAGCGATAGAGACTACAAGAAGCACAAGTCCTGCCTGCATAAGCATTGACGTAATCGCGTCACGACAGCCTCCAATTTTTTGTTTGTCTTCTTTATACTTTTCCACCAAGCAAACGACATCAATCTTGTTCACAGAAAGCGGAGGACGAACAGATGTCTAAAGTGGAGACCCAGTTTTCATCGCAGAAGCAACGCAACGTCGCTGAGGGCCGTAAAGCTCAGTTGCGCAAGGAAGCTGAGAAACAGCGCATAGTCCAGAAAGAGCGAGAACGCGTAGCATTAAGGATTTATTTTAGCACCTCTAACTACATTCAGAACTACTTGAAAAGTGAAAACTAAGAAACAGACCTCTATTTTTCACTGATTACACTCATTGTTTCCCAGCAGGTACCTCCTACTGCTGGAGGACCATCTAAAAATTTTTGCATTCCCTATTTATACTTGAGGGGGACCATCCTTGGGGGCCTTTTCCTGCTAGGCTCGGCTCATGGAGTCTAGCAGAATCACTATACTATTTTGACCCTCCGTTACCATTTATCAAAAAGCTCTTTCACTTTCAACGTTTTCAAGTACAAAAGTTCGAAAGTGAAAGAGCAGGATCCACCTTGGCTCTTTTCCTACTAGCTGGATCTAGTAGAAAAGAAGCCAGACTCTGAGATGTTCTGAGGACGAATGTAGAAGTAATCTCGTAACTCGTACCTCTTCTAATAGCAGCAGAGGAGGCTAGTATGGCAGCCCGTGTAAAGATAGAGAACCAGAAGCTGGAACGTCTGCAGATGAATCTTCGTCTAGAACTAGAGCGGCGAAAACAGGACGTCATACGTGGAGACGACGACCTGAAAATTACGGCAAGGGCAACACGGAATCCATCTTCCCCAACTAGAAGCATCTTCCTGGTGTGGTTTCTTTTCTAAGGGAACCAACCGGTTTTTAGTTTTTCCCTTGTAGTCGTAGTAAACCTTAGGGGAAGTTTTGTTCCCTTCGTGAAGAATGTAGTGCTGATTGTTCCACCTCAGGGAGAAAAAGCATGATTCGGATGCCCCTGAAGTGGATGAAGATGGATTTCTCGTAGTTCTAAGAAAAAGACAATAGAACGAGCACACAGCTTGCCAGTCGGAAGCTGCTTGAGCGTGTCGTTCTTGCCGTTCTTCTAGAACTACTCAACTACTCGAGCAGGACGTGGAACAAGTAGTCGTGGAGCTTCTAGATGAAGTAGCAGATGCTGGTGCTGCAGAGCACTGACATCGTGGATGGGACACGTGGTGGAAAATGCCAGAAACAAGTAGGATCTTGAATGCCTCCTGCCTCCTGTGCCCCGCTTGTTCTCTACAACAGGTGACATCTTGCTGCAAAAAATTGATTCCGATTCACCTCTGTTGCTAGAATTGATTCCATTTGATTCCATTACGATTATAGCAAAATTAAAGCGATCACATTAGACACGATTACATCAGATACAAAAGAACTCAACTCATCACGTTCACGACGACTACTCATCAACTAGTAGACCAAGAGATAAGACTAAGATGCAAGAAAAAAAATGTTGAAGCATAGTGAACATGAAGATTATGATGTTATCAGATTCCAAATCCAATATGCCGAATTCGATTCCTTTTATTCCAAGTATGATTTATCAACAGATGTGAGGACATCATATCCTCTAAACAAAAATCCTGAACATTCTGAAACTGAAGCACGTGAAAGAACTGAACTGAAACTGAATTGAAGCGATCCACATCGACATCCTGTATAGAAGAACTGGTTTGATCGATCCTGCTCACGACGATGTTGAAATTCCGGGAGACCGAGAAAAAACCGAAATCTAATGAACAACTGTTGGTGAGGACCACATCGATCCACATCGAAACTCCTGTGGTAAAATATACTGAATTTGAATGTTCCACTGCTACTGCTCATTGTACCAGCGGTGTGCTGATTTGGGGAGATGAAGGTGAAATCTCGTCCTCCCTCTTGTTCTCGCTCCTCGAAGATGTTCACTCACCACGACAAATCCACGTCGACGTGGTCTCCTGAATGATTAACTAGAATTGTTAAGGCTCAGCTTTCAATGGTCATTGGGGTTGGTCACTGAGATCGAAGAGGCGACCCCTTGAGAGAACAGGGGAAAACGAAGGGAAAGGGGAGAGCTTTGAAGGGGGTCCCTTCCGTTCAGAGTCAGCGACCACTGAAGGCTGAGCTTTAAAATTGGCGCATTGTTGTGGTCTGAATTGTCGACATCAAGACCACAACAATATGCCAATTCTAGTTGTCACAACAATGTACTCGACTACATTCTTGTGACTGAAATCATCAAGGTATCTCGTCACGACCGCCATCAGCACGTTTTTTCCAAAAGAATTGAGTTTGAGATACACCTGTCAATGTCTATGCCATAATGACAATGAAGATGCAAGTACACCTGTCAACATAATGACAATCATGAAGATGCATGAGCTGCAAGTGCGAATATGAATGAACAACTCACGTCGACAATATTCCAATATTAATGAGGACAACTGCAACTCAACAACTGTCAGTGGTAAAATATCGTTGTAATGCATACGGACATGAAATCTTCGAACAACAAATCAGCATCTTCGTCTTGTCACTCAAAAAAAAACTGCAGTTAGAGCCGGAGATTGTGCTCTGTGTGTAAACGGTAGGAGGAGCACCTGAGCTAATTTTCTATTTTCAACATCTGAGCAAAGACAAAAAACTAATTTGAATTCAAGAAATTCTTGTAGTTAGCTTTTTTCTCCACGACCTCAGGGCCTTTTAACGTTGTAGAACTCACCCAAAGAACTGCAGAACTACTTAGTTAGTGCAACCACCGAAGAGGTTTTTGTATTTGTTTTGCTCGTGCTAGTGTTCTAACATGCTGAAGATTGATGTGAAGAGGTGGTCAATAGTTAATAGTTTTTAGTGTTTCATCTTGATAGGAAATGATTCTTGTTGTACTTCTATCTAAGTAGTTTCAATAATAGGTTTCTTAGTTTGTATTCTTGGATGAAACTGGTACCGGAGCTACTTTCTTCAACAATTATGCTGGTGGAGTTTAAGCACTAAAGTAAAACAACCGGTTGTTGTAGTGAGTTTTCACCTCTATAGTTTTCATCTCATCTATCCCTAGGCTTATCGTCCCTTCAAACAATAGAAGTGTACTCTTAGTTTGACTCTGATGTGATGTATGTACATAATGTGTTTGGTAGAAAGACGAGGTTTGTGCAATTCTAGAAAAAAGATGACTTCGACAGTTCGACTCCGACACGACCTTCAACATCTATCTTTATGAAGAGAGTTTTAAAACTTCTTTGTCTTTCAGTATGTTGTATTGGTGAACAACAAGAAGATCAACATTTCAGAAGTCTATGCTGGCACTGACAAAGATAGATGAAAAGGAATGCATCTTCTTGTAGAAGGTTTTCACTTTTCTGTAGTTCTTTCCTCTTGGACACATTTTTCTAATGCCGCACCAGTGGACTCCTGACTTCTTTCAGACATCCCCCGCGACACAAAACGACTCCTTTTAACCTCGCGATTTGGCCCCGACGACTACATCTACACCTTGTATATGCAAGTAGTTGGGATAAGATAAGTGTTAGTACCTCCTCTGACCTTATTCAGCTACGCTTGATTCTCAACAACAGATTAATCGATCACGACCTGCTCCCTTATTCTATTTCCTAAACCTAACAGTCGTCCTGCTGATCTTGTCCTTTTCTCCAACATAATTCATCGATTGTACAAAAAGTTGTGTCTCTCAAATCGCATAACTACAAGCTTGACCAAGTTTCTCTAATCATACAGAAGTAGTACAGAGGTAGAGCCAGCCACTAACTACACTGAAGACACTAACTAGTGTGTGTGTGTTTATTATAATAACCTAGACCTACCAGTTGTACATCGATCACACTATTAAATGGTCATATGATATAGTTCTGGTCAAGTTGTAATATAACCAGTACATCAGCAAAAATGAGTGGTTTAATTCCATTAGTCTCAGCGGCCGCTGGTGTTCCACCGAGGAGTGGCGGACCTAGTTCAGGATCTGGCACTTCTGCCCTGAATCCGGATGCTGCTCCCTACGTGCCAAATATGGGAGGAGCTGGAGCTGTCAACACTAGTGCTCGCGCAGATAATTCTGGAGCACTCACGACTTCTAGTACGGCAGCAGTCACGACTTCCGCAGTTGCCAACTTATGCAGTGATGATTTAATGTATAGAAATATTTGAGTTGATGGTATATTGGAGTTTGAGGTCGGTGGTAGTTTTCTGAAGAATAAAAACTTCGACAAGAATATTAGATGAAGCTTCAAAGTGATGATGCATCAGCGTTCTTTTCCCTGCCGCGAGGTGAGTATCACAGCTTTCCTCTAGCTAGGCACATACATACATACATACAGACACATACATACATACATACATACATACATACATACATACATACATACATACACACACTCACTCATACATACATACAGTCCTTCTCCCTCTCTCCTCAAATGATCTCTCTAGTATCTTCTCTTTCCCACCAAATTACTTATCTTTCATAACAAGCAAGGAAGGACGACTGCTAATAATTAACTCACCTTCTATACCCCCTGACTGGGTACAGTGCTACAACTACTACTACTACCACTCCTATCTCTTTCTTCTCGCCTGATGAATTAAATTATTAGTTGCTCACCCTTATAGCCTTACATTAGTTACAACTCCTGATAGAATCTCCCTATCTCTATCTCTAACGGATGCAGCAGCTGTTCGAGGCGGCAGTCAGACAACGTCCTCGACTGATATGTTGACCCTTGCAAACGCTGTGGCGACCGCTGGGCCCACCACGTCTTTAGAGCAGGCGCCTACGGCAGTGAACATTACCAAGGAAGCATTGCAACACCTGCTCGCCCAATTATATCGATCAGGGCATCTCGTAGATAGAGGGACGGTATTTTTTTAAACTTCTATCTCTATGTATATTTTTTCCTTCATCTGAAGCAAAGCAACCGGTTAGCTTTCCTCTATTCTTAGGTGTATCCCTCCATGCAATATATTCGTGTCTATATTTACTTTTCTTATTACACCAATTTCTAGCAACTTCCAATGTTCTTGTTCATCTTCAAAATTACGCCCGTGGATCCAGGGATGATCATCCAGCACGACCACTTTAGATGATGATTATACGAGGACCATCGCCGACAGGTCCGAAAATCTTCTTCAGGTAGATAAACAAATAGCTCTCCCACACCAACCTCTTGTCAGGCATATCAATCAATCAATACGAGGACCATCCCCGACAGGTCCGAAAATCTCTTTCTTCCCAACAGAAAAAGAAGAATGAATAAAAATCTCTCCCACACCAACCTCTTGTCAGGCATATCAATCAATCAATCAATCAATCACTTCCCAGCATCTTCTTCAGACTAACACCTCAAGAATAGGTAGAATCATCATCATCATCAGGTTGAAGAGATAAGTGAATTGGTTAGGCTGCAGGATCAAGAACAAAGTTTGCAGTCGAGGGTCCAGCAAGCCCAGATACAAAGCCAACATCGACACCTTCAAAGTGGCTCTGCTGCCACTGCTCAATTAACAGCTGAGAATCTTGCGCTGCTGCAACAACAAGTCGCTGCAGCAAGAGGATTCACCTCAGGAGGACAGAGTGGATTGGGTACTTACTAAAAAATTGGAATATGATCTGTTTTTAATACTTCACATGATCAGATTGGATGCAGTTGACTTCAGGATAACGCAAACCATATGTATGCAGTCAGGATAAGGTGTCAGTATATTTTTGTCTACTAAGAATCCTCCATTTAAAACATGATATAGCACCTCCCACGACTACAACTACATCGAATACATTCAGGTGCCAACACGACTAGCCAGCACCATCAATCTGTTGGCGGAGTTCCGGCAGTCCCGGTTGGAGGTCAGAACTCGCCACAGGTAGTTCAGTTAAGGCCCTTGAGGAAATCGTCCATCTTCCCCTCCAGCATCTATCTTGTCCCCTTGCTGTTTTGTAATTTTTCGTCGCATCTTGTGAAAGGAACAATTTATTATCAAGATGCTCACCAAGATGCTGCAGCTCACTGAGTAGATGGATTTCTACAAGCTCTAACTCAGCATGGGAATGCCTTCTACATCTACGACCCCGCTTCAGGAACCTTGAATCCTGTTCACGCACTAGGTGGAGGTGCTGGTGCAGCAGGTGGAGGTGCTGGCGCAGCAGGTGGCCAGGTTGCTGCTCTTAAGGCTTGTTACCCTGATCCAAATCAATCTCTATAGGTGGAGAGATCCCTCAACACCCAACAGTATGCGCTCCCCAGTAGATACTACATAATTATCAGTAGACCAATCGTTACCCCCAGTTGAGCTGCATGCTTATATGTTTATACAAGGGAGATGATCTTCCTGCTGCATACTGATACTCTTGCGGGATCTACTCCACGAGAGAGAGGTTGATTGAGGGACCACGAGAGGTCGGTCTAATGCTCAACAAGTGCCAGCTCTGCAACTGAATGGCGCTGTAGCTGCTACAGCAAGTCCTATTCCTTCTAACAGCAAGGGCGCCGGAAAACAAAAAGGATTGGTTGGCGCCACTGGTGCTGCTCAAGCAACGCATGTAATGCAATTGCAGCAACAACTGCAAGGCCTCCAACATCAAGCTAGAAATAGTGGCCAGCAACAAGCCCTTACAGGCCTACAAGGTCAACAAGTGTTTATGTACTGAATGTTATAAAAATAAAAGTTACCCCCATGATAAAAGCAAAAATATTAACGTCTATATCACTTACCCCATGACAACTGGGTACACAACTAGTACTGCTGCTACTTCTACTTCAAAGAAATAGAAATTAGGATCTTCCAGATCAGCATATTGGTTCATGTTGTGTTAGTTTAGTGTAGTCAGAGTTGTCAGACTACTGTTATATCCCAAGGCGAGCATGCTATTATTTGTATCTGAATGCAACATTTGCATTCTTCTACTACTTTTTCTAAGTTTTCCACGACTGCTGGCGGCGACGCCTCTGCTCGTCCACCGCAAGATATGCCGAAAATCGTGGTGCAGAACCATACTGCTGCGGAAATCGCTGCACAGCTCGCTCAATTACGGATAGTCTAGTGGAAGTAGATCTAGATCACTATCTGGTGTACTAGTAGATCATGAGAGGTTGTATCCTGATCGCATTTGTTCCCCTTGCTCACTTATTCAGAAGGCGGGAACAAGAGACCAAGTACTAGAGAGAACAAGAACAAAGCTCAAGGAGCGATTATTCCAGTAGGAGTACTAGTCAGTGTGTATTTCTATTATAGAGAATAGTCCTCATCTTGCCACAACTGATCGACTATAACCTCCCCATGCCCACCTCAGCGTCAACCTATAGTACCTCTAACTCAAGTAGGAAAGAAGGTCTCATCTGGTGCTCAGCATCCTGGAGGCGGGGGTCCTCCTGGTGGTTCGGGAACTCAGGGTCCAGCAGTGGTAGTCCAGGGACAAAGGGGAGAGCAGTATTACATCCGCCAGCAAGTAGTAGATCCCAACAGTGCTGCCGCGGCTGCGCTGTCTCGTACGGGTTCGGGGACTACGCAGAAGCCACCGCTGTATCCAACGAAAAGCGTCAACAGTAAAGGAAGCCAACAAGGTGGAATGCAACAACAATTAAGGCTAGTACTGCTGAGCGAAGCATCCTCTGCCTGATAGATTTTTGGCTTCTTTTTCAAGTAGAAAATGTAGGCGAACGACGCATCGTCCTCAGCATGATAGATTTTTTTTTGAATTTTCAAGTTCAAAAAAATATTAAAAGACGCCAAGATGATTGGCCTCAGTCTCTTCACAAGGACGGATGTGATTCACTGCGGTACTAGGTCTAAAACAACTTGGGTCCGGGTCTTCCTATTATGGAGGAAAAGGAGGCCTCAATTCATCGAAAGGTGGCGCAGAAGCAGGCTCCAAGAGTGGCGGTCCTCTTGATCAGCACAATTCTTAAGGCTTCCACAAATTCATCTTGAAGAAGTTTGTTGTATCTGTAGCACATAGATACTTGGTTGTTTTTAAGGGGAACAAAATATATGACAAAGAAAGGTCAAAGCTATGCACTTCAGGACGAGGATGAATATTTGGAAGGTCTAAAATTCTTATTACCATAATGGAGGTAAGAATGGAGTAGATGAATACGTGCATCCTGGAGGACCACATAAGGGGAAACAAGGGAGCGCAGGCCAACAATGGCTTGACAAGAACGGAATGCCGATGGGCAGTGATCATAAAGTTATGACGAAACACTAAAACTGTTGGACCTCCTGGAGAAGTACCGTTGTGAAATAGGATCTTCATTCTCTTGATGCACTAACCTGCAATCGCTCAAAGCAGCACTTAGACAAAAAAGTAAGCGGCTAAGTATCCTACTTCCACCTCGACTTTATTTTCCCTTCATCTACTGCCAAAAACTATAGTACAAAATTTGTGCTCGTTGATGTAGTTCTGCTCGTTCTCGCTGAATGGTTCTGGTATTTTTGGTATAGCCTGAATTTGATCCTAAGGGAAAACAAGAAGAGAACCCTTAGGATCAGATTCAGGCTACCAAATACCAGAACCATACACTCGCGCGGCCAGCAGAATGTGCGACGTACATGATCACCACCTCTTCTAATTACTGCGGAGATATGAAAGGACAACAGTGGGCCGAGTGGCAGCAATGGGAGTGGCACGATGGCAAAGCCAAAGCCGCAAAAGGAAAGGACTCTACTAAGGGAAAGGACCAAGCAAAGGGTGGAATTAAAGGTAGTGCTTAGAATTGCATTGCTTAGAAGTTACTTAGGACGAGCTAGTCCTTCTAGAAGTTGTATGTAATCCAGCTCTTCAGGTGATCGAGACAGGATCGCAAAACGGAGCGAACCCATGACATTAGGAGACATCACTGTGTAAGATCCAACCTAGGAACCCATCTCCACAAGAATTTTACAGGATGATCAATGTCCTCGCAGCCTCTTCATCATGTTATTAAGTATACAGTTAAACTTGCCATTTCCTTCTTCGCCCTCGCAACGGGGATAGAGATCATGAGATCTCATGAATCAAAATGCAGGAAGAAGTAGTGTGTACGTGAAGTGGCCTTTTTTACCCCTGGAGTGGGTACATTCATTCACTCATTCATTCATTCATTAAAAGATCTTATACCCCGTGAGTGGGTACATCTATCTATCTATTTATCTATCTATCGAATGAATTTTGAATCAACAGCTGGAGCTCCCGGTTATCCTGGGTACCCGGGAAGTGGTGTCGGAGGTCCTTCACCACAAGCTTCCACTGAAGAGGAGTGGTTTCGCAAACGACAAGAAGCCGCGGCTCAGGAACCTACTACAGCAGCTGGCCCATCTAAAAATATTAGTACTTATGGCTACTTACAGTAATCGCAATTCATCTTAAGTAGACGTGGTTGAGCAGTAGAAGAAGAAGTAGTAGTGAGAAGTAGTAGTGAAGTAGTTGTGAAGAAGTAGTAGTGAAGTAGTCTTCTATACCCCTGGAGTGGGTACATTCATTCATTCACTCATCTTAAGTAGACGTGGTTGATGATAAAGCATCGATCTTTGGGCCCCGGTTTTTCTTGTTCAATGGGAAAACACGAGACGGTCGTCATTCAAAGAATGCTTTTTAGTAATATCAAGATGAGTATACTATGATCAAGCTCGTCTAAAAAAATTCTGCTGGAGCACCGGGTGGAACGGTGCCAAAGGCGAAGGGCAAAGGTAAGGCAAAAAAGGAAAGGCGTGGTAGCGCAGACTCTGCAGTGTCAATGGCCGCTTCGGATTCTAGCAAAAAACTAGTTGAAGCTGTCTTGGAACAACAAGCAGCCGCAAGCGCTGCCGCTACAACTGGTGCCGGGTCAACAAGTTCATCATCTCCCAACGAACTAAAGTTAAGGCTTCCCCACGTAACCCATCGCCATCTTCCTCAGACGACCCCTAACGAACCCATCTTCCTGATCCTGAGAAGCATCTCGAAGCTGTGTGTCCCATAGATAAGGTCAATAAACAAAAGAGGTCACCCGAGATGGATTTCTTCAGGTAGAGGATGGTGGGACCACTAGGGACGAGGAGGTGCGCAGCTCTCGTGTCTAATAGTAATATTACAGGCGAAGGCCGCTACGAGTAGTTCCTCGAGTAACAACAAGAACATCAATTATAAGAATGCTGCATCAACATCAACTACTCCTGGTGCAACTCGTGCGATTGAATCCAAAGACTCAGAGGAGGTTCCAGAGGACACGAGCAGGCAAAAGGAAGACTCAGCCGGAGTGGGTGTGGGGTGGCTAAAACTTAGCCAACAGGAGGAGGAAGCACCCGAACAGACGACCTCCGCCAAGGGAGGTGTTTCTCAAGGTTCTCCAGCAGTGGGAAGTACGATTTACTTAAGGCTTCCCGTAATAATTTCATCAATCAACTACATCACTTTCGTCATAATTTCGTCACTTTCACTTTCACTTTCACTTTCGTTGGGGTAAGAAACTTTCTGAAATTCAGAAAGTTTCTTAAAAGGGTAATAATTTCATCAATCAACATCACTTTCGTCATAATTACGTGGTGCGTAAGGTCTAAGTTACGTGTCTCGTGGCAACGCGCTTGGAGCCGCGGGACCAGCGAAACCGGTAGAGCGGCAGGGACCCCCACCTGGCGCAGAGGGAGCTAAAAAAAAGCCGGAAGAGTCTTGGATGGCCAAAGCCAAGGCGATTAGCAAGATTAAGGCTGCAAAATAAAAAAATCAGATTATTTTATTTAACTGATCATGCAGTAAGATTATCTTGGACTTCTAGTACCTTGGTTGGTGGAGTACATCTACATCGCAATCTACATGATTAACGAAGTACTATTGAAAAGTAGTGGTCCCTGTAAGAAGAGTAACTACAGGCTCAAGAGAACCTGACTTTTTCACGTGATGAATCTATCCCATTTATAACGTACACTGCGCTGGCTCATCTGACTGGCAGAGTCGTGGTGAGCTGTATTGAGTCCCGCCCTAGTACAACTCTTGGCTCCAGTACTTCATTAACGGTATTCTTTTTTTTGACTCTAATGTTGCTGGCAGCAATACCACGAACAATGCATCGCCCACTCAGCATCCGTCTGGAGCGCCAGTTACGGGAGGCAAACATCATGGGTTGTATAATTACCATCCAACTACAGCAGGAGCTGGTGGATATAAAAATATCCATGGAGCAGGTCCTGGAGGTCGTTACCACGGTCCACCTCCCGGCTCTTCTGGAGGTGCCAATAAAGGTGGCAAGATGGAACAGCAATTTTACAACCATGCTTACACGGCTGGAGGCAAGGACTACTATGGAAGCACAAGTAGTGGAGGAAAACAACAGGACAACTCGTCTGGAGGCAAGGACCAGAAGGATCATCGCGGTGGGGGTGGAAAAGACAGCAGCTATAATAGCAGCTATGGAGGAGGATATAATGCGCAAAACACGTGGGACAATACCAAAGGCGGAGCAAATTCTTCGAAGAACAAGAAAGGACAACAGGGAGAAAACCAAAAAGCAACCTCTGCTGCTAGAACCGACGAAGCTGCGACAGCTAATGCGGCGCAGGTAGATACACTTGCACAACTTTCTTTTTTACAAGAACTATTTTGACTTGAATACAAAAATAATTTGGAATTCAAATTTACAGTATCTGCTTCTACTTTTAGTTCATCTTCAGACCACGAGTTGTAATGATCATACTGTTTTTTAGTAGGAAGATCATACATTATTCACTCAGCACACTACATCTCTATAATATCTCCATGATGATCTCGGCAGGCCGCCTTGCCCGCAACAGTCCCACAGAAACAGCCGAAGCGCGATTGGGGCGCTGATGCGGATTTGGAGGACCTAAACAAATTTGACGAGATTGATACGCCTGTGAACACAGGTAAAACGCCAGGAGTTGGTGCAACCTTAGGGGCTGCCGCCATTAAGACTTGCAGTAATTCATTTTAAGAAGCATCTTTGGACACGATTTCAGGGAAATTCACGTCAAAGATGAACTTTAAGGTGAATATTGTCGGTAAGGTCTAACGCCAACGCTGCTGCTGCTGCTGAAAAAAAAGTAGATGTTAACAAGAAGGAGGATTCACATTCATCTAGTACTAGTGCAGCTGGTGCACAAGTGGGCTCTAAGATGGCGGCCTCTGCAACAAGTGTAGTTGCAGGAAGTTCTTTTCCTAAGGATAATAAGGTGGATAGCTTGTCTAAAGACAACAACAAGAACGCAAACAACCTGAGTTCTTCGAAAGGAGGTGGAGCATCTTCCTCCAGTGGTCAAAAAGGGAGTAAAAACAAAGAGAAGAATGGAAAGGGTGGAAGCTTCTATAACAAGGACAAGGATAAAGACGGAGGAAAGGACAAGTTAAGGCTCGATGCAATTCATTTCCAGCAGTCATTTTCTTCTAATTCCTTACTTTCTTGGAATAATGATCCGGAAGAAATTGAAATGAAAGGAAGAAGTGTATTGCTTTGAGTTCTAACCAAGGACAAAGATGGAGGCGAGCGCAAGATGTCCAGAACAAACAGTGGCGCTGGAGGGAAAAACGCCACTAATAAAGCAGGAGGTGCTGTTAGTCGAACTAATAGTGGGACAACTTCTGGAGACCGAGAGGCGACCTCTACTAAGGGAGCAACATCGTCTGCTAGTGGAGGAAAGCAGCAAACTGCAGGAGACGCGCTCACAGGTAGTGGCAACTCAGGAGCTGGAAGTACTTCTACGACCAAAGATGCACAACCTGCAGGAGAACGTGCGACGTCAAGTCGTGACCACAGTGCACAACAGACAATGTCCTCCTCGTCTAAGGAACACCAGCACAAAAAAGGTGGAAGTCAAGAACAGCAGGAACAAGTCAAGGGAGGTTCTTCCTCAGCCGCTAGCTCTGCGAAGGAGCATCATAGTGGCAAGGACAATCACAAGCATCACGACAACAACTATACCACTTCTAAGGCAAGCGGTAAAGGTGGAAAGCAGGCTGCAACGACAGATCTGGCTCTCGGTGCCCTGATCAAGGATGCCCAGGAGGCTGGGAAAAAACAGCTGACTCTAGGCAATGCGCCAGCCTATAATTACCGCAGTCAACAGCATCAAAATAGCTACAGTAACAAGTATGGTGGTAAGGACCATGGTACTTCTAAGGACCATGCGCATTCTAAAGATGGAGCTGATCATCATGGTGCTGCCACAAGTGGAGGAGGCGCACATCATCACCATAGTACTTCATCTACCTCTGCTGGGGGCGTATCGTCCGCGAAGCAGACTGGAGTCTCTAAACAGACGAGCAGCACCTCCGCGGATGCAGCTGTTGAGGTGGATTCAAAGGTGATGTTCCCGCCTCTAGGCGGCTCCTCCAGCAGTGCTTCCTCGGAAGCGGGCAAAGGAGCGAAGGATGATCTTAAGGCAACACGTAATCCATCTCCATTGATCTTGGGATCTTGCTCTATTAAGGGAGAAGCAAGGTGGCCGCCAGGATAACTTTCAAGATGGATTACGGGAAGCTGCTCTAATAATCCTTCTAGCGGAAAAACTGATGTCAAGACAGGAGGAGCAAAGGACAATAAAGAAAAAGACGATACAACGCCAGCATGGGGACCGAAAAAAAGCAAGAACAACCTCCACCAGGTAGCTGCAACTAATGTGACTACAACCAGCACTAGTGGTGGAACAAGAACGCCTACTTCTGCAGCAGGGCTACTGCCATCATCCAAGATGCCATCATCGTCCAACAAGAAGGTTCCTTCTACTTCTTTTGCTGCACCTGCAGCGAGTAACAAGAATAAGGCATCTTCATCTTCAATGGACCTCCAGCAGCCGGATTCACAATCCCAGTATCCAGCGTCGCTTGGGGGGACAAGTACAGGCGTTCCCAGCTCGATTGGCCAGGAGAAATACAACACGACGACCGCGCCAGGATCTTCCCAAAAAGCTCCATTCTTGAGTGCTCTGTCCGGTGCGTCCAGTTCGGCTGCAACAGGAGGTGCGTCGTCCTCAATGGTGTCAGCCGCAGCCCCGCCGCCGCCTCCCGCTGCAGCGCCGCCAGCCCAGGAGGAACGAACACCTGCGGTCGTGGAGAGCCTAGATGTGGTGTCGCCTATCACCGCACCTAAAAAACTACCAGCAGGATCTATTTTTAAGGCTTGTTTCTTGCCTAATCCCTCTGTCTGCAGAAGATGGATGCATCTCGAAGCTGCACTGCACCACAAGGGTGACATAAGGGCTTTAAGATGCATCTCAAGATGGATCAGGCTATGAGCTCTAAGTCTACCTTGCAGGGACGAGGAGGACAACTAAGCGACCACTGCTCCTCTGGAGGCGTCATCCTTGCCTCCTCCAGCGTCGAGACCGTCACGACTGGCGTTTCCTCCAGCGCAGTGTCCTCTAGCGGAACCTCCCCAAGCACCACCACGACCGGAGAGAGCACCACGACTCCTGCCTTGCCTACAACTGGCACGTCAGGTAGTGCGAGTGCTGTTCTTGTAGGAGGGGCTCTTTCAGACAGTACTTCAACTTCTGCTGCTGCAGGTGGAGCCCCAGGTGGAACTACTGCATCTTCTACCTCCAAGGTAGTTGTAGTTGGGTCGGTACGGGAACAGCCAGCAGTGAGTCAATCAGTGAATGCCGGACCGCAGAAAGTTAAGGCTTCCCCTAATTATCCATGATCTCAGAGGTGACATCGTCCTGAGGACACACAGGGCTTCCTTTCCAAGGGAAAAAGGTCCTCAGGGTTGATCTTGTCTGAGATGGAAGATACGGGCGAGCTCTAAGAAGGAAAAAGATAGCGGCGACATCGCGTCTCTAAAGGGACAACAAGGAAAACAAGTAGATGAATGGGTTACGGTTGATAAAAAATCGAAGAAACACCGAACTCAACAAATTACTTCTGCCTCACCGGGAGGAGCTGTAGCAACTAGTACAACCAGCACATCTGCTCTTGCTTCTAGCGTTCCAGCACCAATTCAAAATGTCAATCTTAAAACAACCACTGCGCCATCTACTTCAGGTTCAGCAACAACTGCTAGTACGAACGCTGCCTCCATAAATCTAGGCAGTTCAACCCCAGGAGCGCCACACGTAAGCCCATCTTCCTCAGGCGGAAGTGGTGCTCCGGGTATAACGTGGGCCGAGCGGGTAGCTGGCTCTACTCCATCTGCTGAGAGTGAGAAGAAGGCCAAGAAGGCGCCATGGAATAAGCAACCACCCACAACTAGTACCACAGCTTCTAGGTCTGCTGCTGCTGGAGGGCCACATTCGGCGCCCACACCACGTGGTGCAGTTACGACATTATCTGCGTCGTCTGCTACTGGTGCGTCTGCTTCCACTGCTGCATCTGCCTCAACGTCCACCGCTGCTCAACCCAAAACACAGAGTCTAGTAGACGAATTAGTTAGCTCAGTGGAAGTAGCAACACCTAAAACTCAGACCGGTGGCGCCACAACCACTACTATTGCCTCAATTGCGAGCGCTGGTCCGGACTTCGCTTCTTCCGGTACTCAGTCTCAGACTGCTGCAGCAGGCACAACTTCTGCACCTAGCGCTGACCATTCGGCTCCCTCCGCATCAACATCCACCAGTGGCCTCCATGCATCATTTGCTTCTCATGCCCAAGCGACTCAAGGAGGTAGTAGTGCTGCTAGTGGTCTCAAAAAGGCTCCGGTGACCGCATCTTATTCTAGTGCTTCTTCCAGCATCGGAGGAGCTGTGACATCAGGTTCCACTCCTAGTGCAGCTGGAGCCCCCACTGACATTATCAACGCGCTCAACACGAACCCCAGTGCAGCTGCCGCAACTTCTGCACCTAGCGCTGCCTCAACCCCCTTGGACCATTCGGCTCCCTCCGCATCAACTGCTAAGACGGTGACAGCGACTGGTCTGCCATCGGCCCAGACCCCAAAGGGCAATCTGCCTCCACCTAAGAAAGCGGGTGGACGCAGCTTCGCTCCATGGGCAGCGGCTGCGGTTGTGACAAAGGTGGAGCAACCGGAAATGAGTCTCCTGGTGGTTCCGAACAACAAGTCTAGTCAAACTGCTGCATCGACTCCCTCAACATCAACATCCAAGAATGTTGTAGCAGAGGCCCTCAAGCCGACAGAGCAGGCCCTCAAGCCGACAGAGGCACTCAATGCGATTGGGAAAATTGCGACGCCAAAAACGTTACCCTCTTCTTCCAGCGAGAAGACGAGTTCTTCAACAAATAATGCTCCTGGAGGTAGTGCTAGTGGCAACAATACTTCTACTAGTACTAGAAGTAATGGTGCAGCAGTAGAAGAACAGCAACACGTTGGTGCAGCTCATTCGGTAACGACTCCTTCTGCTAGCGTTTCTTCAACGTCGGCTATGGCCAATGCCAACAAACTGCGAGAAGAGATGAGACAACAGCAAGCCGAACTAGCCGAACGCTTGATTAAGACTCATTTCCCAATTTTCTCAATAATATTTCCTAACTGCAATTCGAATTCCAAGAATGTTGATCCTCATTTCTCTTTGTTTCAACAATGAAGCAATCAACTTCTAACTCAAAACGTGAGGCTGAGGAACGGCTGGCACAGGAGAAAGAGGCAGAGCGTAAGAGGAAGGAGGAAATGCAGAGAAAACGAGAAGAGGAGGTTAAGCAAGCCCTCAAGGAAGACAATTTCCCTACTCTAGGAGGAATGAAGCCAGCAGCAGCACCAAAGCCACCCACAGCAGCACCAAAAGGAGCGTGGGGAAAACCGAAGGTAAATAAAGATATCATTGAGGAAGTGTAGAAGGTCATGTGATGTATCCGCTATTGTGTAAAAAAACACATCATTACCTGGTGTTCCTATGAACAACATGAAGTTAATGTGTATGTCAGATAGATCTAGACCACGGTGAACTTGAACATGAGCACACATCAAAGATGAAGATTGCATTGTTGTTGTTGCCTATTAAATACAAAAAAGATGGAAGTAATAATTTTGACTCATTTTCTTTCGAAGCGAAATTCTGTTATGTTTGAACTTCCACAGGATTGGTCCAAGATCGATGAAGAAAAAGCCAAGAAGCAGGCAGAGGAAAGAGCAGCAGCTGAGAAAGCAGCCGCGGAAAAAGCCGAACAAGGAAGGCTAGCTGCAGAAAGAGCAGCCGCCGAGAAAGCAGCGGCCGAGCAGGCAGCTGCCGAAGAGAAGGCTAGAGCGGAAGAAGAAGCGAGGGCAGAAAAGGCAGCGGCTGAAGAGAAGGCGAAGGCAGAGAAGGCTGCTGCAGAAAAGGCCGAGAGGGACAGGATAGCGGCGGAAAAAGCCGCAGCGAAAGCCGCTGCGGAAAAGGCAGCTGCTGAAAAAGCTGCTGCTGAAAAAGCTGAGCGGGAAAGGATAGAGAAGGCTGAGGCTGCTGCGAAGGCCGCCGCTGCCAAAAAGAAGGCAGAAGAAGAAGCAGCAGCAGCTGCAAAAGCTGAGAAAGAAGCACAAGCAGCTGCTGAGAAGGAGAGAATAGCCGCCGCAGAAAAAGCTGCCGCAGAAAAAGCCGCCGCAGCAAAAGCTGCCGCAGAAAAAGCTGCCGCAGAAAAAGCAGCTGCCGAGGAAGCAGCTGCCGAGAAAGCTGAGAAGGAAAGAATAGCTGCCGCCGAAAAAGCTGCAGCCGCCGAAAAGGCACACGCAGAAGAACAACAAAGGAGAGAGGCCGCCGAAAATGCAGCTGCCGAAAAAGCAGCCGCCCTAGAAAAAGCCGCCGCTTTAGAGGCAGAAAAAGCCGCACAACAACGCGAAGCTGAAAGAAAAGCTGCTGCCGAAAAGGTCGCTGCGGAAGCGGCAAAACGAAAAGCTGAGGAGGAAGTTGCGAGGAAAGCTGCTGAAGAAAGGTACGATTACTGGTCCCAAACATGGAGTCTAACATTGGCTAGCATACCAACACCAAGACTATACGATGACACCCTGAAACCTATACTCCCATTCAAAAATGACGGCTCCAGCTCTGCAGAATGCGTGAGAGCTAATTGAAGTTAGTAGTCGTACCTTTCTTCAGCAGCTTTCCTCGCAAGTACCTGACTGAAATAACCAAGTATCTTAGACGATTACTTTCTGCTTCTGGGATACTCGGTCGTCATAATTTCAGTTTTTCGAATACGTCAAGGTCAAGGTAGTACTACATTCTACAGCGTTGAGAACATGAACAAGCATCCTTTCATCAAACTCCTGTCCCCTGCTATATTCTTCACAAAAAGCTAGAGCTACTAGTAGTAAAAAGCAAGCACTTGCACCACTTCAAACTTCTATCTTCCACGGGTTAGCTTGATGGACTCCATCTCAAAATTTTCAAAAATCTTAGTGCCAAAGCCGAGACTCTCGAGGCGAAGAAACGAAAGGCGGAAGAGGAAGAGAAGCGAAAGGCTGAGGAAAGCCACCAGAAAGAAGACGAAGAGTATGAAACCCTCAGAAAGCGAATCCGCGCTATCGTGAAGAAACTTGATAAAATCGCACTAAACGAGAAGAAAACCGATATCACGGCAGGTGCTGATTTTTACTATGATTTGCAAAAAGAATTTGGACTTACACATAGATACCACACTCCTGCAACTACTACTATTCCTTCAAAAACATAATTCCCTCAAACAACAGAAATGCAGCAAGCCATTGACGGTAAGGGAGCTCTTTTAGAGGAGCTGAAAGGCTTAGAGGCACAGACAGGCGCTTACGAAGATGCACGTGGCATGCCCTCTACGAGAACATTGAGGATACCTGGTACTTTGACCATTGCTAAAGTAGTTTGTAAAGTAGTGTCTTATAACGCTACTTTGACCACTGCTCAAGTAGTACTTTTTCCCTCATATCCATCCGCTAGGTTAGTCGTCCCTCGTCCAATCAACATGTTCGTAGCTGTTGTAAAGTCGTCAAAATTAGTACAGTAGCAGCTCTCACGCATCGACAGAGTATCATCTACTTGAACTGCAATATATCTACGTCCTTGCGGCCTACTTAAGGCTCTAGTGCTACATAGGACTGGAAAAATGTTGTAAATTATATCTCCTTCTTCTAGTAAGTTTCTTCTTCACCAAGAACTTCAACACCGGGGCAACTTCAACACCAGCCACAGTCGATGCGATCGGGCAAGGAGCGGATAAGGCCTACTCCGTTAGTGCGATTGTCTCTCTACGACCGCAATTGTCTGAGATGGAGGATAGTTCTGGCGCCGTTAAGGTTCCGCTCGCGCGTTCCGGTTTGACGAAAACTAACTCCTCAAACGGCAAGGACAACGGTTGGAAAGGACGTGGTGGAGGGGACAACTACTCCGGAGCCGGTGGATACTTTAACATTATGAATTACATGGATCATATGCATGGCCAATTTTTAGATATAAGTACTTAATTTTTGACTGTTGTACTTCCTTGCTTCTTCTTTTTGCTTTTGTTTTTCCTACTAGTGAGGCTGGTGGCTCCACCACTATTATTAATCATAACAATAACTCCTCTGCTGTGGGCGGTGCTGGAGGATACTTTAACATTATGTTGAGCGGGGGGCTATAGAGTATCTAGAAGTGTCTATTGACGATTACTTACTTGGAAGTGTCTACTGATGAAAATCAAAATTATATCCAAGGACATTTAAGGACATTTTCGTATTCGTTTTGATGAGAATGGGGAATAAGTAGATGTACCTGTAGATTTCTTTTGTCGTAATTCTTCATGGAAAGGAAGATGAAGATGTTGTTCGAAATTCTTCTTCTAGCTCGATTCATCAATTCAGGACCATCCTGATGAATAAAGAAATACAAGCGGCTAGTTTTCCCTCATATACAACATAGTATACCATGGGTTAGTCTGTTCCTTCATCCGATAATGAAGATATATCGTCTTCGTCATCTTCCATGAATAAAAGACATCAATGCAAGATTATGATTATTATTGTTGGTCTTACTTGATAATGACATCAATAACTCTACTTGTTCTTCTAAGATGAGAGAAAACTCCGGTTTTGGCAACAGCTACGACAGATCTGCGTATGGCAAGGGTGCAGGTAAGGACTTGCCAAATGGTAAAAACCGTGCCGCAGGGGGCGCAGAATCGTGGCGACCACTTGCTCCGGCGGCTCTTTTAAGGCTTCTTGATACCGATAGATTGATTCTTCAACTTCAAACAATGCTTCGTAGAATTTTTTTTGAGTTGGTTGAAAGGATCCTCACGACGAGTGTCCTCCTGTCGAACGATTGTACTACTGCTGTTGCTGAGTAGTGAGTAGTCATAAATACATATATAATTGGCACAACAACAAAGCTGGATACTCTCACTCGTAGTATACTTACCTAAGATACAACTTGTAGTATACCTATGACTTCTAATCTTAGTTCACAATACCTATGTTGACTTCTAATCTTAGTTCACAGTGAGCAAAGTTGGGCAAAGAGGAACGCTCAGCGACGGAATCACGTGGATGCTGACACCGATGAAGACGCTGAGGTGACGAGGAAATTGAAAGGTACAACTTCTAGTAGCCATCCGAAGGAATTATGACTCATTTAGATCAAGCATAACTGGGCAGCAATGGGAATGAGTATAGCGTTTTCAGGATGCAGCTGAAAACCTGAAATGAGCTACATCCTGAAACGAGAGTATTTTGCAGCCATACTGTTGGAACTGTATCCTCCCGCCGGTAGGCTTGAAGGACTACTTGGGATGCGCATGAATGAAATCCGAAGGAATGTTGACTCGTCATTTAGATCAAGCACAACTGGGCAGCAGTGCCAATGAGGAGGAACCTTGCTCCATGACTTTGCTTCGCATTTTAACTACTGGAAAAGTGACGACTCGACTTCTCCATCTATCATTTACTACAACTGCACCTCTGCTCCTATACTTCGTTTTAAAAGCAGAAGTAGATCTACCTTTTCCTATCAAAAACTACAGATCTTCTACCAAACTAGTACAGATGCGAATTTCTACATTTTCTTAGTCTCTATTCGCAACATTGTCTGACCTGTCAACAACCTCCTACAGGTCACATGAACAAATTGACGGACGCAAATTTCGAGAACATCTATGGCCAGATCAAGGAGCTCTTGGCTAAGGAGAAGCACGTCATCGTCTTAGTTCACGAAGTCTTCCAAAAAGCTATCACGCAGCACTTCTTCATCGACTTGTAATTCTAAATTACTGGTGCTTGCTCAGTTGTTGATGCTGCCTTTGCAACTTTTCAATTCTTGCATGAAGATCATAGACGTAGCAGAGGATGATCACTCTTCGCTCAAACCTACTGGCTAACCTAGCCCTTAGGCTTGCAATCCAGGAGGAGTGATCCCCTCGGCTAAAAAGAAGCTGTTTGAAATGATCCTGGGGAACGTCGTTCAAACAGCTTCTTTTTAGCCAAGAATGGTCATGGTCATGTACTTCAGGTTCGACCCTTACTGGCCGTTTTTGAAGCAAAACTTACACGAAGGCCTACCCTCCATTCATCCCCATTCTCCCCTTCGATACCTCCACGAAAGGTACACGAAGCTTACCGTCGAGTTGTCCAAGTATCTCGAGTCGGCAGAGTATCAGGGAGAGCAATTAACCACGACATTCAAGAAGATTCTTGTGAATGAGGTTCAGCAAACCTTTGAGGACTCGCTGACGAATTCTAAAGCTTTTTCAGATAAGGACATGGACACCCACAGCGACGAATACGAGGAATTCGTCAAGTACTCTTATTTACTATCATTCTACTGGCAACGACGCTATTTTTATTTTTGGTCCTTAATTTTAAAATTATTTCTTAATTGTACCCGCTTCCGCTAAGATCAATCTTGTCCTTTCTCTTTCAAGAACACGTAAATATTTACTGGACGAGATATTTTTCTAAGAGTTCGTTGTGTGGATTAGGACGAAAAACAACGAGAAGAAGAACAACTCATCTCCTTATTTCGATCTACTTCCTCGATTCTACCACACAGGAAGAAGACCCGGATTACTGGCAACGTGAAGTTTATCGCCAACCTGTTGCGGGAAAAAATGATTGCCTCTAGGCTCTTTATTGACGTTTCTCGCGAACTGCTTATGCAGGAGAACGAGCTGACCTTGGAACTACTCTGCATTCTCTGCGAAGCCTCTGGATCAATTTATGAAGATTTTTGACCCCAATTTGAGAGGAGGTGTACTATCTGTCGCATGAGGAGGTTTCTGCATGATGCTATCCTATGTAAGTACTTGTCCTCCTCCTATGCAAGTAGGTAGTATCTTGTCATCGTCCTATGCAAGTACTAGTTGCACTAGTATACAGCTCTTGAAATCATTCCCTTGCCTTTCTTCCCATATTAGTTGTCCAATTGTTCCAAAAAGAATATTTTATGAAATGACAACTACAGAAGTTTCTGCTGTTGAAAATACAACAGGAACAAGAAGGCTCTTCATCAGGTTCCTTCTCTCTCTTCTCAGACACCAACCTCTTGTCAGGCATATCAATCAATCAATCAATCAGTCTACTTCTAACACAAGGCGAAAATGGGAGTGGTGGACAATTTCCAACGAAACGAGTTGTATCCTAAGCTCACAGAGCTATCCAAGTCGAAGAATGTGAAGCCGCGTATCCGCTTCAAGATTCTGGATCTGGTTGAGAAGACGAAGAAATAGGAGAGAGGTGGATTTTCTCGAAGTAGGATCCATTGTAGACTGTTTAGTGTGCAGTGGACAGTCTAACTCGTCAGTCGCACAGTTGTGTACAGAGGTGCTAACTTACTGAGTAGACACGTGCTCTTACTAATGGTAGTTCGACGCACGTCCTCTTAGACTAGTTAGCACCTCTTTGACTAGTGACACCTCTTTGACTAGTGACACCTCTTTGACTAGGGTGGACAGAAGCAGGAGACCTTGCAGCTGCTCTGAAAAACGATAGTTCTTTTCACAAGAAGCCTTAAAAAATGTCAGTACTAGTAGTATCTTCTCAGAAGTAACAAGAACTGGTAACTAGTATCTTCTGTGCCGGGTAGTACTAAGAACTATCTTCACCGGGTACTAGACGTAACTAGTATCTTCAGTCCTGCTAATATAATTGTTCTAGCGGTCATTTATAGTTACGTATTTCACAGTTTATAGATGCTCTATTTGAAGCGGTCGTTTTCCTCCTTTATTAGTTTAGCACTGCAGTTGGTGTTCAAATTTCATTTGGTTCAGAATGTGTATCGTCTAGTAAGTGTTTTCTCAATGAGGCAAGCTTCCCTCACAAATGGAAGTGGAAGGCTCCTTTTTCCTTGTGTTACGAGTGACCGATTAATAATATTTGTCGGTCATCATGTAGAAGTTCATGTTCACATTACTATGATCGTGTCAACGACTAGTACTGCGTGAAGATGCATATGTTTTCCATCCTAGAAAATTTTCGGTCTACGTAATACTAGTAAAAAAGTCAACCAAGTAGAATAATCACCTTCAATGTAGTTGTAGTTGATGTACTCAACTCGTACAACTCAACACTACTTATGATTTCATTTATCGAGCACTGAAGAGGATGGAAAAAACCATTAACAAGAAGAGGGGTTTTTAATGATTTGCTCTTCAAGTGCTAAGAAGAAGGAAGAGTCGAAGCAGTAATTAAGTTATATGTCGCTCAAGCGTCAAAAGATACCTCCAGAACAGGTAAATGAATGAATACTAATAGTATGGAAGCATGCTTAATACCAAAATGGGTGATATTTGGTAGAGGCAACCTACTCAGGTGAAGAAGGTAGCTACTCGCTCTTTTCAGTTTCATTTCGAGTACCTGTACCTCCAAAAAAAATGTATGATGAAAAATTGTAGAAATCAACATAGTTCCTCTTGTATTGTAGAAATCAACATAGTTCCACGCGCCACTATTGTGGACATTATGATTCTACGATGTTGATGAATACATAGTACGATTATGTTGAGCCGGCTGACAATGTTCATGTTGCAATGTCTGACAACTTCTAGAGGCAGTACTAGAGTTGAAGGTTAATATGGTCAACATCTTGAGGGCCATCGTTCCTGTACAAGGAACCTTATACAACAACAAAAAAACATGATCCTTCCTTTCAACCTGTGCAAGGAAGGGCATGAGGACCTTATTTTCCTGTACAAGTAGGTGGATGAGGATGTCTACAACTTCTACGGCGTCCAGAAATAACGCGGTAAAAACTACTGTCAAGAAGTTCTAATCAAGAGCTCCTTCATGATCTTCAAGGTTAGGCAGTTGTTTCACGAGTAGAAGAATTGTGAGGGAGAACATCCACCATAGCTAAACTACGTGGTTGCAAAGAACGATGGTTGTAGCGCTCGACTGTTTACCTCTTCTACTCAAAGGCAGCTCAGCACGAGGATAGTTGCGATACTGACTATTTCAGATGAACCTTCTCTACTAGGCGACTAAGTTGTATGGAACAATTTGGAACGTTCCTAGTCGAAGGACGACTCCATGGTCCTACTACTAGTACTAACGACATGAGGTTGAGGAGGAAAATTGGGCATGTTGATCGCAAATCAACCACGACGACCCATCTCGCACCTGTCATGAATGAGCCGTCCTCTTTGGGGTCGTAGTTGGAAGAATCAAGTATGTGTAAGTATGAGAATCTGAATCAATAAAACGCCGTAGGATATGATGCTGGATGCATATCTGACAACCTGTAGTGATGATGTGTTGTCGTTGTGGATGCGTTGTAGCCGCTACCTTAGCTCCCAACACTTATGCGTTGATGAATATTTTCAACATCTGTAGTCACCTCTACTAGACGTATTCCTCATCTAGACGTCGAACTAGTAGTTTTACTTATAATGAGCTGGAGCTGGGACGAGTGGGAGGCGAGCACGATGGGCATGCAGCCCTTCTCCTAAGCAGCGCGCAACCAACTTCTTTATCAGGGGGTCGTCGGGAGCATGTAAGTCTGACTCATTACTTCCTCTACATGATCAGGATCGTAAAAAGAAAACAGATCAGGAGTAGAAACCAAGATACGAATATTCTCTTAAGTACCTTTAGCTGTGTGTCGCAGTCATGTAGCCATTTTGTCAGTGGCGTGTGTGGGCTGCCATTTTGTCTCTACGGTGGTCACGAAAGGCCATATCACATGACATAACCCGAACAACCGATGCAAAAGGGCGTCATCCCTCCTTGAAGCGTTGACGTTTACTTGGTTGAGACTAAGAAGGAGAAAGGACGTCAAGACTCGAACATTATAGAAAGATGGAGATAGTTGTGCTGTGTATGAAGGGAAGGATCAGCCTCTGAAGTTGTAAGATGATAAATAACAAATTGGATACGTAGTTGGATGATTTTCTTATGGACAACCTACCACAACTGGATCGTCATTTATTTACAGATTTCATTCTGCTCCCCAGTAGTGCCAAATACTAACTCACTCGATGCACGAGGTCGTGGTGAGTTGTTACAACGGGTAGATGAACTACAACAACGGGTACATGAACTAGAACGTGCAGTGAAATCTACATCAGTCTTCACACACACTGAAATCTACATCGGAAGACAAAATTTGCATGATGTAGAAGTTTGTTCGCACAACACGTTCTGGCAGAGGCAGGGTCGTTGACGAACAAGTCGCATTTCCACCACCATAGCTGATGCCTTTATGTGTGTGTGTGTGATCGTAGATGAGTCACAGCACAAGCACTCGTTCGTAGTATTTCGCATCTTCTACATGTGAGGGGATTCAGTGAATATTAGTCGTACCATATGATTCCTACGACAATTGCATGCTAAAAACGTCGACTAGCATAACTCCTCATAAGCCCGTTGCGGAACACGAACAGCATGTAGTAAATACAAAAAAAAACCTACTCGCCCGATTGAATACTATTGTGCCTTTGATGGTCAGTATTGCTAATATTATAGATCTTTTTCTGGTGACTGATTGCGCTTAAATCTTCGTGTCTTGTTCGACGTACTTGTAGTACTATGTTGTATTAATACTTAGAAGCACCAGTGTTTTTCTTGAGAAGAACGTGTTGTATTGAATTGATCGTTTATTCGATAAATGTAAATGAATGCAGAAGTAGTAGTTGCTTGTTTATCTAATAGAGCGCATTCATGATCCACCACGACGTTTTTTAGTGGTAGGTAACAAACTCTAGAAGCTAGTGCATGAAGATATCATGAGTCATTTTTCTGTTGATTACTAGAGACTTTCCAATAAATTTTCTTGTATTGTTTGATGTTGTTCAAGGAGAAGAATGTACGTAGGCTCCTAGAAGAGGAGTAAGAAATGCTGATACATATTCACACATAATTGTTGACCACATAATAGTTGAATGATGTTAGAAGTCTGTTATTTATAACTTATTGTTGGTTGATATGAATATGGTATTGTTACTTACTAGTTACCACCAGTTGTATGAAGAAGAATTATAAATGATGCTTTTAGCCTGCTTGTTGCCAACTACATCAAGTAGTTGCTGTTTGGTATTTGATTTTTCTCGCATCGTCTCTTCTAATGAAAATATTTTTATCAATCTCACCACCCTACTTAGTCGTGTCGTGTTCTTCGTTGAGAACTACAAGTTTCTTTCATCTACTTCATGGTGAAAACTACAAGAACAAAAGAACATGCATGCTGATGACGAATCGATGTTTTAGCCTTCGCAACAAAGACTAAGACACCACCTGCATTGGAATTGCTAAAACCACAACGGCGCACAATCTTCTAACGGCGCATCTGATGCTGTATCTAAATCTATTTCCCTCACCACCAAAACCTCCGATCATGATAAAGCCAAGTTCTAGTTCTTGTAGAGCATTTTCATTTTCTGCGTGTCGCTGGATGAATGAACAAGAGGAGCGATGAGGACGACCTGCGCGCCATCTGTTTGCGCTTCTCCTCTTTGCTGGGAGAGATCAGAGCAGCTTGGGTAGCATAATGGGACAGACGACTCTTGTAACTGTGTGCTCCTCTTTGATGGAAGGCACTGCACCTTGATGTTGTAATTCGACAGACGAGGACGACCCTGCACAACTGATGTCCCGTTCGACAGAGGACCCTGAATATGTAAGACTTCTCTGCGCCCACCCTAGCTGGTGCGCTGGCCCTCTGGCGGAAGACTTTGAAAAAAAAAATTGAGGTTTGAAAAAGAGGAGCGTTGCTAGGACAGAAAGAGAAAGAATAAGAAAAGCTAGTAGAGAAATCTAGATCTAGGATCTTCTGGTAGATGAACGAAGCGTGGACTTCAAAGGTTGTGGTCGCGTTCGTTCTTCAATAAGCTCAACGAATCCAAAGAAAAAGAGAAAAGTTTAGGTCGTTTGTACTGAAAAATAGAGCGTATGATGATCATTATAAAAAAGAATACTCGTTTGTAAAAGCGTAAGCGTATCATAATCATTAAGGAGTGCTGTAATTGTGACATATCATACCCCAATAAGAGTGGGTACTTAGAAGTTCATTCATTCACTCACTCACTTTCACCCGACCACGACAGTCAAAAATATGCCTTCCACATCATCGTCTCTTGCACGACAGCATGCTGTCGCGTCTTCCTCTGATGTCTTACCCTTCGACAGCTCAGCGAAGAATAACAGCAACGCTAGGAAGAACAAGTCGACGGGACCACGAGGCCCTCAACAAGCAAATGCTTTAGGCCCTCCACAAGCCACGACTGCTGTATGGCATTATTTATAACTAGAATTCACCGAGTTGCTGACTGAAATAGAGGACGTTGTAGGTTTAAAAGGCTACGGTAGTACTCTTCCTCCAGTACCTCAGCTATATCCTAGAAGAATGTTTCTAATCCAGACGAGTGCAGGAAATAAGAAGCAGAGTGGGCGCGGAAAAGTCATAAAGCCATGGGAGCAGAGTAAAAGAGCATTGTTGAGCAAAATCAAAGGAGTCAGCAATGCTGAAGCCTCTAGCTCTGATGTTATGGCTTTATTGGGCTCTATCACTTAGCTTCTTAAGTACACCATGATAGATGAGGCTATTATTGAATACATCCTCATCGGCTCTTCTTCTCCATCAAAAGCAGCTCAAGCATCCTTTTCGGTCGCGGCTTCATCCTTTTTTTCGCAAACAGAATGTCTCAGGTAGAAGAGGTCATATACCCCCTCCTGTTGAGTACATCGTCACCAACATCATCATCAAGCAGGGAGCAAGAGTTTGCTCCTGCAATTTTGAGGAATTAGAATGTTGGACTTCTAGTTGTGCATGTTGTGCAACTCCACCAAATCCAACCTTTTGTGACTCTAGTACTCCTGTTAGAAGTCGTGCAACCTTTAACGCTACTCCTGCTGGTGCTGGTGGGTCGAGTAGTAGTAGCAGTCGCCGAGTTGTCTTAGCTAAGCAGGTTAGTGAGGACGACCGACCGCCACAGCCGGACCTAGGCAAGGTATTAGAGAAAGCACGTACGAATCTGAAGAGAGGCCGACCAAAAGGAGCTGCTCAAAATTTATTGCGTGTATTATGGCGTGTCTCGTCGTCCTAGAAGTGCTACGAGTTTCACGACCCTCGTCTTCCTCTTTTCACTTTCTCCAAGTACAAACACCTAGATAGAGAAGCAGGATGTTCTTTTTAGTCCCTATTTAGAACATACAGTGTACTTGATTGAGGAACAGGAAACTGCTAAGAGTACTATTAAGTAGGTTGTCATTTCTTGGAAACTGACACTTTCCTAACTTTCCTATTCATCTTCATGGTGGTGTTGACGTTGAGACTCCAACATCCTCCTTCAATGTGATACGGCTTCTTAGGTAGTTCAGCTTCAACTATAACACGGAGCCGGCGACCACATGGCACCATCCTTCTTAGCTATTTTTGAGGTCTCATTTCTGCACTAGTGTGATTGGTCTAAGATGTTAATCTTGCTTTGGAGTTTTCTTGCTGAATCAAGTTGAAATGGAAGGAAAGTGGGCCCTCAGGAAATAAATTTGAATTCTGGGCGATAAAAAACCACTTTTTCGAGAATTCCTCTCGAAAGTTCGCAATTGATGACATGCATACTCATACTTTTTCTCGTCACTTTTTCTCATTGTAGCAATATCACTAGCGACTACCTAGTCGTTGAATCTGTTTCTTTCGTCTTGCTGACAGTACTATAAATAGGAGGACTACCTGAGGCGCTATGATGATGATGATGCTTGCCCATGCTCTAAGTTATGCCACCAGTAGAAGTGCAGTTGCTGTAGCATCTGCGATGATGAAGACTCAAAAAGTTCTTACAGGAGCCGGCTCAACGTCGAAAACTACAACCAGTGAAGCCAGTGCCAACCTCATGGGCAAGGACAAGAAGACGTCTGCCTCCAGCGGCGGTAAAAGGACCACAAACGCGACAAGCATTATGGAGGTCAGTTTCTGTTCATCTCTCTCTCCCATATCACATGGTATCCTTTTCCTCACATAGACGAGCAATACATGAAGCTTAGGTTGTCACGTGGCTCGTCTATACGGAACGAATGAATGAAAGTTGCAAGGATACCAAGATAAAAGGTTTGAGTAGATGAATAAAGGAATTCATCGCTAAATACAGCATCAAATCCAAATCCTCGATAATTGCGAGAGGGCCAAAAATTGCGAGGAAGACTGCTTCTATAGCAGTGAAGCTAGTCGTCAGGAAACCTCCTACGTCGTTCAAGAGCAAATCGGTATCGTTTCAGCAGAAGAATTCTTGCAAGAATATTGGTTCCCAAGGACGAGCACCAGGTGGGAATGCTGGTGTCAAGCCCACGACGACGAAGCTACCAGAGTCACTTGCAAGGTACTACAGTAGTTACAGGGTACTTTACTACTAGGACTTCTAGCTAAAGACTTCTGGAAGATGCACTAGCCCTTACTACAACTAAGGAGACGTCGACTTGTCCTCGTCAGTAGTGGTCTCATATAATGAGGATTATAGGAGAATCAAGACTCGTTGTGGGTGTTCATGGACAACAGTAAAGATTTGTGGCTCGTGGTCTAGAAGTTTGAGTTTGTGTAATGGGGTCATGAGCACACGGTATTGCAGTGTTTGCCTGATGTGAGTCGCTTTTTATTTTACAGAAGTTGTGGCTTTTACGATGTGTCACTCTTACTTCTTCCTGCTTACTACTTCCTTCTTAGGACCTGTAGATAAAGCAGCTCCGAGTCCGCTGTTGTACGAGTAGAATTGTTTCGCCTTGTGGTCGTTGCTCATCATCATCATCATCATCTTCATCATGTGACGACTCCGAGTTCTTTAGTGTAGTGATCAGCGTCATATTGTAGGAAGATTGACGTGATTCATCCCATTCGCAATCACTATGTTGGAGAATGCAGCTTAGTTTTCGGTCTAGAGGCTTGATGTTCCTTGAGCAGCACACAAGAAGAATCTTCAGCATACAGAAGCAGGACGTGTCTCTGACAATAGATGAGAAGTTACACCCGTTGAACAAGAACAAGAGCAGTTGGAGTAGTCGTTATAAGGAATTATGGAGGCTGCAGACGGACGCACTCGCCTCTCTGGTTCTTGGTACCGGAGGTAGTTGTAGCAAAAGGAGCAGCAGTAGTGATAGTAGACGTAGAGGAGGTACTAGTACAAGAAGAACAGCAGTTGAGGACTACCACAAGAGAGCGCTGTCGTGGACGAATGTGCCTCATCAGGTTCACAAGAGATGGCTGTGGAAGCAGCACCAGATCGAGAAGATTGACGGGCGCAATGAAAAAGAGGCCTTATTAGGGCAAAAAGAGCGCGACGACGTCCAACTCCAAGTATGTCGTCATGAGATTCAGAAGGAAAGGGAAAGAACTCAAGAAGAAGACGCACACGTACTAGAGCTGGAGAACTGCATTCCGTCTAAAACACAGGGAATTCTTTCAAAAACTGAAACTCTTTTTCGACATCAACACTTTTTATTCAGGGAAGATTACGCCGGAAACATTGTAGTGGTTAAGGCTTCACAATTTCAAAATATGTGTGATATGTCTAAGTGAATACTTCAGCTAGGGAAAACTCTCTAGAAGCAGTATAAGAAGATCTATCAGGCCGCCGTTGGACATCGATACAGTGCTCCGCAGCTTTTCAGCACTTCTTGCAGAAGAACTGCCGTTTGTAATAATTTGATCTTACCTACAACTCGTCGCGCCTGTTCCACGTTGAACTACAACTACTAGAACATGTTCCTTCGTTGAATTGTCATAGAAGAAGTTACTAGCACAAGCAAGCTTTCAGTCTCTAATATGCGTGTCGATGAGGCTGGACGAGGACCACTGGCTGGGCCAGTGGTCTGTGCTGCAGTCGCCATCACTCCAGGAGAGCAGATACCGGATATCAAGGGCATCACTGACTCCAAGAAACTCACAGAGGCACAAAGGTACTATACTATAACGTAGACATCAATATGATTATGAAGAAGAATGTTACAGATCATTGATGTTACAGAAGATTCAGATTGTTGTCGTGATGTTCTACAGAGGCACCCTGCATGTGCATTACCTCATGTTGGTGCTAGGCAAATTGATTCAGACTCATTCTCTAGTAATCGACTTGGACAAAAGTATAAGTTAGACAATAGCAACCAATACAGATTGTTGATTTTCTTCTTCTTTTTCGTCATCAGCAGGTAGCATGACGATGAAGTACCTATGATGCACATTGATTTTCTGCTGCTTTTCGTAACTATGGAGTATCATGTCGTGGCATTTCTACTACTGACTTAGACACATCAGGATTTGAATTCATTTGCTAGGTGATAAAAAACCACTTTTTCGAGGATTTCTACATATTATTAAGTACTCATGTTTCTACTACAGGGAAGAAGTCTACGAGGCCATCGTGAAGCATTTTACTTACTGGAAAGCGGTGGTTGTGCCTGCGACCAGAATCGATGACATAAACATCTTGGATTAAGGCGTCTTCTTGTCTGTTGTGGTACTTTGTTCCTCAAGCAGTCTTACTTTGTTCCTAAAGAAATCTTTACCCTTCTCTCTCGTGCGCAAGAAACAAGGCGACAAACGTTTCTACTTTGATAAAGTAGACCGTCAAGAGGCGTAGTGCATCTTCTTTTGTAGGAATAGTTATTTTCAAGACGAGAATAATGAGATAGATGGAGGAAGACCAAAGTTAAGTATCATTTTTACAGCAAATAAAAAACAGTCTGAGCCTAGAACTCCGAACAAGACGAACATAAAAAGGACTACCTAAGTATAGTACATCGTCCTGGATGAGTAGAAGAGGCAGACCTTCGTCAAAGCAAAAAAAAAGAGCTTACTGAGTATGCACTAATTTGATGTTGATAGATCTGATGGTAGCGCAAGGACGACAATGCATCGGCGACTGTGATGATGAGCCGCGCTTCTAATAATGGGCCACGTTCGAAGGCATGGTGTCTGCCGTGATAGGATTGGGAACCGACAAAAAGCTTCCTACGCCTGACCGCGTCCTAATCGATGGCCCTCATATCCCATCAGCGTGGACGGATAAGAGTTAAGGTATACTCCTCTGAATCTACATCTAAATCTGGGGCAGGAGCCCCTCTAAATCTAATCTAAATCTCCGAAAGTCCGTTTTCTTTGAAAGATAAGTAGGGTTCGGATGACAAGGACTGGAAGAGATCACAATCTTCATCAGACGGTTATTTATTTTCATTGCAACGAGTAGAAGTATCCTCAAATGGGGCAAGGGGATTATAAAGAAGAACGAGGATACATAACAACCTCTAACTATGGTAGGATCTTGATCTATTTAGGGTACGCCATGACTGGCCAGACTACTACTACTACTGTTTTCGATAGAGGTTTTCCTGAAGAGAAGTGTGGTTCTTCGGTACTAAGTGAGTATGCATATTTTCAACCACCTGGAGTTGTTGCTTGTAACTTGTTGAGTTGATGGTTCTTCTGTATTTTGATCCAAATGAAGCACAATAAGACAATTCTTTGAGTCGTGTTGTTCTAAATTGTATGAATTTGGAAAGCATGTACCCCTAGAATGGGTTTACTACTACTACTACTACTACATATCTGTGTCCTCTAAAACGAAACTTTTGAGGAAATTTGAAGTCATATCCAAGAAATTGTGATTATATCTCGTTTAATTCGAATTCATTTTCTGACAAGCTCCTTTACAGAAGCTTCAAAATCACCCAAAATATCAAGATGACAAGATCAACATCATGGTAACCTCCTATACGTATACTCAGATTAGAGCCTTCTTGGTATCACCTCGTATTTCCTTGAAATCCACTGAGATTCAGCATTCCTCTGCTTACGACCTTCGTTTTCACTCGTCTAAGGAACGAAGAAGATGAAAGCGATGAAGAAACAAGGATCCAAGATGCCTGATGGAAAAGACGAACCACAAGTCAGAGGAGAAGCAGGAGGAAAATCTTATGATCTGTTCTCTCAGAATTATCAGTATCACAGAGAGGGCCACAAGTGTTCTCTGCTTTTCGTCTTTGCTCTCCGTTATGTAACAAGACTTCTCGGCGCCCACCCCAGCTGGTGCGCTAGCCCTTTGGCCGAAGACTTTGGAATTGGAGTTGTCTTCTAAGCAAATCTCAAAGAACAAGACGGCAAGAACAACGATCAGGAAGGAGCCAGTGTTGTGCCTTTTAAGCCTCCACCTTTCGAAGTGGTGCCCGTTATCAAAGGAGACTCGAATTATGGAAGATTTTTTTGTCGAGAACGAACAAGGAGAACTACAAACATCCCTCCTCTTATCCCTGTTGATGTTCATCTGGTCCTATCTATCACTAACAAGTACTGGTAAGGCCACTTTTATAATTGATCGCAGCTGCCTCCTCCCCAGCTATCCAGCATGTTCTAGACTTCTATTGGCGAGACAAAAGATCAACTACAACTGCCGGAGAACTACAACTTTTGAAGATTATGATTAAGATTACTTCTAATGGCAAGAGTATTTGATCGCAGCAGCTTCGATTATTGCAAAAGTAACCCGTGACCGTATCTGTGAAGAGATGGAAGCTGCATATCCTGGCTACGGTTTTGGCGCTCACAAGGGCTACGGAACGAAACAGCACATGGAAGCATTGAAAAAGTTGGGAGCTTTTATGACTGGAAGATGAAAAGGATAGGCTTTTATGAAGAGCCTCGAAGGAGATCAGCACTAGCTTGTCTCCAAAGCACTTTCGGCTCTCGTCTCTACGGTCATCAGGAAAGTTAGCAACAGGGGCATACGCATGCACCCGTACCCCAAGATTGGGCATACTACTACTAACGACTACACCAACCGGACGAAGAGGATACAACTCTTCACACATGAAGATGATACTCGATGAAGATGATACTCGTGTTACCCACGACTACTTTTTTTTTGATGGACCGACAGAGAGAAATCTTAGCAGTTGATGTGGAGGAACTAATAGCCAAGAACAAGATCATGAAAGTACATTATCATTATCCATCATGATCTCTCAGGAGGAATCATTACAGACCTCTATTGGAGGATAAATTGGTGATTAACATCTTCCAACAGCGACCTCTTGCCAGGCACATCAGTCAATACTTAACTCCGTCAAAAGATACCTCCAGAACAGGTAAATGAATGAATGAATGACTTCTAACATCGGCCCAGAGCATCGACGAAGTTTCGGTCCGGTGAAAAAAGTGGTGGAATTAGAAGGAGGAGAGGGCAGTAAGACGATCGGGAAGAGGACGATCGAAGGATACGAGGGAGATGTCGAGCAGGTGGTATTGGAAAAGCGTGGCACTTCTGCAACTACATCTTTAAGAAGAGTTGTATCGTTTAGCAAGCCTCTCTGTCTCTTTTTCACTGATTTAAGAAGAGACTGTATCATCTTGCCGGAATAATGCAACATGATACAGTCTCTTCTTAAATCAGTTACTACAGTTGATACAGGCATTGGCTCAACATCTTTATAAGAAGAGTAGTAGTCGAGGCGGGTATCTATCATACTTTTAGAAGATAGTCGAGGCGGGTATTATACTTTTAGAAGAGGAGAGCGCGTAGTGCATCGTCAAGGTCACCGCAATGCATCAGAGCGCGTAGTGCATCGTCAAGGTCACCACAATGCATCGGTCCTTCTTTTGAAGTAGAGCAAGAGCATATTTGGAAGAAGTAGCACCGCGGTCCTCAATTAGAAGGTTGAGAGAGCTAGAGTAGGCAGCGAATTTTGCGGTTAGAAGTAGAAGCAGCTAAGGTCTTCAATAGGGTTTTCTAACCCTAGTAAGTAATATATTAATTAAGTATTGGACCACGACGTTGTAAACAAAGTACTAGTTTCTCTAAGTACGAGTCGGACAGGGCAGCACAAGAGAACAGCCACAAAAGAGCCTCCCCCAAATGAGGCATCGCAGAAGAAGAAGGCGAAGCAGAGGGACGACAAGGGAAGGGCTTCTTCAGTAAACTCAGCAGCAACGCCTCGACGAAAGCGACCGAGAAAAGGCGCTTCTACCAGCTCTTAAGGTTTCGCTTCTAGGTTTTTGGCTGTAAGAACGCAGACGGTTGTAGACAAGAAACTGACTTGCCACGTTACTAGGAGGCGTTCATCCGTTATGTGGGTGTGAACGTGAATGTAACTACTTGACTTACGCAGCTACAATCTAAGGATCATCTTTCACATTCTCTATATTTTTACTACATCTAGTACAGTCTTGTGCTCGTCTTCCTTTTCCCGCATCTACGGCTACAGTCTCTAATGCAGTGCAGCGGACAACGAGAATTCCTCTGACGACATCAGAGGACCCCTGAAGAAAGAGCACAAGAAGAGAACCATTGCGGAGAAAAAATGATAAAGAAGGTGTTTTTCGCATAGTACTTCTTCTTGTACTTACTAAGGGTGGCAATTATTCTACTTCGCATAGTACTTGTACTAGAGTTTTAGGCTTCCTTTCGCAGGGGCATGTGAGTGTGAGAGGAGGATTGTTAAGACACTACATTGACTATGAGGACCTACGTCGTTGCAGGGACTTTGGACATTGGGCATCGCAGTTGCAAACGTTAATACATCATGCGGTGATCATTAACTGCTACTTCGACGACAGTCGTCCATTTCAACATGCTATTCATCTTGTCGTGGCACCGCCATCATGGTCCTATAATAAGGTGGAGGTGCTGGTAGTTGTGCTGAACAACAACAATTCTTGTCTTCCTAGCAACATGTTACGATTTTTGTGTTGATGCACGTGCGTTACAGGGACTTGTTATTCCCTGTGTAGTTGAGGTGTGCTGGAGGGGACGATTAGACAACTTCTACTTTGTGTTGCTTGTTGAAGATCCTTAGGGACATCGTCTCTGCTTGTTGTAAAACCAATTTTTGAGTGCTGTTCAAGATCCTTAGGGACATCGTCTCTTAAAACCAATTTTTGAGTGCTGCATGCGAAGAGCAGCAAAATGGGAAATGAAAGTAAGCAGAGAGAGAGAGAGAGAGAGAATAAGATGAAAGTAGATGGAGGTGGAGGATAACAAGAGGAAAGCAAAGAGAGAGAGACAGAGACATGTAACTAGAAGACAGGCAGGTTACTCCCCTGTCTTCTTCTTAAATTCGTAAGTCCGGGCCACGACCCCGAATCAGGCCACGCGAGTACTTAAATGTTTGGTGGAGTTGGAGACAAGTACGCAACAAAAAAAATAATGCAAGAGAGGGGCGATGAAGAGGAAAAATGGCTTTAGGACCTGCTCCTGCTGGTGCAATAGGAACAATAGCAATTCTTGAAGTGTTTTTCGTATGATGTGGGCGGTGATTGTTGAGACAAAGAGAGCCTACAGAACTACTCCCACTCGGCGTTGGCCCCCCACGATGTGCGCGCGACCAGTTTTCTGTAGTTAGGTGTCTTCTGTGGTACCAGAAGTTGTATTGACAGGGGTCGTTTTTAGATGTTGTCCAAGAAGTCGCAGAATACAATTGTGCGCCTTAGCGATGTCCACTCGATATTCACCAGTAAAAGTGATGAGAGTTATCGTACCCACCTAAAAGTCAGAAATTGGCTTCTCAGAAAATGAATTTGAAAAAGATGAGATAAAACTGAAAATTCTTGGATAGTCCAAGAGTTTTCAGCTTTTTTAGCTCACCTTTATTTTTCGAATTCAAATCTTCCTAAGAGTAATATCTATTTGTTTCAAAGTTGAATTTCTTTGATTTGGTTGCTTCGATGATTTAGCTTTCAGCCCTAGTTACCAACTAACAACATCCTAGACAGAAGTGTCTGACTCCAAATTCCAGAGTCAAACTGAAGACTTTAATCTAGAATACGCCCAGTTTCAATCTAAATCTCTGAAATTTCTCTCAAAAAGCATGGAAATGGGCAATGCTAGCGGTATTATGGAGAAAAGAGACACTTCTAGTAGTCCACATTTCTTTATTGTTGATGTCACTCATGCTGAGTCATTGATCTAATCATCAGAGTCGTCTAGTCACCACGACACTATCTTCCTGCCTTAGCTGCTTGCTCTGATCAATGAAATAGGTATAGGAGCTGCATTTTCGAGCCGCAAGCATTTCTACGACGACTAGGACTGCGTCATGATCACAGATCTTCAGCTGGTTGTACAGCATAGTATCGATTGGAAAATATATCATGTTGCCTGCAGCGAAGAGGCAAGGGCGACTGGCACCGCTGTAAAGAAGGGCATGAGTGTCAAAAGGACTGAGAACGAGGACTGAATACTACAAGTCGCACCACATGAAGTACAAGGGGAAGAAGAATGCTGCAGAGATGAAGTGGCAAATATAGGGATGCATGATAGCACATATAGGGTCTTTTAGACCCCATAAGCGGGAATGTGTACACTATAGCTACTACCTCCATAGTACAGTGCGATCCCCTCTCGCCTTAGGCTTTTATATGACGCCTGCTACAAGCGGACGAGCCAGGACGAGGCCAACTACTCAAAGTAGCTCAAGTGGATTCGTGTGATGTTGAGAAGTTGCACCACGAGGAACAAAAAGTTGGACGGAATTCATCGGCTCTATTTGGGGTGGAATGCAATAGAAGCCGTTACTGGTTCAAGCGCGTCAAGAGGCGAAGACGAGGCGGATGAAGATTGTGCCAAAGACTTCATCTCGCCTCAGCACGTGGCAACAAGCATGTGCGTTCAAAGCGCAATTATGAACGGTCAGGCCGAAGTCATGAACTCAAGGCAAAGAACTTAGCCGAGTAGAAGCCTTCGCACGGAGCCAACTACTTAGATGAAGCCTTGAGTAGTCGAGTGGAAGCCTATGGGAGCAGTGCTCAGGTGGTGAGGACTGCGAGCTGTAAAGTAGAGGCTGAGCACAGCATGGTGAAGTAGCGAGCTCAGGTCGCCGTCGAGTGTGGGCTTTGTCACTCTCAATGATTGACACACGCTGGCACTCATCTTTGCTACTCAATATGGGCCGAAACACGTGCTGGAAGAATAACAGAATGCCATGCGTATTGGCCAGTAAAGGAGTTCGCAAAGTGCTATTTAGGAGAGTAGGAGAATGCAATACGTATTCACCAGTAAAGGAGGTGACAAAGTGCTAGGAGAATAGCAGAACTCGACGCATGTTGGCCAGTAGAGAAGGTGAAAAAGTGGTAGGAGAATAACAGAATGCCATGCGACTGATTGGCCAGTAAAGGAGTTGACAAAGTGCTAGGAGAATAGCAGAATGCCCTGCGCATTCACCAGCAACGAAGCGACAAAGCGCAAGGAGAATAGCAGAATGCCATGCGCATTCACCAGTAAAGGAGGCGACAAAGTGCTAGGAGAATAGAAGAACTCGATGCGTATTGGCCAGTAAAGGAGGTGGCAAAGTGCTAGGAGAATAGCAGAACTCCATGCGTATTGGCCAGTAAAGGAGGTGGCAAAGTGGTAGCAGGAGAATAGCAGAATTCCATGCGTGTTAGCCAGTAAAGGAGGTGGCAAAGTGGTAGCAGGAGCAGAGCAGAATTCCATG